AACACATCATCATTTTTTGCATTTTATACGTTTTGTATGTATGTATGAACTTAAAAAGAAGTTCAATGTAATGAGAAAATGCAAATATGTTAGGTTCTCCAGTCAGTGCCGTTGACCGGTGACACTGGCTCAGATCGGGAGTTGGTCCCTTGCGGGATGGATTAAATGCAGAGAATGAATTTTTGCTACATTATGTGACAATAAAGCATACCTTACTTTACTATAAGCCACAAACAGGGAAGTAAAACCAGTATTTTCCACTGAAATGTAACTGAGCTTTTTTTAAATGGACTCTGATAAAGGAGCCATCCTCAAATTACACACAGCAGACAAATAAATATCCATTTTTCACTTTCAGACTAATTAACACTAACAGTACTTTAGTGTATTATCTTTTCAGTGTCTGGCATTTAATTCAAATACTAAACTAACTGTACTGTTTACCCAGACAGTGGTTTAAATATGAAAACTATACCTTTACAAACCATAACATGGACTTAATGACAAAGGTCAGTATATAATAGGTGAAGATTCAGCATTGCTTTGCATACTATATTCATTTTGCATGGTTACAAAGAAGTCTTCCACACGACAGGATACTTCCTCCTTTAGTGAATCATTTTAAGATGTAAGATGAAATATAATCTTTTGTTCATGTGCATGTTTTGGCAATGTAAATTTCTAATTCCAATTACAATAAAGCTCAACTGATTTAAACTGATCTCCACTGTCTTTAACAATATCTGTCACTTTATTTTTGTAGTATTCATATTATTTTAAGCATGTTATTGTTGCTTTGCCTACTTGCCTTTTGGATTTCAGAGCCTCCCAAGAGACATTTGAACCCAGGGTCTTATAAACAAGCAATTTCCTGTATGTGTGCAGACAGTTGTCTGGTCTACTGTGTGAATGTAAAAACCAGATACTTTCTTTCGTATACAGTTGAACACTTGCAGAGGAAAGACAAACTGATTCTAAGAAAATCCACATTTAAACTTGAAGACAAATCAGGCAATATGTGCCATACATTTATAACATTTATTCACATTCCATCACACAAAAGTTGTCAGCAGCAATATTGACTCTAATAGTAAATAAAATAAATAAGTCTTGGTTACAGCTGGAAATATATTATTGAAATTTAAAAGCTAAGTTAAAATATGAAAAGCGTACTGCATCATGCTGTTTCACACTTTGTCTTGCAGCATTAAAATGTATGTAAAATACATAGTATGGAATCACAAAGCTTTCAGATAGAATAACTCTGATAAGGCACTTGTATACAGTCTATAACTTTGACTCGTAACATCAAGTCTTTGGTCAGTTTCTACAGCTTCTGAGGTCGGGTTGTCACAACTCCGTACCGAGTCCAGCTCCAGTCCTGCTCCTGGAGAGAGAACAAACACCTTATAAACATACTGTTCTCCATCTCCTGAACGTTTTCATGCCATTCTCTCATCTAACAACTTCAACCTCAACTTCGAACAGGTGAACCTTCCTGATCTAGTCAAGACAAATGAATGGATTTAAAAAGGAAAAAGTCAATACACAATATACACAATAACCTACATACAGTACATACAGTGAACATACATGTGGTGGTGACTAGGGGTGGGTAGTAACTTGTTACAAGTAACGCAAATGAGTAAAAAAGTAGTTTTAAATTTTTAGAAGCAGTAACTTGTCATGTACTTTTTTTAAATTGTACTTTTACTCCTTTTTGAGTATTTTTTGGGCCAATAATCTACTTTTAACTTTGCTAGATTTGCCATTTATACCTTTGCCACAACTAGTCAGTTTTCTCCTCTGCATTTTGCTACATTAACCAAAATGACCTTTCATCCAAGCTGTGTGCGTGCAGTTACGCAGGAGAGCTTTATCCCGTCTCCCTTGCGGTACAAAAATACATGCGCTTGTGCCAGATATTAATGAGCCGGGCAGATGCAAAATTTTAAAAATCAGGCTATCTTTTTTAATTTAAGGTCTGGTTCTTGTTCTAATGTAACTCAAATCTAGTAACTGCACACTATGCCACTAGTGGCCATGTTGGAAAGCAGCCTGCATTGCCCTTCCACAAGTCAGTAGAAATACTTTCACTTTCCATTAATGGCGTATTAAAAGTGTAGTCTATGCACAACAAATGTAGGCTACACACTGCATACACGTCGTAGTCATGTAACCACTGGATTAACACTGATATATTAACAGAATCCTCTCGCTGCGCACAGCATGGCTTTCTTTTGATGGAAATTAGCCTATTTCTTTTCTCTAATTCGCATTGGTTCCCATTAGTTTGAGTAATTGTTCTTTTAGTTGAGTAAAGATTTGCACTACTCTGCCCACCACTGGTAGCCTTCTGCAATCAAATATACCACCATGACCTACCATGACACTGTGCTCCATCTCCTGATTGGCGTCTTGCAGCAGAGAAGTTAGCTGACTCAGATAAAGCTCATTCTCATCCAGTAACTGATGAACAGTTTTACTGAAAGAGACAAAAGATTCTAAATTCACTGTATGAATGTGTTTTCGTGTGAGTGTTAGACTTGGGGGCTCTATATTATTGTGAGATGAGTCCTGCTTCTACAAGCCAATTAAACTTTGAGGTGCATGGGGTGACCTCTTGTGGCAGCTTTGTGATTTAAAAACCCCGCTAGCAGCTGGTTTTAAGAGATCCTTAATTCATTCTGCACAGTGTATGCATAAACTCATCTTCTAAACTGCAGATAATTTAATAACAGAGAAAAAGCCACCTGATGTTTTAGTGTGGTTATTCTGTTAACCAATGTTTGATTGAAACTCTAATACATACTGAGAATCTGTGGATCTTCTGGCAGATACTTGTACAGATCTTACCTGTCAGTGGGTTGCTGCATAAGTGACGGTGATGAAGCATTTCTCTGGGCCTAAACACACAGCCACACACTGCATTAACAACAGTATTATTTGACTTATACATTTAATAGTGTATCGCAGAGCTCTAAGCTCCTAAAACATCACTGATAGCTAAGAATATTTTCTGTAGTGCCATTTGTTATATACTCACACAGGCAATCTTGAGGAGGTACCAGAACTCTTTCTGTCTCTTCGTTTGCATCTGAATAACTGCTGCCTCTGCAGTTTTTATGTTTTTTACAGCCTTTTCCAACTTAGGGAACAAATCAAGGATGCGCCGCTTACACACCAGAATTGTACTACAGAAAAAGAGCGAGATGGGGAAAACCACAAATGATACACAGGGAACTGTAAAATGATACCCAAGTTGTGCTAAACTTTGCATGGCTCTCTGTGTGTGTGTGTGTGTGTGTGTGTGTGTGTGTGTGTGTGTGTGTGTGTGTGTATCTGTTTGGACAGACACTTGTGGATATATCACCTCAGGTGAGTGTACATGTCTTTCAGCACTCTGTCCTGGTTCTGAACTGTTTGGAGAATGGTCTTCACCATGTCTGAGCTGTCACTGTAGCCATGTGGAGGGTCATGACCTGGGTGAACAAATAATCTTAAGATCATCCATGTACTATCATCTGACACGGCTATGTAAACACATGCTACATGCTGCTAGATGCTGCACATCTTGCCACACTTCTGTTGTACAACTGAATTGTATGCATAGCAACAGGCATTATCAGAAGCACGAGCCCCAGCCCCTGTAACCAGTATACTATTTTTAATTTGAAATGAATTGTACAAACTTTTGCATTTAGCTTTCAGTTGCTTGTAGAGTTCAATAGCCTTGTTCTCACTGACAAAAAACACAAACAAAGAGAGAGTGTTAACATGTGCACACCAGAGTGATGGGGAGAAAATCTACAGTTGTTATTCCATTCAAACATATTTTCTAAAGTTCATCTGAAGTTAATATGCGTCTTCAGCAGGCTAATGTAATCAAATCAGTCTGTTTAGTATCAAATTCCATTGTGTTACCCAGACAGTGCTTTGCTGAACTGCAGCAGAAGGACAGTAACACAAAGTGCCCCCCATCACTTCCACTGAAACCACTTCGAGAATGGATTTCTTAATGGCCAGTATGAACAAAAGGAATGATTACAGCAATCAAACACTGTTTCAATGTACATATGGGCATCTGACTATTAAGACACACTTGAAGTAATGTGAACCTGTCCTTTAAGGAAATGATTATAGTGTAAATATAACAGAGAGATACTGACAGCTGTTGCATTACATCCTCCTGTCTCCTTGCAAATGGACTCCTCTGCAACTCCACGATCTCAGAATGTAGAGCCACTATCTCTTCATCCAGATACCCCAAATCTGCAACCTAAAGCAGAAACACCCTTAGTATGTACCATTTTAAAATAACTAAGTACGTTTGTGTAGAAATACTACACTACTACTAATAACTGTCCTACCTTCGTATACCCATCAGCCTTCTCTTCATTTTCCTGCCAGGTCTTCAGCAACTTTTCAGAAGCTTCAGAAAAACACAGCAGATAGCACACTTAAAGCTTCAGCCATTACTTCAAATTATGTATCACAGCAGGAGATTAACAAGCACTCACAGACGCCGGTGTTTCTCTGCTTGGTGTATCGCTCAAGGTCGTACTGGATACTGGTCTTAAAAAAAGCCAGCTTGGCTTGGAGCTGCTGCGAGTGGGAGAACAGCATGTTCTTGTACCGTGTCAAGTTGGTGTTGTAGCGAAGCAGACTCAGCCTGCACACACACAGAAGCACAAGGTAAAAAATTTTCAGTGTGTGGGTGTGTGCGTGCGTATATGTGTGTGTTTGTGCACTCACATGGCAGCCCTCTGCCCCTGGTAGAGGCGAATGTAGTCCTCTTTCAGTCCACAGATGTAGCTGACTGCTTCGCCCCACACCTTTCTCAGTGCAGACAGTGGGAGCTGTGTTTTAGTCTCCCTCACTGAGACAACACATAGTCCACAAAAGAGACACAATTCCCACATTAACTAAAGAATTTGCTAGAACCTTCCAAGTATTTTGGGGTGAAAACATCAACAGATCTTGCACTCACACCAGTCTTAATGACAGGTGTGTCAGACCAAAAACTCGTTGTAAACTGAGAATAAATCGTGCGTACCGTCGATCACTGTAATTTACTTTATCTAATTAACATTTTTGTCAGTAGACAAAATCAGGTAAGAATCTAACCTGCTAAACATCTAACAATTTCTGGTTTCAATGGTTTTATCAGGGAAGTCACTCATTTTAAGTTTAAGTGTTGAGAAAGGTTCAGAGCGCCAAGGCATATTCATGATTTGGGTGTCTCTATTAATGTTAAATAAGCTTTATCACAAATTAAGAAACAAATAGCCAAAGGAAGCATAATTTTACAGCTCAGCATACACTGTACAGTTATACATCTCACCTATAAAGTTGACACTGTCTGGCAGAGGTCTGGCAGTCAGTGGCCCAGAGTACTTGGCCAGGCTCTTATCAAACAGGAAGACGATGGAGGTGTCCCAGCCTCGCTGAAAGCAGAAAGCAAATATGGTAAAACCCAAAACTCTATGCTGAGGTTTAGATTTGCAGAAACATTTTCTTCAAGTAAGGCTGGAAGCAAACAATTGTCGTTCATCAATTTATACAGTCTGCAAACATGTTGTCAAACAACAAGATATCTTTATTTATTTATGTGTGTGTGTGTGTGTGTGTGTGTGTGTGTGTGTGTCACATACCAATCCATCTGGCAGACAGTGTGCGGGAAGTCTGCGTGGGTCGAGGGAGATTCCCGTCTCAAGCAGCAGCTCTTGACTCAGCGGGGAGATGTGTGACTGAGTGTGTGTCTCCAGACGAAGCTGCAGGGAGTGTAAGCTCTCCTCAGCACCCAAAACCAACGAGTGCAGCTGTGCTGACGTCATGTCCAACACATGAATCACCTGGAGAAAGAAAGGCACAAAGCAAGGAGGTTTTGCTTTGTGTGCTGACCTCACCTGACATATATGACACGATACACTCAATAAGGTACGATTCATATTATTACCTTCATGTCGAGAAGATTCTGTAGAACTGTGTAGCAGCACAGCTTGTTTGTGTCAGGATCCAGCCCTCCACCACGTTCCGTGGGTTCCCACTGTAACAGCATCTGTAGAAGAGACTCAATTGGTTCCAGCAGTGGCCTATGAACACACACACACACACACACACACACACGTTAGATACAAGTTACAATGAGATACACTTAAGATACGACAAAGTGTCTTTCTGTCTCTACCTGCTGAGATTGTTGGGATATGGGAGATGTGTGGAGAATCGGATTTCTCCATTCATGTCTTCTACTGCCATGATGTCTTTGGGACCTTTGTTCTTGACTTTACTTGTCCTACAAAAGCAGCAAACATGCAAACATTCAAAGACTAGATGTTAATGTTAAATCCCCCAAATGTGTGTTTTAATGTCACACGTGCACCCAGGTTTCATAATGCACTGTTGCTATGTTGACTTACCACTGTACGGGCTGCATGTGGTGTAAAAAGGGGCGAAAGCCACAAGTGCATTCAAAGAGCACTGTGCCAAAGCTCCAGTAGTCCACAGTTACAGTGTAACGTTTACTTTCAAAGAGCTCTGGAGCCTGGCACACAGAGATGGATTTATAAAACAGGGCTTGATTGCTGACATGAAAAATAAAAAAAATAAATCCCATTTCTTGCATTACTGATGCAACCCTTACCAAATACTGGAGCGTTCCAACAAAGGATGTGCAGAGACTGCCCTGATCTAGGTCTTTTGCATAACCCAGATCTATGATTTTATGGACTAGCTGGAGGAAAACACAGTTTCATAATGAGAGCAAGACACAGAAAACCATTTAATATATGAAATTGCAGATTACGCAGGCTGAATGCATGTTACAATGGTAAATGAGTTCACCTTCCCATCAACATCCTGCAGAACTATGTTCTCTGGTTTTAAATCTCTGTGGATTATCTTATTTTCATGGAGATACTGGATACCAGAACCTGTGTTTGTAAGCAAATAAAATAAATCATTGCATATATATATAAATAATGCATCAAGTTGTGATAACAGTGACCTTTTTGACAAAGTAAAAGCTGGGGAAAATTTTACCAATGTCACTGAGCAGCAAGAGGATTTCACTCTCCTTTAGTCCACAACAATTTTCCGGTTTATTCAACACCTAGATAAACAGGTATACAGGTTAGTAGTGCAATATTTAAAAGAAAACAAATTGTTTAGGGTCTTTATAAAATACCCACTTGGTACCTTGCGTAGGTCTCCTCTTGAGCAGTACTCCATGGCCAGCAGAGGTAAGTCATTTAAAGCAATTGAGCTCAGCTCTTCTGGAACTTCTCTGGCCTGAACAATGTTCACATGTTTCAGCCTATAACAGAAAGAGAGCCAAACATACAGCAATGGTTTGATATGAAAAAAATGTGCAATGATGTTTGTTTGTGTACTCCTTTGTGAACACAAGCTGATGACTCACTTCTTCATGATCTGAATCTCTCTGCTCCAGCGGTCTTTATTCTTGGAGTTCAGCTCCAGGCGGCAAAGTTTCACAGCTATCTTCTCTCCCAACTCCTGCTCCAAACACAGACAGGGAATAAAACCAAGCCAGAGAAACATCTGCTCTCCTCAGCATACAGGGGGATGGCAGAACTTACAAGGTGCTGGTACAGGTAGACATGCCCAAAGCCTCCTGTCCCAAGTCTGTCCTTCATCTCCCAGGAGCCACACAGCTGGCTCTGTTTGAGTGCAGTCCGCTCCATAGTGTGAGGTCTCCTGGAGCCGCTGGACAACGGCTGCTAGAGACCTCCGCTAAAAAGAGCCAAAAAAGAAAAAATCTGTCACTGTTCAGAAACACTGTAGACCTTCATCAAGGCTTCTGCTGTTCAAGTCTTATTATCTACGCATTTACACAGCTATGCCTTTCCCACTTATTAATATGTATTATGTTTTCTTCATCAGTGAACTTCACATTAGTAAACCATATACCACTTAACATGCTAAAAATCAACTGCATATTAAATCCTAATGTGTATTTTCACTCTATTTTATAGCTGGTTTTTGTATTAGATAAATTATCTAATTATCTGTTTTCTTTTGTTGCTTTTTTATATTCCAGTGGTGCACATTGACTTTTGTCATGTTTACCTTGCTGCATATAACTCTTTGCTGCTACAGTGACCTGATTTCCCCACGGGGATCAGCAGTTTTGTTTAATCTACTGCTTTAATCTCGATGTTGCACTAACGTTAACTGTTAACGTTAGCTGTCCTAATAAACCAAAGGTTAAGAGCCTTTTGTTGTTGATCGGGTTAGCCAATGTTAGATGGGTAAAAGTCACATAATTCAAGACAGCTTGACTATGTTGAACAAAATGTCTACCAGAAGCAGCACCTCACTCCACAAACGTTATCAACTCACCTGTCCGTGGGGTCAGAGTCGACCGGTAACAACTAGCTTACTTTAACGTTAAGTTAGATGTCAGAACATTGTTGCTTCGGAGTTAGCTAACGTTAACCGTGTTGTTAACGGTTCGTTTTCTTATTGAGTGTTTTAAACAAGAAGGCTGAACCGACGCAGTTTAACCCTCTGCCTTCACAGCCCATCAAACGCGGCTTTAAATTTAAATTTTATGTTGCGTTTAGTTGTAGTTTTGATGTGGAAAGCTGTAGCTGGAGACGATATCTGCGCAAAGTGAAAGTAGACTGACAGGCAGGCGTCGTTTCTGCGCATGCGTGTATGGTTGAACAGCAGCGGACAGGACACATGGGGCTCTCTGCAGGACGGCTCCTTCTGTTGGGGATTTCCCATCCCACACCAAACAAACAAAGTGGGATGGATTTAACATCATCAGGTGTTTAAATAAACCTATTCGTTTTACTTTTCTTTTTACCATTTGAGCATCCATCGGTAGCAGCTCAGAACGAATATTTCCAAAAGTTTGACATGGTCTTAATCTGTTCAGTAGATGGTGCCATACGCACAGCTTCAGTCAGGAGGCGCGTTCAAGATGACTGCGGGTGACTGCAGGGGTATAAAAACGGCGCCGTAAAGTCGGACACGATTTCTAACCAGCATACCTTATTTTAAGTCCAGCATGCATCACGTTAAGTCGGCGCTGGCAGCGCCACATGAGGTCAAACGCACCTAGGACCTGACAGTCATTACAGTACAGTGCACCGACTGAAAGGGACAGATAAGGTGTCTCTGAAGCTGTGTAGCTACTCATGTACCTACTCAAGATCTCCTTTTCAGTAGAGTCCTGCGCACATGCTAGAAAACATAAGCATAAATAAACACCAACTTTCAGAGCATACAATTCCCATACACAATATACAGTACCCTCCAATGGTAGGCTATTGGAACGGTAAGGCAAATTCCTTAGTTTTTGTTGTTCATTGAAGACATTTGGGTTTAAGATCAAAAGATGAGTATGAGACGAGAGTTCAGAATTTCAGCTCCCATTTTGTGGTATTCACTTCTAGCCTAGATGTGTTAAACAAAAAAGGACAAACCACCCTTTGTTTGAATCCACCCATTTTTCAAGTGAGCAAAACTATTGGAACGTGTGACAAATGTTACTTGTTTCCCAGGTGTTGCCTTTTAGGTTGATTGTCCAAACATTAAATAGCTCTGCATGACTAGTCTAAGTTTTCATCCTTGGTACAAACCCATAAAGACATTTCCTGTTAAAGAGGATAAACCAACAAGAAGACCAGAGAGCTGTCTATGGGAGGCAAGAAAGCCAGTGTCAAGCTGAGAAAAGAAGGAAAATTGAGACCAAGATTAATCTCTACCAAAGTGATGGAAAGGCCAAAGTGTGGAGAAAGAAAGGAACTGTTTATGATCCGAAGCACACAAGCTCATCTGTGAAGCATGGTGGAGGTAATGTCATGGCTTGGGCCTGCATGGCTGCTTCTGGAACAGGCTCATTAATATTTATTGATGATGTAACTGATGATGGTAGTACAGAAACATTTTGTCTGCTAATGTACGGAGAAATGCATTGAAACTAATCGGGAGGAAGTTCATCATGCAGCAGGAGAATGACCCAAAGCACACTGCCAACAAAACAAAGGACTTCATGAGGGGGAAACAGAAGGTTTTAGACTGGCCAAGTCAATCACCTGACCTTAACCAATAGAGCATGCATTTCACCTCCTTAGGAGGTGACTGAAGGGAGAAACACTCCGAAACAAACAAGAACTGAACGAAGCTGCGGGAAAAAGCCTAGAATAGCATCACAAATGAAGAATGCAACAGTTTGGTGACGTCGATGGGTCGTAGGATTTCAAGCCCAACGAACCTTTCACTGAGAATTAAAATTGCACCACTAAATTAAATAGATACAATGAAATGTATGTGTGTGTGTTTTGGACAATATGATTAAATGACAGTGTAAGGGTCCAGACATTTGACGTTTCAGGGAGAACTCAGAATTTCTCAATCTATTAAAACAGACGATGAGCTCACAATAGACCGTGAGAAATGTACAATTGGTCAAGAAATATGACAACATGCTTAAATCGCTGACGCAATGAGGGTAAGTGCTGGTATTGGTAACAATGAAACACCTCCAACTGACTGTGTTTTTGTGGTGTGTGTTCCCCTCTCTGTGAAACAGTTTGTGAAGCAAGACCGATTTCAGATATAAGTGCAAACTTATCCAATAAAAAATGATTGATGAATAAAGATGTGAATAAAGACTATAAAGATGTACAGGCGATTCATTCAGACTGAAAGATTACAATAAATAGTGATAAAATTAAATAAGTCATATGCATGCACACCTGCCCTAGAAACTCTTTGACCAAACAATATTTTTATTTTCTTTAAATCAAATCTTTTTTTTTCTCAGTACACTCGAAAGGGAAGCAGACAGGTATCTTATGATTGAATAGAGAAGCTGAGAACATGTGATCTGTAATTCCTATCACCAGTGTCAGCCCTTGATTTGATTTAAATGTGAATAGTTTGGAGAGTGACGGTAAATGTTCTCAGTGGTTTCTATTGGCTTTTACTGTAGCTCCTCAGGTTTTGTGTTTGTTCCTTCAGAAACAGGAGTAAGAGGACTGTTGAGTGGGATGTGTTTTGCATATGACTTCAGTTTATTTTCTGTAGGCTTGCATTTCTAATTTTTACTTCCTCAATCACCATGTGCACTGTCTATATATATATATATAAGCTCATACATGTTAGAGTACAGACTGTGACCCTGATATAGGGGAGTAACACAGCACATGGAAAAACCGTGGCAATGCACGGCTACGTACAGAGTCAGAGCTATACTGTTGTCATACAAAGTCTGAGGCCATGCCCATGGTCAGTCCATCTCCTAAAAAAATCCACAATAATTTTATATATGTTGTAAATATCATATTTATACACAAGAAATGTTATCTGTTCACTGATAACCTGTCTCACCCCAACACAGTATCATCAACACCCCTTACTTTTCTGGTGCAATTGTAGAGATTAACAAAGTCTGGAGGTGTTGTATTAGAGCGAGTTGATGAAGATACCAAGAATTCAAAGGAGGTATTTTTTTTTTAGCCTTTACAGAATATGGAGGGCAAATTCAGAGAAGACTGGGAGAGGCAAAATAATCAAAATTCTCCAGGTTGCAGCTGGCTTCAACCACAAATATTTTGGGTTATCCTGGTTTGGTTCATTTCTGTGGAATACATAGTTCTTGTTTTGAAATTAAAACAGCTGTGTGGACATTTATCAGAGAAGGCTATTGGAGTCATTAAATAAATTGATCAATATGCATTGTTCAGTTGATTCATGCTTCCTGAATTGGCATCATACGTTTTTGGCTCATCCCATAAAGACCTCAGGTCCAGAAAGCTGTCATATCTGGCTATTCACATCAAAGAGAAGGAAACATGAGTAACACAGGCGTCAGAGATTTTAGTCAAGAAATCCCCATGTAAAATCTATAACAATGCCTATTGTTTTAGGGGAAGTTGTATTACATTACTAGTGTAACATGTGCAAAGAATGTTGTTTTGAAATTGCAGCTGCTCTGTTATCCGAACCAGATCTTTCTTTCAAGTTTCCAGAATAGGTGGTCTTGATTAATGATGCTGCTGTCTGCATGTGGTTACAGGCAGATAAAGAGTCAATATAGATGCAATGCATGGTGATAATAGATAACAGAAGTGCCAATAAAATTGCACTGTTTTACTTGATCTAGTTAAAAGCAGTATAGCTGTATTTTGAATCAATTTAAATGTTTGTGTAAATGAATGTAAATTAATACAAAACACTGCAATATTCATACTTTACTACTACTTGACAGACGAAGATTTGAGGATGAGCTTAGACATTGTGGTGTTTAAAAATGTGATACAGACAGTGTCATCTGCCACAATCAGAGGAAACGGACTCTTAATGATTTTTAATATTATTTGGAATTCTGTCACAAATCCCAAATAAATCAGTGTGACTTATCTGGAAATAATTTTAAAATTAATTTATTAAAATTAGGGCCCTATTCAATGAATGTAAGTGTTTCATTAGAGCTCTGAGGCAAACAAATACAGAATATGTAACATCATTGTACATTGTGTGGAAAAATATTTAATCTAATTTTATAGTTTCTTGATGGGAAATTTAAAGCAAACACAATGGAGCAAGGAATTAAACACCAGTTTGAGCAAATCCCATCAAGACCACTTTAGTGTGCTTCAGTGCAAAAGAGACTTCAGTTGAACATTAAGCATTAACATTAAGATGTCATGTAATGCCTTTAACAAAGCATTTTTTCTTACATGTTGTAATGCCTACAATCCAAATGTCTTTTATGGGAAAAAATATTTATTGAATTTAGTTCATTAGTATTACTCATGAATCTCAAACCTGTCATTCTATCTTTCAGTGAAGTCTGTTCATCTGCACCCACAGCTGGAGCAGTCCTCATTGTATACATGACCAATTTTGGATATGTTTTTTAAAATTGTATCACTGTGTTCTAAAGGCAGAAGGGGTGTGTGTAATGTGTATGTATCACAGGACATGACAAATTCTTTGGTCAAGACCGCTGATTAGCAATTTGTTGCCAGTGATGTTTTCTTTTCCTAAACCCCTCCCACTTGTAGCCTGTGTGTTTTTAAATGGGAGGAAACGTGGGGAGGATCAGCACTGTAAAACCGAAGCAATCAACAGCGTGAGTCCTGCCACAGCTCAGGTGCATATCAGAGGGTACAGAGAGGAGAGAACAGTCACATCATCTTGAAGAAATAACAAAGGGCTTCATCAGGACTACAAGTTTGGACTGAAAGGTAAAAATAACTCTAAGAAAGCTTCCTAGACTGTGACATTCAGCAAAATCTTTAATGTTTTAGTTTACTTCATTATATAGCCCAAAATACACAAATAACAAATTTGCCTCAAGGGGCTTTACAATCTGTATAGCATTGGACAGCCTCTGTCCTTAGACCCTTGATTCGCATAAGAAGAAAGAAAAACTCCTTTAACTGGGAAATAAAGGAGGAAACCTCAAGAAAAGCAGCAGATGAGGATCTCCCAGGACCGACAGACATGCAATAGACATTGTGTACAGAATAGATCAACATAATAAAATTACAATGTAGCCAGTCTGGATGACAAAATTGTAGATATTGTAGACCCGGAAAGAGGACAAACTACACAAACACACAAGAGGCAGAGGAGAGTGCTTGCTGACAGAAATTGTGCGCTGAAAACAAAGATTTAACTGTTTATCCATTTTCCTTATGTTCATTGTCACATTGATACTGTGTCCTAGAAATATTTAGAAACTGAATGTTTGAACTGTGCACACTGCAAAGCTAATGTGATGTAATGGTGTGTGCATGCCATGCAGTAATCAACTAACCTAAACTGATATTGAATTTAATTTGGAAGAGATTCTGTTTTTTTTTATCACAGAGTGCATACTGTGAGCATGCTCTAGCTGTTGCTTGCACATTAAAACTGCCACAGAACAGTCTTCTCCTCTGCAATAGATGTACACATGCAATCGACAGAAACGTAACTGTGTGTGAAATGAAGATGGCCACACTTCAAACACAGACAAAGACGCCACATGTGTATTCATTAGTCACACATGTTTCTGTCTTGTGATGTGCCTGAAAATAAATTCCATGTAAGGGCAGGGGGGCGTCAAAACCAGTCGTCCAGTGTTTGTTTGTTCCATTTCTGTCATTTTTATTTCTTTTTTCAGTCCATTTTCAGACACAAATATCCCCAAAAAGGAGAAGCAAAACCCGAAGTGAAGATGAGAGTGTTAGTCATCCTCGCCATCCTTGCAGCATTCAGTGTTAATGCGGTAAGCAACAGTAAGAGGAAGTGACTTTGGGTTTAATAGTCATTGGTTCAGAAGGTTTATGAATCTAAATAAAACGTGTTTGTCTGTGCTCCTCTCAGGTTTTTTCAAAAAGAAGGACTAAAATTAGTTTACCTCAACCGCAGGGCTCTGAAGAGGGTAAGCCAACTGTCAAGGCAACACATAATCTTAATAATCTGCTTCTGTTGTTTCATAGACATAAAAATGTTCATGTCTCTCTTTGTAATGTGGTCTTTAGAGTTGTGTCTGACTAAGGAAGGGAGCAGTTACAGGGGATCTGTTTCCATGTCAGTAAACAACCGCAGATGTCTCAACTGGAACTGGTTTAAAAACCCTTGGGGGGCTTCAAAGGGAATCGACAAGCATAATTACTGCAGGTATGCTTTAAGTTACCAATCTGGCACCTAGATATGATAGTGAGAGGTATCGTGTTTTTGATTGATTATGTCACTTGAATGCTAGGAATCCTGACCAGAGCTTGATGCCGTGGTGTCGTGTCCGAATAGGAAGGAGAATTGTAAAGGAATTCTGCGTTATTCCCAGATGTAAGGCTGAGAGTGGGAATTTCAACATTGTCAGTATTGTGTTTGATGGGGATTTTTCTAATGATCACTGATTTCTGCTCCCATACAGGTTCTTCACCAACAGGGATTCCGCTGGATACAGGTAGTTTTGCTGTTTAAGTGCACTTTTTCTCATTGTCTTCTCATGATCGCCTTCAACAGCACACACTGACTTGTTCTGTGTCCCTGCAGAGCGAACATGTGGTGAGAGGTCTGAGCGGAGGATGCACAAGATTGTGGGTGGTACTTTTACCACCATAGAGTCGCACCCATGGGTCGCTGCTATTTTTCGTAAAAGTGACCGTTTCCTCTGTGGTGGCTCTCTCATCGCACCTTGTTGGGTTGTCACAGCTGCACACTGTTTCTCAGATATGTGAGAAAAAAACACAACGCAAAACACAATTTCCTCCGCTGCACTTACTATAATGGTACATATGACTCATATGTGTATGTAATGTTTACACACTTGTTTGTGTTCAGCGATGAGACTAGCATGCAGCATATGTCTGTATACCTGGGGAAGTCTGCCATCAACGAGACAGATGATGGGCAACAGAGATTCACTGTAGAAAAACTGATCATCCACCAAAACTACAATGAGACCAACTTCAACAATGACATAGGTACGCGCAACTGTATGGTGTGCATGTATGTGAGGAAGAGAAAGAGCAGCATGGGTGCTTTGTGTGCAGGACTCATTGCTGTGTTTGCTTTGCATTTCAGCACTGTTGAAGATCAAAAGCAAAAATGGAGGATGTGCTGTGAGGTCAGCGTCTGCACGGACAGTGTGTCTTCCTCCACGTCACACCCAGCTTCCTGCAGGATTTCAGTGCAGCATTGCAGGATTTGGAAGGGAGCGCTACCGTATGTACTGAAGAAACTGTAACCTGCAGATTTATGAGTGATCTCTCAGCCATTTCAGTGATTCCTACACCTGTTTTGTCTGCAGTGGCGTGGCACAACTCACAGTACCTGAAACAGGCCAAGGTGAATCTGATCTCCCAGACTGACTGTCAAAAGGAATCATACTATGGAGCTCTCATCACTCCGAACATGTTCTGCGCTGGGAGCCCTGACTGGAGCACTGATGCCTGCAAGGTGAGCTAAGAACCCAGTGTGTGAATGTGCATGTGAGCACTGGGAAAGAGGATGTTAAAAGGCCTAAAGAGAAAAAAAACAGAAGGCTTCTTGCTTGCGACCAGTGAATCACTTTAGTCTTGCTTTAAATGTCTGCGCAAAAGCAGAAGTGCATAAAGAACAGAACCCAGCGGTATTACAGGAAATCTGAGAAGCACTCTTTTCTCATCCTAAGTGTTAGATTGATTATATCGTCTTCTGATCGCAAGTAGATGTGTTTATTTATGCCCATCTGTAAGCCTTAATAAAACTTGTTAGTCTTAGTATTGGGGAGTTTCTGATCTTTTTCACTTTTGGTTGCATTATATGAATATCTCTTTACATTTATCTCTTTTCACATTAACATGTTTTTTTTTCATTGTGATTATATTTTTGTGAAATAATTTCTACTGTTAGGAAAGAAATGTATCACAAATGAGTGTTACTTTATTACACAACAGAAATTTAAGAGTGGCTTACCTTGTCTGAAGGACATAACTGTCACTCAATTATTATTATCATTCTGGCAGTCTATGAAGACACGTACTTTCATAGAAGTGCTCAAATCTAAACATACTGGAGCCTTTCTTCACTCTGTGAGCACTGACTGACTGATGTGTACTCTCCTCACAGAATGACTCTGGTGGTCCGCTGGTGTGTGAAGTGTCAGGTCGGATGTTTCTGTTCGGGGTGGTGAGCTGGGGTGACGGCTGTGCCAAGAAGAACAAACCAGGCGTTTACACGCAGGTCACCAAATACAACGACTGGATCGCAGAAAAAACAGGGCTCTCCAAATACACAAAAGGATCAATGTATCCCCAAAAATGACGCTGTGACAGAAAGTTACCTTTTTGGGCATTTTATTTCTTAAAGAAAAATTTGGCCTCAATTGTGTAGGCTCTGGGTGCATGCAAGCATGTAGAGGAGTAGCTGAAATAGTTTTGCACAGTTAAGATTTACTGTAAAAGTGCAAACTGAATGTTTATTTAAAAGTATTTTATTGCATGTAATTCTTTTCTTTGCACTTTGGCGCAAAAACTTTTCATACCAGATTATGTTTTTTTAAACAAGCTATTAGAAAGTTTATTTATTTTATTTAATAAGCATTTCCTCTTAGAGGGCTGGCCCTGCCGTAGAGCTATTTTTTAAATAATAAATAAAATTTTGTATTACATATTTGTCATGCTCATTAATCTCCAAACCCCCAATGTTTTTTTTTTCTCTCTGGCTCTTGCATATGCATATACTCTTGCAACCACACACAGAAATTGTACACACCCACTTGCTTGCTTACTGTAGGCGCACAAATTTCCTGTGTTCATGCTGTTTATCAGAAAAGCAGCAGCCGCAATGAGCATCTGCTAGAGCAGTGCCGTTCAAACTGGGGTGTGGGCCCTCTTCAGTGTGTGTAGCTGCTGAAGAAGGGAGGGGTGTGTGGATGTTGAGCAGACAGTTGCATCAATATGATTCACGTGTTAATATAAACAAACAAAAGTGCTCTGGTCCTAGCAAGGCTATTTGGCTAACCTGAATCTTTTGTTTATTTCATGATTGATGATCATGACTGATACAAATGAAATCAACTTTTACTGGGGTGGCGAACCACAGTGCCAGAGGACATAAATGTGTGCCTAACATGTGAACTATACATTTTTATGAAATGAACTGCAGAAATAATGCAGTAAGAAGTGCAAAACAACTGAATCTGTTAGTTCAATTCAGTTTGGTATGTCCTAATGAACGCATCAAACACTGGATGGCACTGTTGTGTAAACATTCTGTACAGGCAGCTCCTCACTCTAAAGCATACTGAGATCACATACAATATTTTAATATAAACAGTGACATAACTGAAGACAGTTAGGTTTAACTGGTTTAACCCACACTTGTTACACTTTTTAGATACTATGAATCAATCAGACGTGTAGCAACTTAATTTCAATTACATTTGAACTAGTTGTCAGAGTCAAATGGAAATATTAAATATAATTGGGGCTTGGTTCTTGTATCTCTCTAAAGATGCTATGAATTATTTCACTAAACATCTGTTGAATGGACAGCAGCTTTTTTAATGTTCAGCATAAAAACACAGTCAGCAAAAAAAGACAAAAGAAACATTAATTAAAGATTAGGTTTAATATGGTTTATGATCAGAAAACAAGATTCTAAATGTTAACATTAGCATCAGTGATGTTAGGCAGGTATAATGTTTACGATGTTCCTAGTGTTAGCATGCAAACATTTGCTAATTAGCACAAAAGTAGCTACAGTTGAGGATGAATTGAATGTCATTAGTTTTGTAGGTATTCTGTAACCAAAGTAAACCAAAGTATTGGAAAACGCATTAGGATTCATCCCCTGGGCACCATGAATGTTTGTACTAAATGTCATGTCAATCCATAATAGTTGTTAAGATATTTCAGTCCGCACCATAGCCTTAAACCCCGACATTGCTATCCCTATAGAGCGATGCCGCTGCATGGCAAAATTTCATTTTGTCAGAATCAATGCTGACTTACTGTACTGGCACAAAGGAGTTTGAGTGCTGCTTTGGGTCTACAAACCCGAGCTGTGTGCACGCAGACAGTAAATAGTTTCCATCCCAGAATCAGTTGTAATGAAGGTAAAGTACTCTTCAGTGCTTATATGTAGTTTTAAGAAAAACATATTTATTGCAGGACTCGGCCAGAAACTATTGTTTATATCCATATGCAGCATTGTCAACGCACATTGTACAAATGAAAGTAGCTCTACTAAACATGGTTCTGCTGCAGAGTGGGGAAGGCTGAGTGTCACATTTGTGGGGTAATCATCAGAGTACACTCTGTTATACTGAACAAGCACAATCCAACCGGTCATCACGTCATTATTGAAAGCATACTTCAAAACCTCTCCAAGCAACCTGCTGCAATGCTTTCTATCAAAGTCTGTTTGGACAAGTCCACATAAACAGATTGTTCACAGCAATGCTCCTGGAGCCAATCACAGTTCATCCTATTCCCCCTCAATTATTCACAGAGTTTACAGTTTACTTTACTGACTACTCTGCCTCAATCCATATATGGATTGGAGATGTTGCGAGTATGAGTATGAGTCTTACTCCTCTTTAAGGACAATTCCTAAGGAAGAGGAGAGGAGAGGGCAGGGTCTCTTCCAATCAGGTGGACCAGAGTGTCTAGTCTCTGTAGTTTGGATCGCAGCTGCTTAATTGTCTACAGCCACATTAGGGTCACACACACACACACACACACACACACACACACACACACACACACACACACACACACACACACACACACACTCTCCTTGCTGCAGGATAATGCTGGGTCTTAGGGTGAGAAATATTGCTGTTTTTGCTGCTGGAGTCTCTGGTTTCCAAAGTTTAGAAGTTAAAGTTACAGTATGGAATAAATCTGAATCTTTGCCTTTAATGCAACCTGTCAGGTGGATGTTAAACCAGTGGTACAGCTGCTCATCCAGGATCATCTGTGTCAAAGTAAAAAAGGTTGGAGAAGTAGTTTGTGGGTGCAGTGCAGGATCTGTAAGTCTCTGTCTGCTGGAGGGTCTCCTTCTTTCAGCTGCAGCCAGCAGCAAGCTGAATCCTTGGTCTTTATTTAGACCTGGACATTTAGGCCTGGAGACATGAACTCCTCACCCACTTTTTAATGAACATAGATCATATATCAAATGCAGGTTTGAAGCTTCACAAAAAGTAATAAAAAAAACAACACTCACCACCAGTTATCTTCATCAGTATAGGCGCTGGTGCAGCTCCTCATCCCATCTCCAGTGTCTATGGTTTCACAGATGTGAAGCTGACCTTTATCTGCATGTGCATGGAGCGGCCTCCAAACACAAAGTTTACAACCCTCCCCTGTTATATGTTACCCCCCCCCCCCCCCCCCCCCTTCTCTGCTCTCACCTCTTCTCCCATATCTTGGAATCACGATATCTTCCCATTATGTTTCCCAAACACTTTCCTTTTGGGGGCCACTGGCATGCATGACGTAATTTGGGAAGCGCTCTCACTTGCAGCGTGTGTGCGCGCGCGTGTGTGTGTGATGGGTGTGTGCGTGCATGCATGCAGAGAAAGCGTCAGTGCGCACCAACCCGCTTGGGAGCTGTATTCCTTCGCTGTGATTGGGCGGAAGGCGGTGATTCCTTCTGTCACGATTTGGGTCGCTCCCACCGGAGGACACGGAGCGTTAGAGCCTTTGCCGAGGTGCGCTCTAGAGGAGACGGTGCACACCGGGAGGAGAAACGCATGAGGGTTTCGTCTCAGGGGCAGGACTGGCAACTCGGGATTTGTCCTCCTGTCTGTTGGCGAGGAGAGGAGAGGAGAGGGAAGGAGAGGAGAGGAGAGAGAGGGGGGGTCTTCAGAGCTGGAGCGACCAGCCGCCTTTCTTCTGTCGGGGCTGCGGTAAAAGTCGTTCACGATGCCGGTGTTTCACACCAAGACCATCGAGAGTATCCTGGAGCCGGTGGCCCAGCAGATCTCCCACCTGGTCATCATGCACGAAGAGGGGGAGGTGGACGGGAAAGCCATCCCAGATCTGACGGTGCCGGTGGCGGCGGTGCAGGCGGCAGTCAGCAACCTTGTGCGGGTGAGTCCAGAGTTCTACACAGGGCGTCGATTCACTAAAACCTCACTGGCAAAGTGTCTTTATCCATTGATGTAGCCTATGATCCAAACCAACGCGATTAAAGGAAAAATTTCAGGAGACAAACTCGTGCTAACTGATCTGACAGTATTGCTTTTATTAAATCCATGTCATATATTTGCCTGTTAGAACAGTGGGTAATCAAACTGTCCTGCACTGCACACGAGGCAGTTAATTTCATTTCAGTGTGGCTTCCAGATTGATTCCTTGCAACCCCGTCTTGATCTTTGCTCGCCATTAAAATGAAATAAAACTACCAAACACCCAGCTGACGCTCATGGTTCAGGAGCTCGAACCTGCTGTAGTTTTCTGCGCATACAACACAGCAACACTGTACAACAGGATGTCAATGCCGATTGATAATCAGATGGCCGCTGAGCTTAATGAAGTTTGTGGGGCGGAAGAAACGAGTCCTGATTGAATTGACAGGATGCGTCCCCCCCCCCCCCCTCTCTCTTTCTCTCTCTCTCTCACACGCATGCACACAGACACACACACACACACGTGTGTGAGTAATCAGTTATGAAGGAAATGTTACTTGTGTTTGAGGGAATGGTGTATATTTTATTCTCAGCTTCATTAAGATTAAGCTGCATTAGATTTTTGCAGATTTTAGCTTTGTAGAACAATGGATTTAACAAAGCCCATTTATAGTCATACACTTCAAAGAGAATAGATACAGCTTTTGTGATTTACCAGACTCCCCCCTCTTTTCTTCATCTTCCCTTCGCTTTCCTCCCTGCTCTGTCCTTTCCCAGCTTCTTTGACCCCTCCACTTACCCTCTTGTCCCATCACATTTCCTCTGTCTCCTTTCTCCTCTGTTGTCTTGAGTCTTGTTGAGCAATGTTGCTGGAGGAAAGTCCAACTATGTTTTGAACGGATAGCGGCGGGGCGGGTGGCAGAGTGGTGGGCAAGGGGTTTACGGTGGTAATCTCAACACTGCCCAGCAGCATTGCTCTAAAAGTTGTTCCGTATATCATCAGCTTTAGTGCTGCTCTTCTGGCCATGGCTCCTGCTGCAAAAAACAGGATCCCTTTTCACCAAGACTGTCTTTTTAAAACTAAGTTTAAGATTGTTATTGATATAGCCTAATACTGGGATGTATGGACCACAATTTCCTCTGTGGAAAGGATTGGAGACTGATAGCCAAGTATTGGCTAAATGCATATTACTCAGCATGTGTAAGGACAGCCAGAATGATTCTGAAGTAAGACAAATATATTTGGATTATGCAAATCCATATATGAAAGGTCATTAATATTTTGCACAGTCAGTGTCCACAGTGTCAGTGACTGGAATATCTTACATTGTTTCCTAAGTTATAGTTAAAAGATAAAATTTAACTTAAAATTATGACATATTACGATGTTAAATGTTACTCTGCAAAACCTTGAGTATAAACTAAACACAAAATTATAGTTATTGGTACTTTCGTTATTAGTATTAGGGACAGTTCACCCAAACACACAAGCTTAGTTTTTCCTTTCTTCAGTGTCTGAACTGTCCATTCAGATAGTTCTTGAGTGATTTGCAGTACATTGCAATACATTTCATAGCTATTGTTGTCAGAATACTTTAAATAACTTACAGTGAATAAGGGATCTTTTTTGGTTCTGATGTCATGTCAAACTTTTGAATAGTTCTTACATAAGGATGCTGCGTCCCTGCACAAGATCACTTTGATAAATATCTCATTAACTGATAACGAAAAGGGCCACTCAGTTTGAACTCAAACACAGCGGCATGTTTTAATGAAAAAAAAAACTTTTTATGTGATACCATCCAGCTGCTCTGAGTCCTTGATATTCCATTGCTACTGGGCAAAAGGCTCCATCTCTCTATTTCTCTGCTTGATCCATTCAGTTGATCCATTCAGACAGTGAGCAGAAGGAGGCTAATGGCAGCCTCAGGTGTGTCGCTGGGTCTGAGATGATGGAGATGCGAGGCTACAGAAAGAGATACCGGCTGAGGACATAGTAATACTGAAGGTGTCAGACAGAGGAAATGCTGTTAGGATGGGAGGGACTCTTTAATTAGGTAGAGGAGGGAAAAATCAACCCGATAAATGAAAACTATGAAGCAATAAAAAGTCAAGTTCCCAGCATTTGCTGTTGTATTTTTGGGAATGGAAGATTTCAGGCTTATTGTACACTTAGACACTCTGGATAACAATGCGACTAAATGCTTACATGCAGATGAAGAAGAAATGATGAGTACTTGTGTAGTTCACTGATAGAGGGCCGAGAGTTAAGAAGTGGGTGACAAGAAGGTGTTGAAAGAGAGCACAAAAGGTGCTTGAGCAGCTTGGTTGGTTGCCGGGTAGATAAACTTAACTGGAAGTAAAGGACACCTGAAGCTCAAACACACACACTTCTGAGCACACATGCTTTATTTTAGAAAGCTGATTCATTTCTACACTTGCGCAGTTTGAGCTAAGATATAACACAGTATACAGCAACATGCCACCATCACCACAAGAGTCCCTGTGCACACTGATACAATTACACTGTTAACCCGTCCAGGGTGGGCTGGCTGCGGGGGGTACTTCAAATCTAGGTCACTGAGACACTTAGACACACACTAGACGGTGTCAGTCTCACTCAGTCAGAGGTTGTGCATGGGTTGACGCTGTTTCGCTGTTGGTGTATTTGGTTGAAGTTGTGCCTCAGTGGTGTTTGTGAAGTATCTACTCCTGAAGGAGTCAACATAGATCCTGAGTATGTCTGGGGGAGGGGGAGGAAGGAATAAATAGATTTACCGTTGAGTGAAGTAACCAAACACTGACAGAACAGAGCAGAAAGAGAGGGAGAGGAGGGATGCAAGGAGTGAGACTGTCGACTAAAACTGTCAAACAGTGTGACGCAGAATGAGGAAAGAAGAGGAGGGATGGAGACAGGGCGAGAAATAACCACTTTCAGTCGGACGCTGGCACCCTGTGAAGGAGGGAAAGTGTCTGTGGCATCTTCAGACTGTGCCAAGCCTCATAGGCCACCCTTCCACCTCATAGGCCACCCTTCCACCTCCACCAACTCCAATATGAAAGTGGTCACTCTCAGTAATGAACCAACAGATGATCATCAGCTGACTCTGCAGTTCCTCGTAGCCCCACAATGCGTTTCCACATGTTTCAGCTCATTGTTTTGGTTTTACAGTTTTTAGCAGCTGAAGAGCCAGACATTACAGATATAGGAGTTGGTGGAGACCAAAATAGAGCTAAAAAAGAGTGAATATACACTTACATTTGTCTGATGGGTTCAACAATGTGTATAAATAGACAACTAAAATTTTAGCTATAATGACTTTATAAGGCTATATTATGTCAAATGTGTGATTTTTAGTGGCCACACTTTTGCAGCTCTAAGATAACAAACATTTGCTTTTACTTGAGTACAGTTTCACATAAGTGCAGATTAGCTTGCTTTTCTCAATGTCTTAAAAAAAGATCAATTCATTGATTAATATAAAAAAAAACATCATTGGATTATTTTGATTTTTAAAATAGTTTTGGGAAGATCTTCTTTGATTTGATAGCAGTAGAAAGGTGACAGGAAAGGAGGCAAGACAGAGGAGGAGAAATAGCTAAAATAGTTATTAATCATGACTTGCAGGAGTTGACTTTTGTCATCATACTTTGCACCAGACCCTTAGATCCCGTGGAAAATGAGTATGAAAGCTGTTCCCACATCAGAGCTGATCCCTTTGGCTCTGAGATAAGACCAGGCTAATTGTATTGTGTCAGTTTTAATTGACAACTGTCTGTTTCCTGCTGAAGCAATCACACCTTTTGTGCTGTACACCACACACACACATCACACCGTCAGTGTGTCCAGAAAGTCACTTAACTTATCATTAATTATGCATTGAAAAATTGATGCCATGGGTTGCTGCTTACAGGAAACTCTGGAGCTCACACAGCTCTTTGATCGGTCACCTGATGTGATTCTGTGAGTTCGTCCAGAGGGGGTTTCATCAGGGTGTGATCTACTCCCTGCTTTTTTAAAAATAAGTTAATTCAAGACATATCTCAGCGCTCAGTTATTTTATTTGTACCCTTAATGACATTTTTGTTCGTGAACATTCATTACAGTGTTTCACAATGTCAAATTACAGCACCGCCAGACATACCGTATCATACATATTTAATTTGTAAATTAATTTACAAAGATGCCAAAGTTTACTTTTATTTTAGAAAGGGTGGGATGATTATGAAATACATCTTATTTATGTGTAAAATGTTTATTCTCACAGTTTTATCATTACATGCGGCTGTGGCTTGGAGGTAGATCGGAAGATCTGCTGTTCAATCCCCGGCTTTCCCCATGTTGACGTGATGTTGGGCAAGATACCCCAAGATACCCACTGGCACATTGCATGGCAGCCTCTGCCATCAGCGTATAAATGTGTGTGAATGTGACATGTAGTGTTAAGTGCTTTAAATAGTCGTAAGACTAGAAAGGCACTATACAAGTACAGTCCATTTCCATTTCAAACTTGATCTTGACTGGTCCCTTCAAAGAAATGGAATAGTTACTGTGTGTTGCGTACATTAGTTACACACAGATGAAAACACTTATGAAACTTGTTTCTATGGTTCATAAAATACAACCACTTTATTGATTGCTATTGCACAAAACAGAGTACCATCACACTGGCTGAAATTGGTTTTCTTGCTATATTATAGTCTAAAGCGGCATAATCTGAATCTGAAAAGAAATCACACGTGAAGAGCAGCTGAGTTGGATGTCAGTGTTCTGTAGGTGAATCTGTGTTGTTTCTGGAGCCAAAAAGTCTATTAACCAACTTTCATTGGCGCAGTAGCAAGAGACTTATGTCATCATCATTGTAATTGCATCTCAAGATGTGTGTACGTGTGTGTGTGTACGTGTGTGTGTGTGCGTGTGTGTGTGTGTGTGTATGTGTGTGTCTGTGTGTGTGTATGTGTGTGTGTGTGTGTGTGTGTGTGTCTGTGAGTGTCTGTATGGGATGTAGGATGTGTTTTGTGTTTAAGAGTCAGTGTTTCAGAGACATGTGACTTTTCAGCCAGCTGTTTCACTGTATAAATATCTGCAGAAGATGTGAGCTATGTCACCCTACTGTGTGTGTGTGTGTGTGTGTGTGTGCGCGCCTGTGTGTGTGTGCAGATTAATTACACACTATGACTTTCTGCCTGTTTGTAAGTGATTTATACAAATTCTATGACGAAACAGAGAAAATGACAGAATCTTCAGGAGAAATGAAATGGTCCCAGGTTTCTTGTTTCTTACTGAGCCTGGGCATCAGAAAAGATATGGTTAGTTTTACAAGTCAGTGTGCAGGTAATGAAGCCTCAGGGATTTAAAATATCTCAGAAGGAAAACCAAAATCTAGGCAGCTCAACAAATAATGTCCAAATATATTTTTTAAATGTGACATTTAATGGTGTCCATATTTTGACTTATGTTGTAACAACAATATGTGGCTATGGAGGTGACAATGTTTCTTTGCAATAAATAGAATATGATAACATGCAGACCCGGACATAAAGATGTATTTTTGTTTTTGAAATGTTTTACTGCAAAACAGAAACCCATTGTTTACGTATTTGTGGAGTGAGAATGTTATATTGTTTGCAACCAAATAAATCTACAGAGGAATTTAATCAAGATCCCTTAATGTGTTGAAATTAATTTGAGGGTCATTAAAATGTCAAAGTATTTAGTTTTAATCCCAATCAGAAAGAAAATAATCAAGTATCTCTAAAAGAAAAATAATCAATGCGGAAAGTCATGACTGTCAAGTTCGATTTGTTCAGCAAAGAGAAAACATGTGCATTTGCCTTCACCAGGTCAATATCATGTGTGTCGTGAATCGTGCCTGTCTAATGTAGAAGATTTTTACACTCCTAGCAAACATTTTACGCTTTACTGATGACTAGATGAAATCAGTGCTACTGACCTCCAGGTCAAGGCCACATATGGGTGCTTGGTCTAAACAGTTGTTTAATTAGAGCAGTGTGAACATCCTCCCCCCGACCTGCCCTCATGTACAATAACAGATGAACAGAGTCAACCAGAGCCCGAGCTGCTTCCCTTCAAAGTTCAAAAGATATGACATGCACTCATGGTTGAAATAGGTGTGAATTGATACACACCCTTCACCCTTCAGACTATTAATAGTGCTCATGTGAATACTATTTCCTGTCTTGCTGCAGCTAATGATTATAATACAAATGGTCCATCCGTGTGTTGCAGGTGGGGAAGGAGACTGTTCAAACCACCGAGGACCAGGTGATGAAGAGAGACATGCCTCCTGCGTTCATTAAGTAAGGCTATCTCTGAAGCACCGCTCTAGTTTCTTTGTACATCTCCCTCAATCATGCTCTCACCCACACTCACTCACAGAAATACCCAGAGACAAAATTATGGAAATGATCCACTTTATCTCAGCAGACAGAGAACTTGTTAAAAAGAGGATTCCAGACGATTCAGTGTTAGGAAACATGGCTGTGTTCCCAGCTGCAACAAAGAGCCACTTCTGAGGCAGAGCCCGGGTGACTTGTCCGGCTCCAGCATCAAGACCGCTGAGAGGCTGTTTGTTGTTTTCCAGCTTGCATCCAACGAGCTGACATGAAGTCTGGGTGCTGGCTGAGAGCTGCTACTCAGCAACCCTGGGACTTCAGGCTGTGTTTGCTTGCCTGTATGTGATGCATTTGTGTGTATGTCTGTGCTTTTACTGTGCATTTGCTATAATTCCAGTTTGTTCTCTCAATGATTTCTGTCGTTGCCTAATTTTTTAATTTCCAATTAGTTTTTCAGTTTTAAGAAAAGGGTCCTCAAGAAGATCCACACACTGCCCTCTCAGGCTAACCTGCACATTCACGGGGCATTACACCATAAATCTCCCTCACAGGGCTTAGGAGGGGGCGTGTGGGAATGTGAACCAGCCTAAATATAGTTGAACCAGCAGCCATCGATACCCTTACCAATGGGGGTCAGAAAGAGGAGGCGGACTTGAGAGATTGATGAGAAATTGGCGGGTTTTGCAGTATTAAAAGTTACATTATTTCTAACACAACAAACTCTGAATCCTAGATTTAATTACAAGGCATTTAAAGCTGATATTTATATGGAAGAGGCCTTTCAAATGTAACTAAACTAAAAATCTCTTTAAATTTGGTTCACAACACACTTCCCTACGTATGCACTTTGTTATACCTTGTAACCATCTCTTGTCACCAGGAGAGCAGCTTCTTTAATGGACTGTGAGATGTTCTGATTTTTTACTTAGTAGTAGATGTGAGATCTAGTCCATTTGATTCACAAGGTGATACATTCCTGTTATTGGTAAATGTATATCCTGCATTTAATCCTTACTGCTCCTCTTAAGCCAGCTGTGTTTTCTCAGGGTGGAGAACTCGAGCTCTAAGCTCGTCCAGGCGGCTCAGATGCTAAAGGCAGATCCGTACTCTGTTCCTGCGCGAGATTACCTGATCGATGGGTCCAGAGGGATACTGTCTGGAACGTCCGACCTGCTCCTTACCTTTGATGAGGCTGAGGTGTGTGTGTGTGTGTGTGTGTGTGTGTATGTGTGTTTACCTTCTTGTGTGTGTCCTGAGAATTACTTCAGAGGTGTGGTATCTTTCAGGGAAATAAAGCTTTTTATAGCTGTACAGAGGAAGGAGGAACTCTGCTTAGCGCAAGTCTGTAATGGACTCTCAGATGCAAAATGCAGCCAGATCTAATCACTGAGATCAAATGACTTCCCTCTGTCATAACTCAGGATGTGTGTGTATGGCTGGCTCTGTGCGTTAGTGTGTGTGTATGTGTTTCATGTTTATATATCCCAGTGGGGACTTTAACCTGAATGCACACTAAACAATGAGACTAGTGTCACCGTGGGGAAGATTTTGGTTTGTGTGTGTTGAATGTTTGATGGCAGCTCCATAAGTGAAATCACATTGGGCACGTGATAATGCTCATCTCTAGCCTAATTTTTGAAAGAGCAGCTTCTCACAGTCACAAGACATACATCACAAGACTTTACACACACACACACACACACACACACACACACACACACACACACACACACACACACAAAGAAACCACACAAACAACTGGGTAACTTACTGTTTAAAAAAGCTCATGCACACATTGAATCGTTATAATCAGCCTTTGTTTCTGGCCTATATTCATGTTGTCACCTGCTTGTCATTATGTCTACGTTGTGTCATAGGTGCGGAAGATCATTCGCGTGTGTAAAGGTATCCTAGAGTATCTGACGGTAGCTGAGGTGGTGGAGACCATGGAGGACCTCATCACTTACACCAAGAACCTGGGACCAGGTCAGCGGGAGTTTTCTTTTTAAAAAGCAGTCCTACTAGAAGAGCCTCCATCCAAAATGTATTTGAGCATTTGGGCATTTTCATCAACCAAAGAATATTTAAAGATCGGTTAAATATGGTGAGAGAAGGAGCATGCAACGAAGGACCTCCACATTATTAACAAGTGGCCTTAAGCACATACAGAAATCCTATTTTGTTTTCAGGCATGTAGCAAAATTACGGGCTGATACAGTTAATCTGTTATGAAAAATGTCAGTTTTAAGGGAGTGCTGTTCAGTATTTCAGCAGGTTGTTCCAGCTCAGAATTCAACGATTAGTCAACTAATCAGACAGAAAAAAATTGGGAAACATTGGGAAAGCTGATTTAAATTCCTTTCACAAGGCCAAACATTCCCCAGTTCTTGTTTCTAAATTGTGAGAATTGTGTGAACTGACAATCTTCGTTTGAGACTGTTGGTCGAACAAAACAAGCTGAAGAAATAAGCTTGAAAGAAGCTGTCTCTTTGGACCAAATAATGAATCGATTAATCAAGAAAATAATCAGCAGATTAACTGATAATGAAAATACTAGTTAGTTACAGCCCTGTTCTAGTTACAGGACATCTTGGGTTAAGCATAGTATTTAACAAATGAATGAATTGTCCTATGAGCAGTCTTTATTAAAATCTTAACTTAAACATTCAGCAAACTGTGTAGATAATTATTCTTATCTCAACAAATTAGACAAAATGGTTCTCACAAATGCATCACACAATTCAGCATCTGTGCTGATGTTTTATAAGGGCCACTACTAAAACATGAACCATGCAACAAACCTATGTTTTAGACTACTCTCTGGGTTAAAGATCAAAAATGTAATTAACTACTGACTGCTCCTCTGACACTAAAATGCTGCGAGTCTGTTCACTGGCAGGAGGAGAGCAGAACCATCAACAGGCTATTCATCATCAGAGGTAAAAGGTCAATTGTGTTGTCAGTGCACTGTGGCATAATGAGCTGGAGGACATATGATGCCAAGGTTTTCTCACACTTGACTGATGCTGTCTTTGTACGGGATCAATCGTTCATAAAGTACTGATGTGTTGGAACTACTCAGTTAGTGAATTCGTTGGAAGATGCCCTCTGATTGGCTGTTAAAACTGTGATGCTAATGCCAGACCCAAGTTCACTACTGGCTCCATTCTAGTCGCTGGTTGGTTTTGGTTTTGGTAACTTCTATCACAAGACAATGAATCCTTTCTTTTCCTCAGGGATGACCAAAATGTCAAAGATGATTGAGGAGAGGCAGCAGGAGCTGACGCACCAAGAACACAGACAGATGCTAGTCAGCTCCATGAACACCGTCAAAGAGCTGCTGCCTGTTCTTATATCAGGTGTGTATGTGTGTGTGTGTGTGCGTGTGTGTGTGTGTGTTTGTGGTGGAGACGGTGGGGGTGACAGTGGAGGTCACTGAGCATTCAGTAGTTGTTATAGCAACGCTGATCATTACAGTCATTAGTTACTGGGGATGTCAAACTGACTACACACACACATCGCCCACTCGCTGCTCTCTATCATACGGTATACTGCACCAGAGAAACATGCTGTAGGCTACATTCTAACATGCATGTTCAATATGGCTGTAATAACAAAGACATTTGGATCAGTAGTTTGGTCTTGAGAGATCATGAACTATTTCACAACTTAAAGTTGTTATAATTTTTTGTCGCTGGTAGTGCTGAACCTGCAGATAATTATCACCTGAATCTGCAGTTTCCCTCATCTCTACATAGCATCTTTCAGTTCATTGTTTTTGTTATCCTGTTTTGGTTCCTTCGCAGCTTCACAGCTGTTCTCAGACACTACACTACATGTCCAGCATTAGAAAGACCAAGCTAGCAGCTAAATAGTGAACATAGTGGAGATCCAGCAGCTGAGGAGCCAGATATTACCCTCAGGGGTTTGTAGAGACCAAAACAGAGCTAAAGGGAGAGTAGTTATTGGACTTACATGTGTCAAGTGGCCAGAAACATGACTATGCCAGCACATACCTTGAGGTCCTCGGGCAGAGGTCTGTTGTCTGTTTCAGAGTCTCGACTGAAAACTAAAGGGGACAGAGCGTTTGCTGTCAGGGCCCCGAGGCTCTGGAACAGCCTACCTGAGGAAATCAGGTCGGCTGAGTCAGTGAACTCTTTTAAGTCCCTTCTTAAAACATACTTTTATAGGAGAGCTTTTCCCGATCTTATTTGACTTTATTTTATCCCTTTTATTTTATTCTATTTTACTAATTTTATATTTATCTTAAACATGTATTTTAGTCTTTTCAATGTTTTCTTGCTTTTATCTTGTATTGTTTTTGTATTATTGTCTTTTGGGTACTTTACACTTGTTAAAGCACTTTGTAACTTGTTTTTGAAAAGTGCTCTACAAATAAAGATTATTATTATTATTATTATTATTACAAATGAATACTAATGTTGTGTCATATGTGCTGGATGTGTAAATAAGCAATCATAGGGTGATAATATGTTGGTTCTGCTGCCCCCCAAGTAGCAAGTAACACATTAGAGTGATGGCAGAATACTGTTTTTTTGGTGGGGGGTTTGAACAGTTTTGTATCTTTTGTAGCTATAAAGATTTTTGTCGCAACCAAGAGCAGTCGAGGTGCCGGCGTTGAGGAGGCAGAGAGGAACAGAAGATTTACCTTTGAAAAAATGAGCGCTGAAATCAACGAGATCATAAGAGTCTTACAGCTCACCACGTGGGATGAAGACGCCTGGGCCAATAAGGTAAGCTCTGCGCTGCACATTTGAACTCTGATTTTGTTCACTTTATACCCCCCCCCCCCCAAAAAAAACTCACCTGAACACCTGAATCAGATAATCACGTTTTGCTTTGGAGTGCCTGTTTGCACACACAAAGCCACACACTCTATCCACACATCCCTCTGTGCTGCAAAAAGCATCTCCAAGAAATTCACTCTTTACTTTCTGTCACTTTTCTTTTTGCTCACTAGTATAACTCCTGGTTTTTTTCTTTTTCTTTTCTTTCTTTACCTTTCTCCTCCATTCTTTTCCTCCCTGTAGAAGGTAAGCCTGTTTCTCTCCCCCTCTGCAGTTTCTAGCATGCAAGTGTGTGTGTGTGTGTGTGTGTGTGTGTGTGTGTGAGAGAGAGAGAGAGAGAGAGAGAGAGGAAATATGTCCTCATGCTTACACGCTGTGTCTGCTGTGTATTTAACAGTAAGTGTGTTGTGTGTTTAGTCCATTGGCTATTAGCTGACGGGATGATGTTCAGTACGCATACTTCATCACTTTATTGGTATATGTGCATCTGTTTGTCTCTAGATGCCCATTTGAGTCAAATGGCTTGAAACAGATGACAGTTAAATAAATTTTTAAGCTAAATAACTTGTTTATTTAAAATATAACTGCTTCAGTAATTCACTCCATCTTCAATCATGATATTTTCCTTCTCGTGCTGCTAATGTTTACCTTGAGATAGAAATGTCAAAATATACCCTCAGTGTTTTTGGGCACATCAGTTAGAGACTGTGCCAAGTTTAAGTTAAGTTAAGATCTGTTTCACTAGTCTACCTGAAACACTGCATGTTTCTCCGCACACAGTTGCCTCAGACAATGATCTGTTTGTGTTTTTGTATGTGTGTGTTTGCCGTGGACACCCGCATATTCTGTGTATAAGCTGTGATAAGCACTTACTGTCAGTGTGTGTTTGGGGGGGGGAACCGCTGGCACACGATGACTGTCATGAATTATAGAAATAAGCTGGTTGGTGTCCAGACACATCCATAATGCATGGGCTGTATTGAACGCCTCCACTTAGGCAGTTCATTCTCCTCTGAGCTTGAAAAAGCCTTTTTCTTCTTTCCACCATTTATAAAGCAATGACAGAGTTTGTGGCATTTTAGATGTGAGGTTGTTACCTTCCCTTAAATGTCTCATTTTACCCTTCATTATCAGTAATTATTATTTGTAACATATTAGTTAATCAACTGGGCTATACAGAATTTATGAGAACTGTTATCCCACTTTAAAGTCCCATTTTACAATACAACATAAAGGCTTGTGTTGTTACTAATTACTTTATTGATGCTAAATAAATAATTGATTACTGCTTCACAGATACATAATAAAATTAAAATAACTTTTGAGTTGCCAGGTTGAGAGCTCTTAATTAAGTAGGTATTCTTGGTTACAACATTAACCATTTATTAATGATGACTAACGCACAGTGTAAACTTTACAGCTATAAATGTTGATAAAGCTGGTGCTATTTGATATTGTTTTACACAAAACCAAAAATCAAAACCAACAATGGCTTGATCCTACTAAGAAGTATTACTTGTGTAGCCAAAGCTTGTTATACCATAAACATGTAAGATGAACTCATACACTTTATGTTGAATCAGTCTCATCTGCAATGTCCTGCTGCTGTAAATACAATGTAGATTAATCTGCATTTGAATCTAGTACCCAATAAAAGCTCTATGAATAACACTTGCTAAAAATGTATAGTGCCCAGCCTGTATTAGCAACTTCGGCAGGAACAAATGGATTTCTGTATTTTCATGGACTTTTCCGACAGTAAGAGAAATATATGTAAAATATGTATATATAGTAATAAATTAAAAACCATTAAGGTCATTACTGACAACCTTTTGTTTACAGTATGTCATAACGTAAAGTGGTATGCATTTCTGTTTTGACAAAGCTATACTCAATGCTGTGTCTTCTCTTTACTTCAGGATATGGAGGCTTTGAAGAGATCTTTGGCTTTGATTGAGTCAAAGATGGCACAAGCTAAAAGCTGGCTCAAGGACCCCCATGGACAACCAGGTAACTGTGTTTTTTACGCTTTTTGCTGAAACACTAAATCAGCTTTTTGGATCTTATTTCACAATGTGCTGTGTCGTCGTCCCCAGGAGACCCCGGTGAGGTTGCGCTGCGTGTGATACTGGATGAAGCTGGTAAGGTGGGAGAGCTGTGTGCTGGGAAGGAGAGGAAAGATATACTGGCAACCACTAAGGCTCTGGGGCAAATGACTGACCAGATTGCAGATCTACGAGCCAGGTATTGTGTTTGCATGACAGCATGTGAGTTAAACTGTTTTCTTTACTTCCCTGTGTTTGTGTCATGTATTTTCACAGCATGTGTCAGCTGTGTGTGTTTTTCTTTTATGGCAGAGGCCAGGGCCCAACCCCGGGTTGCATGCAGCGTGCAGGCCAGTGTTCACAGGGCTTAGACTTGTTATTTGGCAAAGTGGACAGTGCTGCCCGCAGATTGGAGGCTCTAATCAATGCCAAGCAGGCCATTGCCAGGAGGCTGGATGCTGCACAGGTCAGATAAAACAACAACAACACAGTAATCCATGTTAACTCTCTGCCCAGTGAATGATACTTCCTCTGCATTATATTAATCATATTTCTGTCTTTTTTGTTCATTTGATTTACAAGAAAGTGGTTTTCAATTTTCAGTGAGTCATTTAAAGATTATGGGCATAAGAGCAACATAAATGCTTAACGTAGACATTGTTATTGACCTTTTCCCATCCTTGAAGCTCTCTTTTGGTGTTTTTGTACATATTTATGTTTCTTTGTTCACCAGATGAGAATTAAGCATATATGTGGATTATTTATTATATTTTAGGCCTGGCTAGCTGATCCTAATGGTGGTCCTGAAGGGGAAGAGAACATCAGAGCACTACTAGTGGAGGCCAAACGTATCGCTGACCTGTGTGAAGACCCCAAAGAGAGGGATGACATCCTGCGCTCCATCAGTGAGATCGCAGGCCTCACCGCCAGACTTGTGGAGCTACGCAAACTGTACGCCGTCCTCCTTCTGACACATGCACAAAAAATTATGTCTTGTGAATACTTTATGTAATTCTTAGACCCTCTTTTTCTAGGCTCAAACTGTAACCTCATGTCAACAATAACTGGCATATTTTACCTGCCTGGAAAATATTGTTGCCTGTCAACCCTGGGCATCAGTCCTACCATAAGGTTTCTCTTTAAATACGGTGTGATGGGGTCATGATATGTATGTGGAGGGTCAGCAACAGTTATCAAAACATGTTCGACCTTAAAGAAAAATAACACTCAATTCAAGGTTCATGCCACTGAATTTCATATTTGAAAGCAATTTCAAAAAGTTTGTTGGGTTTATAACAGTTTATGTATTGAATGGTACTGTCCTGCAGTTCATACCACATGTAGAAAGTATTTAATATTTCAAACAAACTGTATAAATTTAATTATTCTGGTCATAGAAATGTCAATAATAATGAAACACATTATATATTTCCTTGTAGAATTATTGTCCTGGACCAAAACTTACACCTTTATGAAAAACATGTACTCCCTGTACAAACTAGTGATAGAAACTGTTAAAATGAATATTGACAAAAAAAGATGGAAAAGTGGTATCAGCCTTTGACAGTGGTATTTCCCTTTAAGGTGGTGTCTAACAGCGGTATGATGAGACACTACCTGGATTTTACACCTTTTTGGTGCCGCCTCAAATCGTCCCTCCATCTGTTACTTTCTCAGGGGTAAAGGTGATAGCCCGGAGGCCCGTGCATTGGCAAAGCAGATTGGGGCGGCTCTGCTCACCCTGCAGTCCAAAACCAACCGGGCCGTAGCCAACATGCGACCAGCCAAACCTGCCGTCACCTTGGAGGGCAAGATGGAGCAGGCCCTCCGCTGGGTGAGCAACCCCGGAGTGGACGACAGAGGAGTAGGTGAGCATGGTTGGATGAGGGCTCCAGGGAGGGATGGTGTAGTAGCTCGGTCCAAAAATAAACGTTCTGAACTTCTGTGGCTTTTGTCAGGCTATATGTGGATGATTAAGAGCGTGTGAAAGTGGCCAAGGCAGCAGGTGGGAGAATTTGCGATTAGATGTGAGGTGTTTGTGGTCTATGAGGGGGCTGCAAAGTGTCTCATTTTCAACATATCTGAGTGTCAGAAATGACTGTGCTGGTGACTGGTACCTTTTCCTAAATGCCCACAGTGAGGTATCTCATGCATGAATCACTGAATGACTAATCTGACCTACTCAGTCGTTCGGGGGTCATTGTATTGTTTTTAATGCTTTGCTTTGTGCCTGTTGCTGTATCCCTGTTTCGTCATTTGATTGTTTCCTATTTTCTCGCATGCTTCCCTTTGGGAGCAGAGTGTGAGATACTACAGTGGAACACAGGTACCTGCCCACTATATACTTTCTGAGAAGGTATAACCAAACACTACAGATATTATTCACATAATGACTTACTAGAAATTGTATGAGGTCAGCATGTAATACAAAATACACCATCCTCTTCTGTAATTTACAAGAAAAGATAAATAAACCAATGTCTTGTCTCAAGACTTGTATTCCTAGTACTTATTAAACCATGTTACCAACAAATACAAAAACATTGTGTTGCACTTTAGAGATGATCCGTGTTTAAATAAGGACCTGTTATTATTGTATCTGGGTTTTTATTGAACACCAAGGAGTATGCAGATGTGATGCGTGAACTGCCCCGTGTCTCTCCCCAGGTCAAGCAGCAATCAGAGGAATGGTTGGAGAAGGGAGGAGGCTGGCAGGAGGCCTGTTAGGACCGTATCGACAGGATATGATTGGACGCTCCGACCGAACTGAGGCTCTAATGACATCCTTGGCAGACATGGCTGGCAGGGGCGAGGCTGAGTCTCCTCATGCACGAGCTACAGCCGCACAACTGCAGGACAGCCTCAAGGTAGCCCAACAGTCTCACAAGCACACACATTTATTTATAAATGAATCAAGGCAACTCCAAGCTTGTGCTGTGCAGCCAAACATTGTTCAAATTATTGTGAAGTGAATCTAGATATACCAAATATGTCAAGCAGCATTTTGGGGAAATGTGAATAAAATGATGCACAAGACAGTCTTGACCAAAAATGTAAAAATGATGTAGGGCGCATGTTCATTATTATTTCAAGTATTGGTGCAGAGCTCCTCCTACTGGTCTGATTATGACACTCTCTGTTTCGATCAGGACCTCAGGCAGCACATGCAGGAGGTGATGACCCAGGAAGTATCCGATGTTTTCAGTGACACCACCACCCCGATCAAACTGCTGGCGGTGGCTGCAACTGCTCCTCCTGATGCCCCCAACAGGGAGGAGGTCGGTAATGTACATAAATCTGAGCTGGCTTCAAATATAGATACAGCAATTAATCTAAGCCTCATTTCTACTGACTCTGTACCATCCTGATGTAAGAGAGGATGATTATATACGCATATAGTCTGACTTTACCAACATTAATTGTTGATTATAGGTTTTTGAAGAGCGTGCAGGGAACTTCGAGGCCCACGCAGGTCGGCTGGGGGTGACCGCTGAGAAGGCTGCTGCTGTGGGAACAGCCAATAAGAGCACAGTAGAGGGCATACATGCTGCTGTGAAACATGCCAGGGAGCTCACACCACAGGTGCTAGTGTTTGTTTTGGTGTACCTGACATGGAGCTGTCAGAGTCTGGCATATACAGTCTGAGTGTGACATGTTTGTTCATGTCCAGGTGACCTCTGCTGCTCGGATCTTGTTGATGAATCCTGGAAATAAAGCAGCGTACGAGCACTTCGACACTATGAAGAACCAGTGGATTGACAATGTGGAGAAACTCACTGGTGAGGATTTTCTCAATATTTCTTGTGTTACAAATATATTTCCCAAACAACATTAACATACTGAAAATGAGATATATTTTTATTCTTAGAGGTTAATCTGTGTGTGTGTGTGTGTGTGTGTGTGTGTGTGTGTGTGTGTGTGTCTCTGCGGCCTCAGGTCTGGTGGATGAGGCCATCGACACCAAATCTCTGTTAGATGCTTCTGAGGAGGCTATAAAGAAAGACATCGACAAGTGCCGAGTTGCCATGGCGAATGTTCAGCCCCAAATGCTCGTTGCCGGGGCAACAAGCATAGCGAGACGAGCTAATCGGGTCCTGTTGGTGGCTAAGAGGGAAGTGGAGAACTCTGAAGATCCGCGGTTCAGAGACACAGTGAAACATGCGTCAGACATCCTCTCCCACACCATCTCACCCATGGTGATGGATGCTAAGGCAGTGGCCGGGAACATACAAGATAAAGGTACAGGAATGCACTATGCAAACACATGTTCAAGATACTGTGCGATACATAATGACGCAGGTTTATTCACTTCATTATCTCTCTTTATGCTTCACACACTCTCCTCCACAGCTCTGCAAAAAGCCTATTTGGACTCGTGTCTGAGGATCCTGGCTTCAGTCGGAAAAGTTAGAGAAGCCTTCCAACCTCAGGAGCCTGACTTCCCTCCTCCACCACCTGACCTGGACCAGCTCCATGTAAGCACATTCAAACACCCATATTTCCTATTTTCCACAATAAACCTTTGAAAGGCCCACCACTTATGAAAGATGAATGCATTAATACACATGGAGAAAGTAAAAGTAATTTTTCATTGGCTTTGGTAGCAGCGACCTTGAATTGTCAACTGCTCCAGTGGAGCTGCTCAGTGTCCCACTGGTTAGCGTGGGAAGCCCTCGCATGCAATTTCAAATTTGAAGCTAGGTGTAGCCGAGTGCATACTCACATACATTTCTGTGCCAGATTACAGAAAAGTTTAAGACAAAGACCTCAAACCACAGGCCTGAAAACCTATTTTCTCGATCACAATTTTACTACAAGGACTTGAGTCTTACGTGAACACGCTATTTTCTGCCAGCTTTAGAAGTTTTGGAGATTTCTGTGTTTGCGTTGCTGACTGAGCTTTTCTGGCCGGTTTGAAGTGAGCAGGACTCATTTTGAAATAGGTGATGTCACATACTCCCATGCACCAGCTGCGATTTAACAACATTTGGATCATAAGCTGATGACAGATGTATATCCACTGTAATTTAAATCTGATCACACCACACCCACACTGTGCTGTGAAGCTGATTAGCTTAGAGTTTTTGAGTGTTAAACTGGTCCTGAATATTCAATGTTGTAAGTAATTCTTTACAATTTGAAATTAAAACCAGTTATTCAGAACGTTTAATTATAATATGTGTAATGATGGGTATCACATACTGGTGAAAAAGACAAGGACAGAAGTATAGCCAAGGCTTTTACAACAAATCCAAAATGGTATCTGTATGTTTAAAGCGTAAATGAACAGCTCCTGAAAATTTTATCTTTGCTGACTGCCAGTGGTTTAACTCATGCCTGCTGCAGTGATGTACAGATGTACTCCAGGACCCTGTGACATAGGTGTTGGGTGTGGTTAAGTGGCATCAGAGCACATTTCTGAACACACCCATCAGTGATGCTGCTTGCTCTTTAAAGCCCCAATGTATAGACTCCTTATGTCTTAATGCCTTACAACCACTGTATGTTGCAAAAGTCGTCATTTTCCTTATTCTACACATAGGGGCTTTAAATAGGATCTTGTCCAAATATCTACTGCTCACCTCCCCCTTTGTTCCTGTAATACATATCTGTAGATAACATATGTGTGTCTATGTGTGTTTTCTCCAGGTCAGTGACGAGCAGGCACCACCTAAGCCCCCCTTGCCAGAAGGCGAGGTGCCCCCGCCTCGGCCCCCTCCTCCAGAGGAGAAGGATGAAGAGTTCCCAGAGCAGAAGGTTGGAGAAGTGCTCAGTGAGCCCATGATGGTGGCCGCCAGGCAGCTGCACGATGAAGCTCGCAAGTGGTCCAGCAAGGTCAGTTCATACAAACACACAGAAATATACAGTTTGCACATTCACCCATTCAAACGCGTACAATTTCAAAATCAGTAGCTTCATAAGCCCGCTGGTTAGAGATATCCCTAAATCATGACTAGAGTGATCACAGAATGTTAACGTGGTGCCTTCTCATATTCTGTGAATATCCTGAAATCAAGTTTTTCCTGAAATTGTGGAGGTCAGTGGCTCAATTCCAATTTCAGAGGGAAAACGGTAACTGTCATCAGCTCGGGGTGTCTGCATGGAAGGTTACTAATGGCTCACACATACACACTTACACGCAGAAAGTAAATATTAGAAAAAGAATCATCTGTGGCAAAACAGTCCAGCCTCACATCTATCGTATGAAGTAGTGCACTATACTTTGTGTTCTCTTATCCCTATTGATGTCTGTTGTGTATGTGTGCATGTAAGTGTTTTTGTGCGGAGGACCTGTGTTTAGGAGCACTTCTGTGTGAATAACCATTGATTATCCAGGAACCTCTCACTCTCGTTGTGAACCTCATAACAGTTTCCCCCTCTTTAGCTCTCCTGACAGTTTACTCACACCTGTTTAATGGTCTATGCGTCAGGAGTGTCTTTGGAAACCAGGCACAAAATATCTCTTATAATGGCATGGGGTCATACTCAGTTTCCCAGCGCACTGCTAGACTCTTAAATCCACTAGACGGATGCCAACCACTGGCTTTGGTTACAGTTCGACCTTTGATTGTGCAAATGCTTTACAAGCTGTCAACTCAGCCACTGCCTCAGAGGAACCCTCCGCCTGCTCCCTGCCAAAACCAGCTCCTCTTTCCCCTTTTTTCCCCATCTTTGCTTGAGCGTTCAGTTTCACTTCCCCTTTCCCTGCTCCTTCACAGTGCTTGTATTCGTTCCTCCTCCCTGTCCTCTGTTCTTCCATTCAGTGCCTCTCATACTGTACTAAATGCCTCCTTTTCCCATGCTTCTTTCCCTCACGCCATCCCTGGCTTTCCCCTTCTCCTCCACATTCCTCCTTTTTTCCTCTTCCTCCACCCACCCTCTTTGCCTCCTTCCCTTTCCTTCCCATTCCAATTGATCCTACCTCTCCAACCACCTCCAACGTTCCCCACGAACACCCCCTCCTCACCCCACCCAACCCAACCCAGCCTGAGGAAGAGGAGGCAGTAGAGGAGAGGGAGGTAGATGATGAAGATGAGTTTACTGATGGTGAGGATGACTATGAGCCAGAACTTCTGATGATGCCCTCCAACCAGCCTGTCAATCAACCCATTCTGGCAGCTGCCCAGTCTCTCCACCAGGAGGCGCGCAAGTGGTCCAGCAAGGTCTGCGCACATACATGCACATGAGTGCACACACAACAAGCAGACGTCAGGGTCAGCAAAGTTCTGTAAATGGCTCCCAGTGTTTTGAGCTGCTGGGAGGATCACAAAACACTGTTTGACCCCCCCCCCCCCCCCCTCCCCCAACACACACACACACGCACATCCATGCATGCAAACAGATAAGTGCACTGCACAAGGAAAGAACTGCAGGACAACAAAGAAAAACCCTTTGGAGTACTAGCTGACAGTCACTGCGGCTGTGCAAACAATGTGCTCTGCTTCTGACTCTACTATGGAAACCTCCAGGGCTGTTGTTGGATCACACTAAGACATAGTTGACACACGGTTAATGCTGATGCCACGCTAAGGTTGTACTAAAGGTCAAGGATTGTTGGAATGGCAAGTTTGTTTATTGCACCACAAGGATAAACTGGTACTGGCTTCACACATGTTCATGATTAGGTAAAGTGCTTTTATGGCGGAGCCAGGTGCTCCGTCTCGCTATTATCGCTGTTGTCTGGCCAACCTGTGAAGCCAAGGATGACATTTTCCCAAAGACTTCTGGGTGATGTTGTTTTGACGACTACCTGCTTGCCTGGTAGATCACCTGCTTCTGCTTCTTTAGTCACAGGGTGTGCACTGATCACTGTGATCACCTCAACACTGTTTCTCTCCAGAAGTACAGCCATACATTGCAGAATGATCTTCTTCCACGGGGGTTGAAGAACATGTTCTAACTTTCACTGACACTGCATGCAGCTTTCTGCTTGTAAATTTAGTGCCTGTTTTGCAGTTAATTCATACAAATCACTATCATTCGTTTAGTGTTAACACTATTTTCAGTATGCTACATTTTGATTACTATCAGTATTATCAGAAAACATGTTTAAACATGACTCATACAGTATGTCTCCATTGCATTCTCACCTCTTATCCAAAACCATGTTCCTCTCCAGTACCCTGACCACAGCTCTTACTGCTTCTTCCTCTACCCCTGACCCCCCCGACCCCCCCCCTCCTTTACAGGGTAACGACATCATAGCAGCAGCCAAGCGGATGGCTCTGCTAATGGCAGAAATGTCTCGATTGGTGCGTGGTGGAAGCGGGAACAAACGAGCGCTGATTCAGTGCGCTAAGGACATCGCCAAGGCCTCAGACGAGGTGACGAGACTGGCTAAAGAAGTGGCCAAGCAGTGCACTGACAGACGCATCAGAACTAATCTGCTACAGGTAAGGACAACCACACACAGACACAAAACTTCAAAGTCCTCGATGTGATATAATTTAAAATTTTTTCTCCTTCCAAAGGTGTGTGAACGAATACCAACCATCAGTACTCAGCTGAAGATTCTCTCTACTGTTAAAGCCACAATGCTGGGACGGACAAATATTAGTGAAGAGGAGTCAGAGCAGGTAAACTCACAGAGGTGCACATAGCTTGTAGGGATGCACTGATCCAACTTTTTCATTCCTGATACAGACACTTAAACTCAGAGTATATGATACAGAGTACCAACTCAATACCAGGATTCTCTTTTTACCAAATTTGAAGTCTGGGTGTGCCTACCTGTCATGGCTGAATTAATGTAACTGATGCAACACTAAATTTTATAATGTGTCACGTCATGGCCAATACCTGATCCAGTCAGTATTGGTGCAAATACTGATCCGGCACATTGGATCAGTGCATTCCTAATAACTTACAGCGGTGGAAAGTAACTATGCACATTTTCTCTAAATACTATACTTAAGTACACATTTGAGATACCTACACCTGATTTGTGATCCACCACATAACTAGCCTGCATTTTGTCTCACCTCAATTTTTATTTCCTCCCTAACTGCTTCACTTCCAGGCCACAGATATGTTGGTTCATAACGCCCAGAATCTGATGCAGTCAGTGAAGGAGACCGTCAGAGAAGCAGAAGCAGCCTCCATCAAGATCCGCACTGACGCAGGATTCACGCTTCGCTGGGTACGCAAGACCCCCTGGTACCAATAAACAAACCTGGTCACTGAAACTAGTAACACTGTTATCTTATCTCTGATAGCACACACCGGGAGTAGAAGTAGCAACGTGCATACTCGTCATGAGTAAACATGTGCATTTCTTCAAAGAGGAAACTGCAGGTGATTTTGATCCATTCATCATTGTAGTAACCGGAGGCAGTTTAAAATATATATTTTTGGTATGTTGTGTTACAAGAGTTTACCCAAATCCCAGGTATATATTTTTTGCATGAAATTTTTTTCTATTTTCTAAAGGCAAATTGTGACATGAAGATATGTATCGCCTAGAGGAAATTTACTTTTAATTCAGTTTTTTCCAGTGCGAGTTTCTTATTGTCTATTGTATATACAGTAATTATTTGTTTTATGGACAACACACACAGCTATGAGCTTTATACACTGAGTTTGACACTAAAGTGTGGGCTGGTGAGCTCTCCTTTCTTCATGTTTACTTTTAGTAATAACAATGTTCTTAACTGAAGATCTATGAATTCAAAGGTGATCAAAGGTGAATATCATCGCTGCTGTCCGGTGATGTTTCTACTTGAAGAACTAAAAGGTCTTTTGGATTTAAAGTGTTATGATTTACAGGCAAATGATACAAGTTTCAGAAGTGATTGTATAATTAGAAAAAATGTATGGTTGTCAATAAAAAGTTTTTTGTTTTTGTTGATTGCAGGAAGGTTGATATTTAATAGATAAGAGGTTTTCACTTGACAGTTGCAGTATGAGTGACAGTAAGCGTAAAGGTCGAGGTGAGGCGAGATGTTTTGAATTCTTTGTTTTAACTTTATTTAACTTTCACAGTGAGAGATGCCAAAGGATTTGTTTTAACATTACTATAAGCTTAATAAAGTTATCTTAACAGTCAGTAAAAATCCAGGTAATTGCAAACAACAGGACAGGCCATTTTCTTTAGAGAACCTGGAGAACCTTTTTGAGGTCTGTTATTTTTTCAGAGAATGTTTACTCTCACATTTTATAAACTAATTGTAGTGTTTTTTCTGCACTATCTATGTAACAGTTGAACTGTTTGGATTTCTTAATTTATCTAAATTCATCAAAAACATTGATTTTAGACTTTTCTCTATGTGTGAGCTCAGCAGCCCACCTGTGAATGCTCTGACTCATATCATTTTAAGATTTAAGGTCACAGATTTTCTAGACAACCCCGGTGGTTTGAGAATAAAAACAACCTTTTTTTATGTGACATCAGTCACTGATGCCAGTCTAGCAGTCTAGTTTTAGGGATTTATGACTGCTAACTCAATATTGTGCGCGTCAGATCAGTGAATGCATATTTTCATTCCCTAAACACCATTTCACCGTTTTTTTTTGTTTTTTTTTACAGTGGCTGGACAAATGTAACTGTTAAATGGATAATGTGTGTGTGTGTGTGTGAAGCCTCTTCAGTTAAACAGTAGCTAATTAGTGAGCCGACAGTGTGCTCCAACAGCGGCACAGAATTTTAACTGCATTTTCATCTTTATTTGGGCCTACTGAGCATGTAGCAGCCGCTGACCCCTCACTCAGAGCCACAGGGTGTACTTCTGTGTGTACTTGATGTGTTCATTCACACCCTGAATGTATTCAGATAGCTTCTAGCCCTGCCAACACATCTGCTGTGCCTTGGAAGAATAAAAGACTATAATGACCGGGGTCAGCTTCTTAATTCGCCTTCATAAGTCACTGGAGTGTTATGGGGCAATAAGGCTTAACTTGATATATTCATCACATTCAATACAGGTCTACAACCATGCTAGCAGCTCTGTGAGGCTGTACTAAGCCACAGCAATGCTTTAAGCTAAATGCTAACATCAGTATGCTAACAAGCTCACAATGACAATGCTAGCATGCTTAAGTTGAACATGTTACCATGATTATCATGTTATTTTAACGTGTTAGCATGCTATAATTTGCTAATTATCACTAAAAGCAAAATAAAGTCAAGGCTGATAAGAAGTTGTTGTTGAGATACTTCAGTCGGGACCACAGTGGGGGGGACAGTGCCGTCCTTATAGATCCATGCTGCTAGCATGGCTAAAAAAGCACACATGGACACACCATTTTAAAGCTTTTATCGGACATCTTATACACTGAAATACAGATTCAACTTCAGACAGTTGCTTTAAGTAGTATTTTCCGTGTGGACAATTGATTGTGCAAATACTGTGCTGAGTAAAGAAGTTGCATTCAAGATTATGTGAGGATCTTGTAGAGTGCTTTATTACACAACTGCTCCCAACAACCTGCCTGAATCACTAGCTCGTATCTAGGCCCTGTAGATAATTGTACACGGTCCCTAAGTCAAACTATGTACCTTAGTTATAAGATATATCTTTTAACATATCCTTCCCTCAGGCCTCATAAAAAAATGCAGTTTGCGCTGTAGTATGCTATAAAAGCACCTTAACCTACCATTACAAGGCCACATTAAAGAGTGAATGTGTGCAAAAATACCTGCCTCAAGACACACCGCAGCTACTCAGAAAGTAGATACGACATAAAATTTTTCGAAAATAAACATATACAAGTATAAAACTTGCTACCTTATATTACGTAAAAAGGTTTTCAAAAGGCATGGAAGATATGCAAGTAAGATTGTGTAGGTGCGTGAAGTAGCAAGGATTAAGGCAGTGACCTGCGAGTGTCCCTTTTCAAACAGAAATATTCCCCTTAGGCAACACTCAGAAGGTGTTAGACAAAAAAAAAAGAAAGATAAGATATTCAGAAATATTCCAAAAAGTTGGATGGAAACAAGCAAATAATAGCACTTCAGCAAGGTCACATTGATTATTAAGGTTTCCCTTACAAATACCATCAGTGATATATATGTAATGCCAAACACAATAAATAACTGTTACAATGCAAAACTGTTCATTAATAATAAGCCAGAGCATAATTATGTAAGACTTATTGAAGAGCTGACTCAGGGGGTCGGTAACCTTTCCCCCTATTTGGCACATTGGATTGTTGACCTTTGGGTCTGTCACTTGTCACTCAGGTTCGCACTTGGAATTTCCCCGCTTTAGTCACATATTTGACCCCTTTGAATGGTTTATACTTCTCTCCGAACATGTCAAGACGATTCACCTTAAGACCTGTACAGAGGGAAGAAAGGCTAAATGAGCAATCAACTACATCAATTCTGACACATATGCACAACCACAGCAACAGGACCGACTCATGCTTCGTTCCAGGCAACATCGGAACTTGGAAATTTCCGACCTCCAACTAGAAAAACTACCCTGGAACGCCACCTGAAGTCAGATTTCCTACTTGTGAACCACAAGTAGCAGCTGAATTACACCACAAAACAATGTCAGCACCCATAAATGCACACATTGTAAATGGTAAACCATAAACAAAAAAAAGCAACAAAAAGTATATTTGCATGTATTTAATTTAAAATAATACATACTGTCATATAGTAAAACCTGTTCTACATGTACATTGATGCAGAAATATGTTAGGCCTATTAGGTAGCTGGCTACAGTAAGGAATCTCATAAAGTCATCTTCTCTGCATAAAAGTTATTGTTAAAAATGCATTAGGAAGTGTAACCAACAACACTGACTGACTTGAGGGTTACCAACTGATGTAGCTAGAGGGGTACACAGAACTAGTAAAGTATAGGCTATTTATGTCAGTTGTTGTAGTTAAACTGTCATCCTTTTAATTAACACCTAAAACACTGCTGAGGGTACAGCTGTGCATACACTGTGTCATGGTCAGCCATGGTTTTCGTTCACTTTTGGCGTCACGCACCACTATGCACCTGGAACGCACTGAGGTCGAAGTCGGAAGTTTCAACTGGGAAATATCCCCGTTCCGACCGGTCTCGAACGTGGCATCAGACTCCGTTCAACGGTGCCAGTCCTGTAGCGAGGATTACCTGATATGGCCAGCTGCTGGATCTTCAGGTCAATGTTGATTGAGGGGTTATCTTCAGGTTTGGGAGCTCCTGCCTGCGTACTCAGACTGCCTCGCAAGTTAGGGAGCTTCTGGGGGTTCAGTTTCCCAATGTCCCAAACCAACACCTAACAAAACACAAACAGGCATCGAATAAGGACCAATTAACAAAATGATTCTTAATTTTTGCTTTATTTTCCCCATAATACCACCAGTTCTGATCACAATTACACCACTTGTTTCACAATAGAGCTACCTAGGTCATGTGCAAAAAATCTAGTCCATAAGTGTGTAATTTTGTAATGAGACATGTTATTAAAGAGAGAATCATTCATATAAAAAAGGCAGGTAAGAAATACAGTGCAGTGCTGTAGTGACGCATTTGAAACTGAGCAGTATCATGGGAACTGATGGGATAAAAAGGGCCCACATTCAAAAGTAGAAGGTGTTCTAACCTCTCATTTAGCGCATACCTACTATATAACTGCTTACGACAGCCTTGTAAACGGTTGGTTACCTTTGTAGTGAGGTCGTAGGTGTAGTTTCCCTGTGTGGCTGTGAGGTTGACATTGAGCACAGCTTTAGGCATGTGGATAGTGACCATCAAGGCCTCCACCGTCTTCCCCATGTTCTGCTTGGGTCCGATTGTGATGTCCAGGCGACCAGAGGGTCCCGTGTCAAAGAAACTGATGTTCTGCTTCACGTACACTGGAATGGCCACAAGACTGAGGAAGGAAATGAACACAATTGACCACGATAACAATCAACAGTTTCAGGGGTGGCTCAGAGACTAGAGGTGAACATGATGTTCCACAAACTGATTATTTTATTGGATATCAAAAGGGAACCATGTTTTAAAATCTATAAATGTCTAAATTGGTTAAGGCGATAATTTGGGGGAAAGTATACTTACTTACCTAGAATCAGCCCTATTGGTTATTTACATGCAGTTTAAAATGATGTCAGTATTAGCCTATTTTAACTCAATTGTTAGTTGTCTATGGGATCAAGTAGCTGATCACATATACATGCAGGAATTGAACTAAACTAAAAAGGCGTGTGTTTTGAAGCTTTGTCCAATGGGAAGCCCATAGTCTCACACAAACCCCTGCACTACACTAAAGTCATACCAGATCATTTATACATTACCTGATAGATTTCTGTATCAATTCTGTGCTTACTTTTGAGAGCTGACATGATAGCTCATGAGTGTGAAGTTTCCGTCTGGCGGGATGAAGGAGAGGACACGCTCTGACTCCCAGCGTTTGAAGCGCACACACGGGTGGAAACTCACGTCGTCGAGAAGACTAGGATTCTGTCGCCAAAAACAACAAGTTGAATTTTACACTGTGACAGACGAATAAGTAGACCACAAAAGGAGAAAAACGCCGTGCTAACAGGAAGTGAACTCACCATGAAGGACAGAGTCAGGTCAGGCATCCCACTGAGCTTCACACAGGCATCAATTACACCCTGGATCTCTGCAAATACTGTTGTACCTGAATAAGAAAGATTGAAGGGGTGCATGCATGTTTAAAGACTGACAAGATCAAATTATATAATCTTCCAGGAAAAGTAGGAACATATCCAACTGCCATGGTTGTTTGTACCTGATTTGTCCAGAATGACATCTATTTCCTCTATCACATCAAAATATGCTTCGTTATTGGTGTATTTAACACCAGCCCGCCTCCAGGGGATATTGGACAATTGACCTGTTGGCAACATATCGCCAACGTTGCTGCCTCCTGGGAAATGCACAAGACAAAGGCAAAAACATCATGTATACATAAACATTGCAGATTGTATTTGGTTTCCAGATCAGTAAACAGAGTCTAGACTGACCTTTAACATCAGAGTCAGGGTGACTTATGTTTACCTGTGAGCGTATTGACAACAGATCGCAGGATGGTGGGAGGCCTGATCATCTCCTTAAGGACATTGGACTCTGTCGCTAATGGAAACCCGTTGTCCAACATCTCCTCCAACAGCTCATACACCGTCACCACATTTTCCTTTATTATACTTTCTGAGCACTCTCCAAAGTAGTCCTGTCAACAGAAACAAACCTTTCAAATAGTGGGATACGATTGAGAGATGTTATGGTGCTACAAATTAAGCACAATATTTTCCACTATAGCTGTTTGGTCCAGAACAAATGTGCACCGTCTTTGTCCTCAGCAACAATTTCCTATTAAATTGCATTCAGGGAGGTGAAATCTGATCACTTGAGATGTCAAATGTGAACCGCAATCCATCTAAACTAGGCTACATCTAGACAATCTGCATACACAGGAAACTAAGTTTGAACAGAAACAAAGATGCAAGACATCTATCTAGAAAAATGAACACAGAGCTTAATCACACCTGAATTGTTTCTGCCACTCTGTGCAGGAACTCAATGACAAACAGTGGAGGGACTTCAGTCTGGATGACAGACAGGAAGAAGAGCTTCTCCCTGTATATGGAGATGAGATAGTGGTGTGGGGTCTGCAGGACAGGGGGCACATTCTCCGGGTCGAATGCTTTCTCCTTCGCCTCAAAAAAGTAATCACACACACTCCGGCTGATGACACTCTTCCAGTGTTTCTCCAGGAAGATGTCTCCAGAGTGATTAATCAGGAACAGACTGTGGATCATCTCAGCTGCAACAATGAGGTGGTTGTTGATGTTAGTAGTGCTCTGTGTTATTGAGTAAAAGTGACTAAATCAGCAGTTTTAAAAAACTTAACTCCTCATTAAGTAGTGTGCCCAAATCAACGCAATGCAAATGTAAAGCAGTGTCATTTGTCAACATTTGCATAGTGTCAATATGCCAAACAAACTTCAACCTCAGGTAACTTAACCAGCTGGCTAGCAATCTGAGATTGGCAAATTCGGACACGTTTACCATCTGCTTCTTAATGCTAAAAAAAGAATTAAATACACTTGAGAGTGAGAAGCATAAAAGCAACATAAAGGCTCTAACAGAGGACAATGTCTACAAAGTTTTACATTGTGTTAAAAAGTTTTACCTGCTAACTCCAGTCGACTGTGCCAATGACTTCGTGCCAATATGGCAGAATTGTCAGAGTTGCTGAGTAGACGCCTGCAGATCGATGCATACGTAAACACAACGAAGTCACGAGTACATATCGACAAATCAGAAGAACAAGGCCCACATACTATTAGTAAAGTATTGACATATATGCTGGATGGTTTAAATATCAAGCAACTCTAGTGTCAACTTCATCGAAACTTTTAAAGCAAAGTTTCGCACTTTTTAATCAGGCAACTTCTGCGGGCAGCTAAACCTCAGCGATAAATGTGATGAAGTGGGATTTTGTTACCCTCAGTGTAGCCTTTCAGGTTTCAGGCTGTTATATCGGGTGCAGGCAGAATAATGCAAATGTTACTTGGCAGAGATCTAGCAGATCTCTAAACATAATAATTTGATGGTCAGCTTTAATAGCCACATTGTATTATATTGTATAGATTTAGCTCTGGCTCTAGTGTCCACCAATGCCTGTTGGAGATACTTGTCTCTTGCTGCTAAACTATGTTTACCAGCTGGTTACTAACTTTGTCTGCTTTATGGTTCTGGATATTGTATTGTATTTCAGAGTTTTTTGGAGCAGTAAAAGTTTACCAAAAGTTGTATATATACCATAGACTGTGTAAAAAATATATATAAACTGGATATACTATCTAAACTGGTCGATACAGCTTTTTGCACCGCGCGCTCCCGCGGACGGTAGTCACTTTTTGGCCCGACACGTTTCCCCGTTTTCCCCTGTAAAACCTAAATGTAATGTAAGGGTTTTGATTGGTGGAGCGACGTACGGCTGCCTGCGAGGCTCTACGCAGGGCACGAAACCTCATCGGGGTTAGCACGACCGCGTTTTCACACCGGGAGAGGTGATTAATGTTCAACGTGCCAGGTCAGACATGGCTTCCGAAGAACCAAAAGCAAAGAAACAAAAACTTTCAGAGGAGGAGAAGACAGAGCCTCCAACCAAAAAGCCTCCTGCCAAACTAAGGTAACCGAAAGCCAAAAGAGAAGAAAGCTAACATAACAAGCCTCCTCTCTGCAGAGCGAGGAGACACGACCCTCCTCTGAGTTCATTGAATGCTAATGTGGGCACAGTGTGTGAATGAAATTATGAGGTCGAACATTTTGGGTTTCTTGTTCAATGTCTGTATGATCCACCACGGTAGAGAGAAGACAACGCTGTTTATAGCGGGTGTAAAGTCCTTTGATGTAACGTTAGCTAAGTTATCTTTCCAAATGCAGTTACAGCGATGATGTTAACGTTTAACTAATTGTAACGTAAGGTCAGAAGCGTTTAGACCCTGCTGTTGTTAAAACCCCTCCGTGAAATCTACAAAGTGTGCCAATATCTAATCTGGGTTCAACGTGACAACCACCTGCCCCTGCATGTTTTAAAGCTGCAGAAAGAAATACTCATCTTGGCACGTCCATTCAGTGCCAAGGATTGCTCCGCTGCTTGGTATAGCAACGATTGCTGCAGATAAAGCTTGCACAGTCCATCCTGTAACTTACCAGCTCCCCAAACAATTAATTGCCAAGCAGTCACGTGGCCGTGAAAATGTAATGTGTTTGTTTTGTTTTGTTTTTTTACCTCCCCTGAATAAATCTTGACTCTGTCACGGTGCATCACTCGGCGACTTCCCTTATTCAACTCAGCTGAAACCTGCTGTTGTCATATCGTGGTATCTATCATCAGCACGCTTCTCACGATGAGGCTGGAATCGGCAAGACAAGCCAATCACCAGACAGACAGACTGTGCAGGTCCGTCCCCCGCCTAAGCTCAAGCAGTCAGTCCAGAGTAGGAGGAGCTGTTGTTGCAGAGGGAAATCGATCTGCTTGCACACTGAGCTGAAATTGTGAAGTTTTTGAACGCTCAATTCCTCCTGAGCCGGTTTTAGGTTGCTCAACAGGTCTGTCAGTATCTCGCTGATGCACAGAGAGAGGGACACCATGTCTGCTGCAAGGTAAGACCAGGCTGACAGAGAGAGTGTTAGTCTAAAGGCAGGCATGGGTTTTGGTTTAGTGTCATTGGCAAGCCCAGTAATCACCTCATGGCACATTGGCAAATGTATGTAGTGTAGGAAATGATACTGTGGGTGTGGCATCTGCTGGGGTTTTCTGTGACCAAAACCCATCTGGGTAGCATAAGTCACTGTCTGCCATGTAACTACGTCTCTGTATGCTTTGCTTTTTCAAAAGCCGTTCTTCTCTGTTGCTTCTTCGTGCCTCATTAAATATTGATCTCAGGCGAGTGTAGAAAGAGAATTGATTAGGGGAAGAAACAGGCTAGCACATGTTAATGTGGAGGTGGCATCTGCTAGGCGCTTCGTTCAAAGACTTGCTCCATCTGGGGTTTTCCCAGAAACACGACTTTTGTAGTGACATAACTGACTAGCATGCACAGATATAGTAGTTACATGTATTATGAACACGGTACCTTTAATCTGTGCCAGACACAGGTCATTCAGTACTTGCTTATAGCTGCAGACACTGGCAGTAGTTGGTCACTGATGTTAAAGATAGGTTCGTTATGTGTTGACACAAAACCCAGAGGTGCCTTTTTAGTCGGCGTCTCATTGAGTTGATCCTCAGTGTGGTGGGAACGTTGCTGTGTTTGCAGAAAATGATGTTTTTGGCATCATAAGGTTATGATTTGCTCTGATATTCAAGCCCTGTGCTCAGTTGTTTGCTCCAGGAAAGAACAGACTGCACAAACACAGAGACAGACATCCTACTGCTGTCCTGATTTTTCCTTGCTGTGAATGTCATAACATGGTTACATGCATGACTGACCGTCAACCCCACACATATTATTTTGCAATGGTTGTTGATTACACTGTGGCTCTCAGACATGTGCTATTTCTGCTTTTTTTTCTGTGTGAATAGAAGCTTTTAACTCATGTGATGTGAAGTCACATGGAAACAAAACTGGATTTTTCAAAGTAGTGTTTAACTCTGGAATAAAAACCCAGCACCACACCCAGCAAACCACAAAGCCAAGCCCTGTTTTTTTTGTTTTAACGCTTAATCTTTACATTTCAGCCCTAACTCACTCTTTGGCATGGGAAACCCCTTACTGGACATCTGTGCTGTAGTGGACAAAGACTTCTTGGACAAGTAAGTTAAAGGACTGAAGCAATGGAGTCACAATTCAGTCCTCACTGCTAATTGGCGTGGAAATGCTCAAACTGGTTGTACATCTACTACCCAGTAGATTCACAAGGGACTCCTCAAAAGTTAATTTAAATGAAAAATTTAAACATCAGTGCAAATATTGCACCATTTATGTTGACCCTAGAATTATATAGGCAAAGAAATGTTGAATGAAGACGTGGAGCTTAAGTCCATCTTCTTGTTGCTGTAAAGTCTCCATAAAGCATAGCCACAGTTAAATCAAGTGCGATATAGACATTTGAGGTCCCCTCAGTGACGGTCTGACTATGAGAGAAAGAGGTTTTTTGTAGAGGATGTAATTTGATCAGTGGAGACACAAGAGAGCAAAGCAGACTCATAATCATTGTTAACAGAGCTGCATGTCCATCAGATGTATTGCTTTAATGTATCTGTAAAATATACTTGTGTGTGTGTGTGTGTGTGTGTGTGTGTATATATATATATATATATATATATATGAGAGACAGTGTAGCATTACATCCCAGTGAGGTGATACTTACTGTTCTAGTTGAGTGAAACAGTCAATGCCTCTCATTGATTTTATTTTTTTTAGTTTATCTATAAAATTCTTTTTTAAAATGTAGTTAGCAAAGCACAAAAAAATCAGTATCTAAATCTCAACAATTCACCTTTTTAAGTTCAACAAATTAAGTTAAGAAATGTTATTTACCTAAATCTGTACAGTGAGATTAGTCCTTTTCTGGTCTGTACAAGCTCTGCCCTTTGCCCTGGTCAACACTGAGTGGACCAGGGCAAAGAGTTCCTCTGGGTTCCAGCTCAGGCTCTGCTCTCAAACCCTTTATATAAACTCCTGGATTAGAGTTAAACCAACCAACCACAGTTGAATTCAGTCTCACACCGAATAAAGCAGGAACTGTAGAAATGCACTTTAATCCCCAACCTACCTTTGTCTTTCGAAGAAACTCTGTTTAGCATCACTGACCAACATATTGATTTGGGCTAAGCAGTGGTAGGTAGTAACAAAGGCACTTTCACAGTTTCTCAAAGCCTACGATTTAATGGCTGAATGATTTTATTAATCACATTCTCCATTGCTGTGAACAATCCATTTGGCAGCACCACCTTTGTAGCTGCAATACTTATCCACATAAACATAATACTTATCATTGTTGTAATTATTTCCATAATCATTTTTAATTTAGCATATATTTCTGATGACATGGAGAAACTAATGCTTCTTTTTGTCTCCCTTTAATTATTTGCAGGTACACTCTGAAACCCAATGACCAGATCCTGGCAGAGGGAAAACACAAAGCACTGTTCGTATCTCCTATATTGCAACATTTCCTGTATAATATTAGTTTTGGTAGAGCTCTTAGACATATACTGACAGGCTTTGTAATCTGCAGAGGGACAAAATGAATATGTTTCAGTTTATACCAAGTTTGCTGCTGTCTGTTCTGGAGTGGGCTAGTCAAAACAGGCGCACCCTCCTTTATAGATGGCCAATGGCATAACAGTAGATCCAGCACAGAGGGCTTGTCTCAGCCAACGGCAAACTAGGACACTTCACCTCCCAGTCCCTCTGAGACAAGAGTCAGAAAGCAAACATTTAACAGCAGGAGATAAAAAAGTCCTGTGTGAATGTGTGTGAGAGAGAGAGGATTGTATTAGTGTATTCTGAATAAAGAAAAGTGAGATAATTTACAACAGATATAGTCTATAGGAAGAGTGGGGCCATAGTCATCCCCACTTTATTTTTCTCCCAGATATCTCCCCCTCTGCAACCTCTGGCTATCTCAGGACCTTTAACAGAAATGTGTTGTTATACGTTCCAAAGACATATTTGAACACACTGTCTTTATTACTGATTAATCGGGCCGATATCTGGCCTTTTGAGATAATCGGCATTACCAGATACTGCACTCACGAGGTCTATATAAAAATCTTTTTTTTTTAAATCGGCAGGAAGCCTTGTCAGTGTGGCTGCTGTGAAACAATGTTAGCGCTCCCCTTGTGAGTTTTGGGAAGGTGGTGGAAAAGTTTCCAGCCCTAAATTTCCTTCTTTTCTAAATGTTAAGAAGTTTCTCCTTAATGACAGCATCTAATCTAAAACCATTACTAGCATTAAATATATATTCCTATTCTGTAGTAGTTGAATGACGTCACTTCTCACAAACTGTACCCTGCTCTCCCTTAAACAGGCGCATTCTTACATCTACAGCATAACCCAATGGATTTTTTTCATTAATTAATAAAAATTCTATCTAAAAAAACATGTTACTGGCCAAGATAACCAAGTATATAAGATTGTACTCTACATTGAAAATGGAATTGTACATGACTTATTTTTCATACTGGCATTATATATTGGCCATCAGCCGTCCTGCTTTCTAAATATCCGCATCAACATTGGCCATTTAAAAACCCATATCTGTCAACCACTTGTTTCTAACAGTCACATAAACCATACAGACACACATCTGCGTGTAGGTTGGTATGACTGCTATATTTGCACAACAGGGCAAATTAGAGATGCTTTAGCCTTAAGTGGAACATCAAAGCACTGCTTCAGTCATTGTGTTGCGTAACGGGCGCAAATAGTATCATCAGTTATCAGTCATGTATGTATTGCATCTTTCACCTGGAAAAAATATAGTCCATCACCAGATGGAGGTTACTGACTATCGAGCTATATCCATCACCATGCACACCACAGGGAAATGGGGAAACGGGTAGCCTTGCTCTATGCAAAGTTTAAAACATCCACCTTCTACCATCTGTAAAGCACACCAATTAATATGTTATATCTTGTTTGTTTTAGTTTCGACAGCAAGCAAGACTAGCTCTGTCAGGCTTTGTGTTGAGAGAGAGAGTGAGTATAAAAAAGAAATAAATAATGTGAATTACATGTTTCTCTGTCTAGATTTGAGGAGCTAGTGAAGAAGTTCAAAGTTGAATACCATGCTGGAGGAGCCACACAGAACGCAATAAAGATTGCTCAGGTCCGTCGTTTACACACAAACACTTAAGTCCCTGTTTTGTCACCCCAGCGATGCTCTGTGAAAAACTTACTGTAAATGTGGTGTCAGTGAGTAGCTGACTGATGCTTATCAGAGCTGTTGTCGCTGTCTGTAGTGGATGATCCAAGAACCCCATAATGTGGGCACGTTCTTTGGCTGCATTGGCAAAGACAAGTTTGGAGAGATCCTAAAGCAGAAGTCTGAGGAGGCCCACGTTGATGCCCACTACTACGAGCAAGATGAAGAGCCCACAGGGACATGTGCTGCTTGCATCACCGGAGATAACAGGTGGAGGAGTAGGATGATGATGATGATAATAATAATAATAAGCAGCATATGTTCACTCATTATAATCTCATCTGCCTACAACGCATCTCTTGTTTTCATCCTCGTCTCAGGTCTCTGGTAGCTAACCTAGCTGCTGCCAACTGTTATAAGAAGGATAAGCATCTAGACCTGGAAGAAAACTGGAAGCTGGTGGAAAAAGCTAAAGTCTACTATATTGCTGTAAGTAGTAGTTACTAAACTACTATATGGTGCGTTTGTGCCATTTGCTTCTGACATTTAGGTCAACTTGTGCTGTCACTTCACCTTAGTACCCTTGGGTAATCGCCAGAGGTTCCAGACATAGTGTTGCAGTTTCTGTTCAAGATTTTACTACTTGCAACTCATTACAGTCCGTCAAGATATAAAAAGATCAGTCTTGACCCAATGTCACCTTTTGCTTTCAGGGTTTCTTCCTCACTGTCTCTTTGGAGTCAATTCTGAAAGTGTCGAAGCATGCGTCTGAAAATAACAAGCTGTTTTGCCTAAACCTCTCCGCGCCTTTCATCTGCCAATTCTTCAAGGATAAGCTCATGCAGGTTATGCCCTACGTTGATGTGCTGTTCGGCAATGAGACGGTAAACCAGACTTTCACAGTACATCCTTCACATAGTCTGAATAGTGGCTGCACGAGTTTGTTCACTGCTTTGTGTCTGCCAGATGTTGACGATACAATCTTTTCTTCATTCTTCAGGAGGCACTTGCATTCGCTAAAGAGCAAGACTTCGAGGTGAGTGGACTAACAATCTCATTTATCTCTTGCACATGATTAGTGCTTATTTTTTCATGGATTTTATGCAGTGGTTGTGTTAATGTGTATTGTCTGTAGACCGAGGACATTAAGGAAGTTGCCAAGAAAGCCCAGGCTTTGCCCAAAGACAACACAAAGAGACAAAGGATTGTAGTGTTGACCCAGGGGAAGGACGAAACTGTGATTGCTTTGAGTAAGATTTTCTATTTTCCTTTCCTTATGTTAGTCTTATTTCTCTGTGTCGTATATCTACTAGAGGTAGACTGTAGATGTGTCATTTTCCTTCTGTGTGTTCAGGTGACAAGATCGAGACATTCCCTGTATTGAAGATTGACCCCAAGGACATTGTTGACACAAACGGTGCCGGTGATGCGTTTGTAGGAGGTGAGAGTTTCCTGAGTTTCCTGTGTTTTCATTTCGACATGTTTCTCGGTTGCTTTTTGTCTTTCGCGCATTTCTATTAAAGTGGTCCCTCGGTTGTGCAGGTTTCCTGTCTGAGCTTGTTCGGGAGAAACCACTGGATAAGTGCGTGAAAGCGGCACACTACGCTGCCAATGTCATCATCAGACGAGCAGGTTGCACTTTTCCAGAGAAGCCTGACTTCAACTCCGACCCATGATTTCCTCTACAACCACTACCCTGATTTGTCAAATTTTATTTTATTTTTTTTAAATCAGCCAAACGTCCATGTTCATTTTCAATTCGTCTGGATAATTTCTTACCTATTGTTACTTGGGATCTCCTGAAATGTGTGCCTGTCCCTGTGTTCTCCACTTGGGGCCGCTAGAGGATCATGCAGCCAAGGGCTAAGGAAGATTTGTTTCTACACTAATGACCTTAAAAGAATCATGACACCACATGAAGTAATAATTTTGCTTAGGATCTAAACTGTTAAAGTTGTTTTTATGGACAGTCATTTTGGGATTGTTTCTAAATGTATTTTGGCTTTGACGCTTCCAGCGTCCGGCTGCACTGATGCCCATCAGACTGTGCTGCGAAAACTCGTGTTGACATCTCCCGAGTTTCTTCTCTTTGGAGACAGAATCAAAGAACAGGGTTATTTCCACACTGGGAGGACACATTTTACACTAAGGAATGAAATATCACTGTCAAGGAGGTTTTGGATATTGCATTTAGTTGTGCAGCATTGATTTGTTTTAGACTTTTTTTTAAAAATAGTAATTATTACTGATTATGACTTTAGATTTGTTACTATTTTAATTCAACAGGCCAGTTATGAATCCAAATGGTTTTCTTTTAAGCGTACACTTTTTAACGTGTCAAAGACTCACCCACTGAGTCCTGTGGCCGCTGTTAAATGTCAGCTTTACTGTGTCAGGGAAGTTCAGAAGTTAAAGTCACCATTGTGGAAGTTTATTTTTCCTCATGCTGTTCTGTGGGGCAGGTGCTTGTAATGAGTGCCTCCCCCCCATTGTTTCTCTGTAAAAGGTGTACGGAGGCCCACAGGTGTTATGTGAATCTGCATTTGTCTGTGCAGACCAGTGATGGTCAACTGGTGGCTTATGGGGTGGAAATGGACGCACAAAATCTCTAAAATGCATGTAATGGAGCTGGGATTGTTGGAAAAATGTCATTGCATTTTTATGTTCTGTCAGGTGAATACACTGGGCATTCAAAATTAAGACTTTACCTCCACTGATTATTTTTCACCAGAATTAGTGGACTGTGCTCTTTCTGGATGTTTGTTGATCTCTTGCAATATCAAAGAACAGGTAACCTGACTTCAGGACCGTCCGCCTTGCCAAATCAGATGTAAATGGAATGGAAATATGCCTTTTCACTTAATTAGATTTTGAAATGTTTGGAAGATTTTGTCGGATGTTTGTATGGAAGATACAAAAAAAACAAAGAAGAAACGATTGGGAGTGGGCTCAGGCCACACTGTGATATGGGGCCAAACATTTCAATATTTACCTGAGATTGTGTTTTCTGAATACTACGAGATGTTTTGAGACTTGTGTATGTGTTGGATGAAAATTATACACATTGCCTCTCTAGCCTGTTTCTTTAAATGGTAAGGTACACCAAAAAAACCTTATGTGGCAAATTCTTTCTGGTCTCAAATGGCACTCAAGTTGCTCGCCTCTGTGCTAGATGCTGTTGCATAAAATCTTCAAATAAAACTTGCAAGGTTGATCCTATTACTTGTTTGTGTTTCTGTTTTTGAGTGTTTTGTTTAATATTGAATACATTTTAAATATTCAATAAAAGATTGTTCTGAGATCTACACTGTATTATATATGTATGTATACATAGACTATATCGACAGAAGTACTGGGACGCACCTATCCCAATACCTTTGGTGGGGGCTGGGGGGTTTTTTTGTTTGTTTTTTTTTAAATGTGTTTTTTTCTTAGGGAAATCTTGATGCTACAACATACAATTTTGGACAACAGTTTGTGTGTGGCCTTTTCCTCTTTCAATGTCAATGCCAGCTCCATAAAGAAATGGTTTTCCCAGTTTGGTGTGGAAGAACTTGACTGGCCCACTCAGAGCCCTGACCTCAACCCTATCCAACACCTTAGGGATGATCTAGAACGGAGATTGCAAGCCAGGCCCTTGTGTCCCACATCAGTGTCTGACCTCACAAATGCTCTTCTGGATCAACGTGCAAACTCAAAAATCTTGCAGAAAGCCTTCCTAGAAGAGTGGAAGCTTTTAAAGCTGCAAAGGGAAACCAACTCTGTTAATGCCTGTGAATTTAGAATGGGATGTTGTAGGTGTCCCAGTACATTTGTCCATATATATATATGAAGTTTGTCCGTCTGAATATACAGAATGGAAGTCTGAATATATTGAATGAAATCGGACATCATTAAGGCACTGGTGTATGGAGGGATTATTTGGTGAGAACTAAAACTGAAAGTCGAAGTCGAAAATGAATTTGGTATTTAGGATAGGGCATTTTGTCGTTTAGCCATTTAGGATTTGGGGATTTAGGATTGGGGATTTGGGGATTTGGTGATTGAGGATTGAGTCGTGTATGCAAATGAAGAGGCGTGGCCCAAAGGCTGCAGGGAGGATTTGGAACAGCTGAGGGACTTTATGTGGCCTCTCACACAAAGTCAACAGTGAAAGGAGAGCTATCCATCTGACGAGAAAGCAGCAGACAGTACAGCAGGTAAGATATGATAACATTACCAAGTTAGCTATATTAGGCTAACTGTTGCTGACATGCATGAGTTATGATCGTGTCGGTACATGCAGGTTTTAAATGAGTCTATTAACCCCGCTGTTATAAACTGTAAAGATAAGGTGTAGAAGCTGTGTTTCTGGGTAATAGCACCATGCTGGGTAGGTGACAGGTGTGTGTGTACAGTGTTTGTGTGCTCTGAAAAACATAACAGCGCAGCTATAAAGTCTCAACCGGCAGACCTAGTACAGTATTATTACTACACACTTATGGATGTAGCGTTGAGGCCTGATAGACGTCCGCTAATCAGAAACAGGACACTACCTGCATCACTGCCAATGTCATTTGACCAGGGAGTGAATGGTGATTAATGCGATTGTCATCAGTGATTTCCTAGTGTCTCCTTTTGTTCTTTCACTTCACTGTGTTTCGAGTGTTCCCGTCTGTCCCTGTGTTTGTTATTGCCCCATGCTCAGTCTCCTGGCTCCCGCTCACCTGCCTATTAGGGCCTAAAGTCTACACTAGAGGTGTTTGAGGTTAACGCAAGCTCCACTGTTTTTCCCCATTGACTTGTCCGCCCCCTGCAGACAAAGATGTTTCACCTGGACATGAAGGACTACTTGGTGTCACAGCTTTGGATCAGCCATCTGCAGCAGAGTCCCAGTCCACTGGGTCACACCATAAGTTGGAAATTACAGCTACAGCTGATTGAGTAACCTCTGGATCCACTCAGGACTTCTTCTCTCACTTAGACATAATTTACTCTTCATTGAAGGCTTGTATTTTATCTTGCAAAGTTTCTATGTGATCTATAATTACCATGTTTTATTTTGCTCATTATATTATGCAATAAATAGCACAGAGTTGCAGTCTGACGGGAGAAGCTGCTTGTCTTTTATTTTCACCATATATAATTGCGGCTGTTGCACCTGAATTTCCTTTAGTGCAGTCTTATCTTAACTAGTATACATGATCATACAACCTACCTACTTGCACAGTTTCTATGATCAAGTGTTGTGCTATACCCAGTCTATGGCTATACCTTATTTGCTTCTAGTGGTGGGTGCCGCTGAAATTAGAAAGATATTAGGGCTAATTTGGCTTTTAGTTATGATTATGTAGTTTGTCATTTGTTCTTCTGTCTATGGAAGAATTTGCTAATTTGTAGAGGCAGCAAAATAAAAGTGGAAATAGGCATAACGTTTCATTATACTTCCAATTTTACGATAATAAAATGTTAAAATCAATTATGTGTAGAAGCTTCCTACACCAGGTAATGACAGATAGAGACAACGACGTCACCTCTCACGGCCTGACCTGCACACGTTTATTTGACATCATTTTTATATCCTGAAAACAAGTCTTTTAAAAACTATTTGTAAGATATAAATATTTACCTTCTGAGCCATGACCCTCTAATTTCAAAGTTTTGCAGTTTAAGAAGCAACATTATATATTTAACACAGCCCTGTTCTTTCCCCATTTACATTGAACTGGCACTGTTGACAAAACCTGGACTCATCACATGGAGACAAAACGCAGGAACTCTATTCCATAGGGCAGGGAAGTTTGTAGTCTCCTTATGCTACAAACACAGAACATAACAGATAGTTAGTTTTACATTTGAATATGTTAACATACAACATGGCCTATACAGTTTACAAATATACATACACATATACACCCAGGAAGTAATTGTCCAGTGCATTTAAATTTGTGTCAGTGAGAATGTAAACAGCAGTAAGATCATAATGGTAATATGGTTTTCTCCAACAGGATCTCAGTCTTTTTTTTTACTGCAAAAAGTTTTTGATCATCCAGTACTCATTACAGGGCTGAGGATATCACGTGAACGTGAAATAAACAACTGAGCCTTGTGGGACCTCAAAGAAAATGTCATAATTACCAGTTTAAAAGTTGTCAAGAGACACAGAGAATGTCCTGCCAGTTAGATAGGAAGAGAGCCCCTTTAAGACACGACCACATTGCCCAAAGGAATTTTCTAGTTTACTGATTAAAATGCTGTGCTTGACAGTATCTAAGGCTGCTGTCCATTCTAGAAATACTAGGACAGAAGGTTTGTTTGCAGCATTGTTGATCTTTTGATCACTGACTACTTCAAAGCTGTTTCAGTGCTGCGGTTGGTCCTGAAGCCAGATTGATTCACATCGTATAAATTGTGGAGGGACAGGTAATTATGCAGTTGCTTGTAGATATCCTTTTCAAATATTTTACTAGGAAAAGGGATATTGGAGATTGGTCTGTAGTTGCTTATCACAGATGGGTCTAAGGGGTTCTTTGAAAAAAAATTGTGGAGGTGCAGGTGGAGGAGTTTAGCTGCTTTATCACCTCTTTGGGATCATAGAGGTAGTAGGTGAAACACGATGCATTGTGCCCACAGTATTGTGATGGTGTAGGGGAATTACATGAACAAAAGATGACTAGGGTTGGAGATCTGAAGGCATCTGAAGGAAGTTTGTGAATGTCAGACGAGATGACGTGGGCAATGGTGAATGGGGACGCATGGTTGGCTGTCCAGCAGAAGGCAAACATGAGGCAGAGGAGCAGGTGGTGATCCTGAGGTTCAAGAAACAAAAGGTTAGCCACAAAGAAAACACTAGGAAGCAAAGGAGAGATGATGAGGCAGGAGCTCTGAGTTGATTGAGGATGAGATGTGAAACTGAGTTTTAAGTTCTTAAACAGCTGATCAAAACTAAACTAAAATCAACCCTGAGTGTGTTTACTGAGTTAGTAAGTAGGGAATGAAAAGAAAACTACAATTCACCATGGCAGTGACTAAATAAAAAGTCTTGATTTTAATCCAGTGGCGCTAGAAATATGAATTCATGCTAACACGGGCCATTTCATTTATCTTAAAAAACTACATTTGATTCAGTGAAGCACATCCAAGTGTTGATATCCTTCTGTATGTTGCATTGGATTTATTTGGCTGATGGGGACAAAATGCAGGTGGCAATAACTGAAGATGAAATTATGAATCAAACAGATAAGACAGTTTACTCAAATACCTGTGAATGTAAAGTCACAGTCCAACCCATTAATAAAGATTGTGGTGATTTGCAGTTGAAAATTAGTCTAGGTTCAAATTGACTCTATTTTACATGCATTTTGAAGACTATCTGTAGATGTTCAAAGACTTTGGAACTCCATTTAGTCCATACCCAACGTTAATCATGGTGCATCCAATTTTGGTTACTGTTTTTGTTAAAATCTAACTAGCTGTTACTAAGCCTCTAGTGTTGAGTTTGTGCCCTAACTTAGGAGAGAAGTAATTGTTACACATCTGAATAAAAACTCAGTGTGGCTTTGAATATCTTTATTAAAATCTGCAACATACATAAACAGATCGAAACATTGTTATCAGCACGGTCAGTTCAGACTCACGTTAAGTTACAGAAATGCACTGCTATGTTGAGGCTTCTCACATAACTCACTAACAGTATACCAATAAAGGAAAACATTTGGCACAACTCCTACATTATACGGATTTGTATTGTAGCTCCTGTTTATTACAACTGCATGTACAGTCATGTTACAGGCTTTACAGACACAATTTCTTATATGTACTATATATATATATATATATATATATATATATATATATATATGGACTATTTACGTATACTAACTTGTGTAGGTTTCGTTCATATATTATGTCTGCTTGCAACATACACAAACAGATCGGTACATTGTTATGAGCATGGTCTGCACTGCCTTGTTGAGGCTGCTCCTAACATAACTCACTAACAGTATACTCCCTCTTGTGGTAAAAGTGGGATCTAACACTTACTTTTTAAAGAGGTGGTATTACGCTTTTTGGCTTTCCCCCTCTCCTTTATTGAGTTATATCTTTTTATGTACATGTAACAGGTTTGCAAAGTGAAAAAGCCCAAAGTCCAGCCCAAAGAGAGTTCCCATCTCCCACAGAAAGCTCTGCTCTGAACCGTTTGAAAAAAGCTCCTTTGTAGTCCAGCCCTTCACTTCCTTTACTTGTGATATCACAATGAAAATGCGTCATAAAGCTTGCCAAGCGGCTAGCGGGGTCAGGCACGCCCTCAAACCAAGCTAGTCTGAGTGGAGGCCCTTTGGACTCGCCTTGTTTGGTTTTCCATTGTAGAAATGTTGTACATGTACCTGCTTCCAGGTACTTTTTTTCGTATCACCTCACCTCAGTCGAGGTTCCAAGCGAGCTGAGAGATACTAAAATGTAACGTGAAAACAGGACAGACTGCTGATTGGTCAGAGAGAATATTCACTATTCACTGCATCATCATTGCTGCACCAGACAGAGGCCAGCAACAGAAAGTTTTATATTTTACAGTTTTCGTATGGAATTTCATCACAAAATCCACTTCTGAGAAGTTTTGAGGTGAGAAATCAGCTGTGTAGATTTCGAATATTGACAGTTTTACGAGAAGTGATGGCGGAACAAAAATGTGCTTGAATATTTTCGGAGTTGAGGAGCTCCGCAAGTGGCTGCGGGAGGGAAGCCTGTGCCAACCCGCGGGAGGAGCGTGTGAGGGCTCACAGAGCCCTCTGCTCCCACTGTCACACAGACCGCTGCAGCAACAAGCTACGTACTATCTGTGGGTACAATCTGCTACGGAAAATGGGAGAAGGGTCCAGCTGCAGCCTGCAGACAAACGTTACGGAAGTTGACGGAAGTTGAACTTCCATATATGGCTTGTCCCACAAGCCACTGCGCACAAAATGTGATGACGTTTATCTCGACCACTCGGCCCAGGCATAGTTGTTAAATAAAAAAAAGCCGTTAAAAAAGAGGTGTCAAGTGTCAACGTAGTAATCAGTGTACGTTATGTGTTAATATTTACTATACTATAATTATATTATTAATATAGTATAGCCTATCTATACTATAATTCCTGCAAATATTTATTTATAATAGCCTAATGATTATAATAAACCAATGTTTCAATTCATACCACGGTTGTGTATTTTATATCTGTAAGTTTCACAAACCAAGAATATTCTGTAATGTTACATCACGAGCCAGATGTATCTCGATTTACGTTAAAACTTTACAACATTACTGAGAATTTATTGATAGATTGACAGCAGTATGAACATTAACATTCAGCTGTTGCTGGATATGTCTGCTGTGTTGGCTGCAGTGGTCTGTGTGACTGGAACTATCTAACTAGAGCTACATTACATTTATTCATTTAGCTGATGCTTCTATCCAAAACGACTTACAATTGCTATATGTCAGAGATCGCAGAGCAACTAGGGGTTAAGTGTCTTGCTCAGGTACACAATGTGTCACAGTGGGGAATTGAACCCAGGTCTCTCACACCAAAGGCATATGTCTTATCCACTGCTTCATCACCAGCCCCATCACTAGCTAGCTAACTATTCCTGACAGCCCCCCAAAGTATATTCCTCTTACCCTAACCATCACAAGTTTAGTGCCTAAAGTTATTGATTATATGCATGTTGACCGGTGAACCCTACAGAGATGATAGGGTTAACCTCCATTGTGTTGCTGTGCAGCCTCCGGTAACGTTGCTGCAGCTATATAACACATAGACTGTATAGAGTATTGTATAGTATAACTACGGCACTTGCGGAAACGTTTGAACACATTTTCGATTCGCCGCCAATTTTCGTAAAACTGCTGATATTCGAAATCTACACAGTTGATTTCTCGACCAAAAACTTCTCAGAAGTGTATTTAAAGTTGTGTTGTTGGCTTCTAAAGAATAAAACGGTTTGCATTAGGATCTATCCTGTACGTGAGCCGAGATAACGTCATCACGTTTTGTGCACGGTGTCTTCTGGGACAAACCATATTTGGAAGTTCAACTTCCGTCAACTTCCGTCACGTTTGTCTGCGGGCTGCGGGCTACAGGCTGCGGGCTGCGGGCTGCAGGCTGCGGCTGGATATACTTGGAAAACGGAGCAGGGCAAAGTAGAGTCAAGTTAGGTTATGGTCGCAGTCTGAAGTGGCTTTGATTTGGATCACACTACCTTGTTTCTTACGACCCGCCCTTCTCTGCTTCTGATTGGCTAGTAGTCCTTACCTGGGAACTGTGCATGTGCAACTCCCAACAAAGATTTTGTACAAGTAAGATGTATCACTCTGTAGCTCAAGAGCGGAGCGTACAACACATAGGGTGAAAAGAGGAGCTGCAGCAATGTGCAGTATTAGAAAAATATGGTGGGTTTTTTTCCTATTAAACCGTGTAAACCTGTTCTGGTACAACCCCTAATTAAGATTTTGAACCTGAAAATGAGCATAATACCACCTCTTTAACAATGCCCTGCTTGTGTACAGGACACTGCAGCACAATACATAATTAAACAATACCAAAAAGAAAAAGTATCACAAAACAATACATGAAGAAACACACTGACACTCTAAACAATATGTAAGGGGGTGCCTGTGTTATGAACCGAAGAACCCGTTAACCTCACATAATACAGAGCTAGTGCAATCCCCAAATCCTCAAAACCCCAATCCTAAATCCCCAAATCCCCAATCCTAAATACAAAATGCCCTATCCTAAATCCCCAATCCTAAATAGCTAAACGACTAAATGCCCTATCCTAAATACCAAATTCATTTTCGATTTCGACTTTTAGTTTTTGATTTGAACTTTTAGTTTCGGATTTTGACTTTTAGTTTTCGATTTCGACTTTTAGTTTTAAACTTTTAGTTTTAGTTCTGATCAAATAATCCCTCCATACTGGCGGGATCTTGTGTTATTGATGTGAATTATCTGTACGGATGTAACGTGTGGCACTATGAGCGAATTAGCAAGAAATCTAGTGTCAGCTATTTGGAGCAATAAAGAGATTATAAACACACTCGCAAATGCATGTACGAGCCAAAATACTGGGAACCATAACCAGTACTGGTCTGGTAAAGTAATTTAATTTAATCTTTCATTGTGGAAGACCAAATGCAGGAAACTTCCCAGGCAGACAGAAACAAGCCTTCAACCTCACAGGTGCCCCACAGGTGAAATGAACACACACTTTATATATGTAGAATATTCTAGTATTTCAAGATTAAAACTGTATAAAATGTATCTAGAACATATGAAAGTTTCACTTTTTGACTTAAATTAGGGAACAAAAACAAACTTCCACAATATTCTGAGAGTTACTGTCCATTCTCTGATCAGTACCAGCATTATGATGCCTGATGTTAAAAAACACCTTTAGGACACCCCATTCTAAAATGTTGCATTTGAACTTTATAAGACGGACATGACACAGTTGTGAAAAACAAAACATTTTAATGACAATACAATGATAATAGTTAAAGAAACAAAGAACATTTTTGTATCAGATAAATTCAGAAGAAAAACTGAAGTAGTAAACACAGGCATCTATTGTGTACTATAGGTCGTCTCTCTCTTTTGTCTCAGCCTCTCCTCTTGTATTGTGATGTCCAGCGCTCTGAGCTGTTTTAGGAAGCCGTGATTGGGCAGGATGCAACGGTGCTGTCGCACATGCTCAATAGCCTCCACGACAGTTAAGCTGTGTTTCATCATCAGGTATGCCAAGACCAGAGTCGCTGATCTGCTCCGACCCATCACACAGTGCACCAGCACCTTGTCTAGAACAAAATTAGGCAAAGATGGATGGATTCATTAGAAACAGTGAAGGGTAACACTTTCTATGAAGGTCATCGCTATAACGACTTATGCATATATTTATAACACGATATAATGCGTCCATAAGACATTATAACAGTTTTTATAATCACTTACAAACATGCATTAGACGCTATAGCAAAGTTCATAACGTATTATGACCTTTTAATTTAATGTTTTATAACTAATAGTAATACTAGTTTATATCAATGTGCGGCAAGAATCTCCGACCATGTTCCATAACACATTATAACCACCGACTCTGCCTCGTTATAAATACACTTTAGTCACCATTTAGAATTAGTGATATAAAATGGAATAATAGCTTATATTAATGTTTAATGTTATATAGCATGTCTTTGTTTGCTTTAAGTAAAGTGTTAAAATATCTATCCCTGTATAATATATTACAGGTGGACATAATACCATATGAACTAATTATAAGACCTTATAACACGTCATTGTTTGCTTTAAGTAAAGTGACACGCATTTTGCGCAGGAAAACAACTTTTATTTATGTTTCTTCCCTTTATGAACAATCAGTATGAATTTTGAACATTTTGCGGTTTAGCACAAAAACACAACATAATTACATCCAGAAAACTCGTTGTCAGGGTGGTGAAAGATCACTCAAGAGAAGACCTGTTGCCGACCAACATCTGTAAGAAGAGGCTCAGATGTTGTTGATGAATGGCGAGCCTGTGGACAGGCCCTAACAGATGCAGTGGACAATTAAAGACAACCACTTCACAAAACGTAGCCTATTAAAAGACATTTTAAAGGAATTGAATGGGAACACTGTTTGGGCAGTAGGGATGAGAATCTCTTGGCAAACAAAGACATGCTATATAACATTAAACATTAATATAAGCTATTATTCCATTTTATATCACTAATTCTTAATTGTGACTAAAGTGTATTTATAACAAGGCAGAGTCGGTGGTTATAATGTGTTATGGAACATGGTTGGAGATTCTTGCCAACCATTAATATAAACTGGTATTACTATTAGTTATAAAACATTAAATCAAAAGGTCATAATACGTTATGAACGTTGCTATAGCGCCTAATGCATGTTTGTAAGTGATTATAATATCTGTTATAATGTCTTATGGACGCATTATATCGTGTTATAAATATATGCATTATAGCGATGACCTTCATAGAAAGTGTTACCACAGTGAAGCATACAAGCTTCCCCAGAGAATGATTTGATCCAGGACTTACTCTGTGGGTGACTGAGGGCCTCATGGATGAACTGGGCTGCGGGGCAGAAGTACTGGGAGATGTTGAAGGTGGGTTTATCATCAGCCTCTACACCATAGTACTGGATGTCCATGTCACTGTAGTATTCAGCACCAGTAAGCACGTTATTCCACTTTCCCTCTGCTGCATTAAGGACATGTGTGATACCCAGATCCCTCAGGCCTGGTCGCTCCAGAGCTGTTTTCCTGTTTTAATGCAACACACAGACTCAATATGAAGCTGCCATCATGAATTTTGAACCTAATCTCTGTGTGCATTTACTCACTCATCCCCGATGTAGACACTGGGCCAGACCTGGTTGACATGTGCATACTGGGCCCCGGTGCCGGTCCAGAACAGCTGCTCCAGGTCTAATGTCCCCGGAGTGATGTAATCACTGTCTGGGTCCACCCGCACCGCTGTGTACGGGTTCCTGCTTCTGGACTTCACCACACAGGAGGACATAGCTCACCTCTGCTACCCAGAAAAGACACACACACATCCCTGGACTTGATCACAAAACAAACAAAAACAAATTCTACACATAGTTATCTGTTCCCAAGCTGTGTAGATGTAACATTAAAACCTATACACCTGTAATATTTTGATACACAGTCTTGGAGCTGCAACAATTTCAGGGGAGGGTCAGTGAATGGAAGTCGAGAAATATTACGTTATCAAAATAGAAAAGCCTAAATGTGTGTGATTTGGTTAAAGAGACAGTTCAGAGGCACAGTATTGGGGAATTTTATTGTCTATCCCAGAGTCAGAAACTAATAGATGCCTCAGGACAGACCTTTTTTTTAAAAATGTATTTGGTTTGAAGTTATGTCAAACAGCAGTATTAGACTATCTTGGCTTAATTGTTGAATGGGATCAAATAACACAATCATAACATGATGATCATGGAACTGAAGAAAACTAAGCAAGTAAAATAAAGCAGATGATACACGAGGCAACTTTTTGAGCAATGTTGCTGGGCAGTCTTGCTAGTGGCAAGTCCGACTATATTTTGAATGGATAGCGGCGGTGCGGGACGGGTGGCGGAGTGGTGGGGGAAGGGGTTTACGGTAGTAACTACTCATTACAATTGACGGCAATGTTGCCCTGCACGATTGCTCTAAAAGTTGCTCTGTGTATCATCAGCTTTAGGGATACCTCTGGATTCGTTGATCAACATAAAGTTAATAGGTAATTTTTTTTCTTTCTTTTTAAATTTAGCTGACTTCCTCTGAGTTTTGGACTCTTAGTCAACATTTAAATCAATATAAGCTTTGATGTGATTCATTTATCAGGAAAATATTATTTTTTTATTTATTTAGGGATTTATATATAACTAAATAAAACAAATCAAACCATATGTACACAAATTAAAACTAAATTGTTCTTAAAACATAACTGCTGTGATGACAGTTTAACAGTAAAGTTAGGGACCACTTGGTATCTCGCATGCATTTCCATTCACCAGTTCTTTTGTCACTTATGTGGAGCTCTGCCGTTTTTTTGTTACAAAACCTCACTTGTCAGCTGTTGGATGAAACTCTCCATGGTGAGCAGACTGCACTTCTTTGTAGCCACCATTAACAAGTTGCCATGGCACTTAAATGATAATAGATTTTAAATAGTGATAAGAGATAAAACAGCACATGGGGAATAGGGGACAAAAACAAAACAAAACGTGAAAACCTGTTTAACATTTAATTATGAATTTATTGTTTAAATTTATAAAAGATCTATTGTATAACAAAAATGTATGGGTAAAAGATATTTTAATTCATGTTTTAATTCATTAATTTATTAAACTTATAATTTGAGCCATTTATTAGCTTTTAACATTGATTTTACTCATTTTTGTTTATTGCTCATTTTTATCAGCTAAAGATTGGAGTACCATTATGCCCTTTTGCAAGGATATTTAGGTCCTCCACAGTCTTACTGTCATTCTACACCTCTGTTGTATCTGCTGCACTTTCATGCTCCTTTTTATACCAAACTCTTACTACATCATTCCGATTGAGTGGTTTGGAGTGATGTGATGTCCCAGGATGAAGTGAAGATGTCTGATCTGCTCATGATGTTGGCTGTTTAAAGAGAACTGTGAGGCCATAAGATACACTGCTGCCTTGCTCTGTAATCATATACCCTGCAGGCTGATTATCATAATAAAGTGCTGTGGTAGAAAACAGTTACTCACCTCTTTCTTGTAACTGTTTAAAGCTTTAAATCCGTTCCTGAGCAGTTTTGCAGACCAGCACCTCAACCTTTTCTCAGTGGACATGTGTGAACTGTGTGTGTGTATCAACACAGACCCTTAGACAGATCTGGAATGGTAACTGCTCTCTCAGGCTCTGTGTTTAAGATGATATTTTTAGGCAGCTGGGCTACAACACCTGATCTCAACAACGTGACACACAGACACACACAACCACACAGACACACACACACACACACACACACACACACATTCACACACACACACACACACACGCTTTCTCACTGCCTTCCTAATGTGATATGAATCCTCTAATGTAGGATTACGTTCCTTTACCCTGTATGGTAAAGAAACACTGAATTGTGAGAAACAATGCCAGAAAACAAAAAGATGTTTAGTAAGTAAGTGTCATTCGTTATTGTCATTGTAAGAATGTCACTAATGTGTGGACAGGTGTGGGGATCAGTTAGCACGGTCAGTGCAGTTATTTCTGGGGACATAAAAGTTAAAGCATTCACTTGTTATGTTGCACAAAGTGTTAACAAAGACATTGGCGCTTTTCTTGTAACATGACATTTCTATTTGTCTGATTTAATTGTTATAACAGAAAATGTGCGTTTAAATCAAACAGGTGCCTGAAAGGGCATGCTCCGTCATGATGTGTCACTGTGGTCCTGCTTAGTGGTGTGTCCGCTCTGTGGGTGGAGGCTCAGCTCCAGCTGCCTCAGCTGCTCCAGAAATCCAGAGTTGGGTCCAATGTCCCGGTTCAGACGCACAGCAATGATGGCCTCCACTAATGACAGGCCATGGCAGATCATCAGATATGCAAGAACCAGCGCTCCAGAGCGACTGACACCCATTGCACAGTGCACAAGCACCTTCCCTGGAAGATACATTGATTAGTATGTGTAATAACACTTATTAAAAAATGTCTTATTGATTCAAATGTCCCAACATTTATACATTTTATCTGTTCTTATCCCTTGAAACGGGCAAAAAGTCTCCAGAACATTTTCAAAGCACATTTGAAAGCCATTTGAACACGAGTGTTTTTCTAGACTTAAACCACAAGCAGCTAAATGGAACTCAGCCGTCGTTAGTATAAATGCTGATTCAGCAGCAGATTACAGTATAAGATTTACTGTCTTTAATGTAATGTAATGGTTTTAATGTAACAATTTAATTTAATTGCATTTATTCAATTCAAATCATTAAATGACATTGTGCTTATTGATGAATATTCTATTTCACCGTCAAGGTGGCGACAAAACTCGTTGAATACTGGGGCCTCAACCTGCTGCCGCTGTCGGCAGCCCGTGCATGGAAACTGCTTCACTACTCCAGTTCAGCGTTTATTAGTATAATATTTTCTTCAACTTAGATGAAAATCCCAAAAACAAAAGCAAAAGGGAGATTTTTCCATAGCTCCACAGATGATTTCAGTTCTCCTAATAATACTCCCATTTTACTCACACAAACCCAACCCCCCTCATCCAGTCTAGCCAATGAATGAATAGCATCTGATGGAAGTCTGAGGGGCCTTTAAATTATGTCTACACCTCACTGATTGTTAATGGAAAGTGTACGTGTTGCTCAATGGCAACAAATGTTATGTAATGGCTTTAATGTAATCTTATTTAATATACTGTAAGATCTTTAACAACATTATGATTTAATTTATAAATTTCAAAATATTAGGCTTCTTCAAATCTACCTTAACCTACTCCACTTTGAAGTTCTACTACTTCAGCATACTTTCTGCTACAGATTTCATTTAAACTTTAATGGATCACAAGACTGCACTATTAAACTTGTATTCATGTTTGCAATATATTTTACAGTTTTTGAGTTTTTATGTATTGTTCGAGAGGTACCTTGCCAGGTCTCTGTGTTATCATCACTTCCGCCAAACTTTGAGCTGTTTCAGGTTTAATTCACAATTCAGAACTACCTCTGTCACAAACATTCACATATATAGAAACAGATATAGTGTCAGAAACACACATTGAATCCCAACCAGCTAACAAGAACTCACATGAGGGCCCTGGTGGAGGTCTGATCAAAATAAAAGCCCTCAGACAGTATGCAATATTTTCAAAATAAAAGCCCTTAAAGGTAACATGAGCTTACATTAAATTTTATTACACTCCTTTCAGACCTTACACTTCAGTTATAAGTACCTTTCAGTAGACTTCAGGTTATAAACAAACTTACAAGCCATCTGCACTTCCCATGTCTGCAGTGCTTAAACTAGCAGTAATTTGTTCACTTCATTCATTTGTCAATCAGATCGGAACATGCTTGTAATCAATGCATTTTGTCTTTCAGATTTTCCAGTGCAATGCTGTTTAGCCCCTTTCTTTTTAGGTAATAATTTATCTCCCAGATCTAGCTCTTTGTTTCAGCTCTCAGCTTCTGAAGCTAATGCATTGTGAATGAATGAATTACATGTTTCAGATGTGTTTGTATAGTTTTTGTCCCATCAGTGCATTTATGTTGCTATCTACATTAAGAATTGTCTTTTGCTGTCATATTTGCACACTGACCATTTTGCTTCAGAGAACTGTCTATGAACTGTGCAGCAGGGTTGAAGAAAGGTCGGAGGTTAAACTCCGGATGATCTGCAGCTTCAACACCATGGTATTCCACTTCAAGGTCACTGTAGAACTGCTGACCTGTGTTGATCCGGTGTCGACCTGCTGCTGCATTCAGTATGTGAGTTACACCCAGAGATGAGAGTGTGGTTCTATCTTGTGCCACAGACCTACAGACACATGCCACATACAAACTGATTTATTGTCATTTACACAATTTTAAGCTGCTAGTTGTGATTTTTCTACTCACACATCTCCGATGTACAGGTTGGGCCAGACTTGATTTACAGGTGCTACTGGCTTCCTGTTGGTCCAGATAATTTGCCTCAGCTCTGTCAGAGATGGTGTTTCCTCCTCCTGGGCTGAGTGACCTCTGTAGCAATAATAATAATAATAATAATAATAGTAATCTTTATTTGTAGAGCACTTTTCAAAAACAAGTTACAAAGTGCTTTAACAAGTGTAAAGACAATAATACAAAAACAATACAAGATAAAAGCAGGAAAACATTGAAAAGACTAAAATACACGTTCAAGATAAATATAAAATAAGTAAAATAGAATAAAATAAAAGGGATAAAATAAAGTAAAATAAGATTGGGAAAGGCTCTCCTATAAAAGTATGTTTTAAGAAGGGACTTAAAAGAGTTCACTGACTCAGCTGACCTGATTTCCTCGGGCAGGCTGTTCCAGAGCCTCGGGGCCCTGACAGCAAACGCTCTGTCCCCTTTAGTTTTCAGTCGAGACTCTGGAACAGACAGCAGACCTCTGCCCGAGGATCTCAAGGTGCGTATGGGACTAAAAGGTCAGAAATATAACAAGGCGAGAGGCCATGAAGAGCTTTAAAAGTGATCAATCGAATTTTAAAGTCAATTCTAAAACATACTGGGAGCCAGTGTAATGAAGCTAAAATAGGAGTAATGTGGTCATATTTCTTTGTTCTGGTTAAAAGCCTGGCAGCTGAGTTCTGGGCAGTCTGGAGTCGATCAGTAGATTTATGGGTTAAACAGGTGAAAAGGCTGTTGCAATAGTCCAGGCGTGATGAGATGAAGGCGTGTAAAATGGTCTTAAAAGTTAACATAGATCGAATTTTTGCTATATTTCTAAGTTGATAAAAACATGATTGAACAAGCTTTGTGGTGTGCTGCTTGAAATTTAAATTACTATCAGACCAGACACCAAGGTTCTTTGCTACAGGCTTAATGTGACTTACTAGGGAACCAGCAGATGGCAGTATTTGATTTGCCATCTGCTGGGACCCAATGACCAAGATTTCTGTTTTGTCTGAGTTCAGCTGGAGGAAATTATTTGACATCCATTTTTTAACTTCACAAAGGCAGTTGTTAAGTCATCGGCATAAATATGAAAAGAAATGCCATGTTTATGGAAAATATGTCCAAGGGGAAGCAGATACAAGGAAAACAAAATGGGTCCTAAGACCGACCCCTGAGGCACACCATATTTAACTGGACAGAACGAAGAGATATAGTTTTTTACAGACACGCAAAACTTCCTATTTGACAGGTAGGATGAAAACCATTCTAGGGCAGTACCAGAGATCCCCACCCAGTGCCTCAGTCTGTCTAAAATGATGTTGTGATCAATGGATCAGGACTGAGCACATGCCATCATCAGCAGACATTAAAGGTCATTGGGGACTTTAAGCAGGGCAGTCTCAGTGCTGTGGTACTTCCTGAAACCAGACTGAAACTTTTCAAATATTTAGTTATTTTCCAGTACAGTGAGCAGCTGTTTGGACACAATTCTTTCTAGAATCTTTGCAATAAAAGGCAGTTTTGAAATTGGTCTAAAATTTTCTAGGATGGAGGGATCTAAACCAGGTTTCTTCAAAAATGGGTTCACACAAGCCGCTTTAAAATAATCAGGGACACAACCAGTAGATAGGGAGCTGCTGAAAACAGAGATCAAATGGGGCCCAACAGAATCCATTACTTTCATACTTTCAGGTATTACATCAAGTGGGCTGGAGGACACTCTCATTTGTGATACTGTTTTTAAAAGCTCAGACAAGTGGATGGGATAAAACTGGTTAAAACTCTCTTGTTGCTGGTGAGGAACCTCTGAGTAAGAGGCCGCGGGGGTAATAGAGACTCTGATTGACACCACCTTATTGGTAAAATAAGATAAAAACAATTCACAGTCATCATTACTTCCAGCTGAGGCACAAGGAGGGGTTGGGTTTACCAGTTGATCCACAGTCTTAAACAGAAACCTGGGATTGTGTTTATGTGCAGTAATGAGTTCAGAAAAATAGTGTGTTCTTGCATCCTTAACCATGTTATTGTAGTTAGTTAATAAATCCTTCAGACTGAGGCAATGGACTTGGAGACTGGATTTTTTCCATCTGCGCTCTGCTTTCCTGCATTCCGTTTTTAGGCTGTGAATGTTGTCATTTATCCAGGGTTGCTTACTAGCTTTAGACGTAGGCCTAACCTTTAGAGGAGCAGTAATATTTAGTGACGACAAGCAGATATGATTGAAGTGATCGACCAGATTGTTGGTGTTGGAATCAGACAGGTGTTGGCTTTGGCTCTGAAAGAATGCACAAAACTTTGAAACACTTTGTTCATTAAAGATGCGAGAACACACAGGGCTTGGTGAGGCGGCATGAGTAACAGGCGAATCGCAGCTAAAAACAATACATCTGTGGTCAGATATGGTCATGTCCATTAATTCCACAGAGAAAATGCTGACACCCAGGATAAACACCAAGTCCAGTGTATGACCACGGTTATGTGTTTGAAGTTAAAAGAAGTTGCCATATTTAAAAAGTCAGTTGCATTAACATTGGTGGGGTCATCAACATGAATATTAAAATCGCCAAGAAGAACAATTCTGTCACAATTTAAAACCAGAGTAGATAAAAATTCAGGAAGTTCTAATAAAAATCCTCCAGGCTGTTTTGGGGGACGATAAATTATAACAAATATGATAGGTTGCAGCCCTCCAAGTTTAAGAGTGAGAACTTCAAAGGAGTTAAATTCATCACAGCGTACTTGATGACCTTTAAAATTTTCCCTATACACGCTCACTAGCCCACCACCACGACCACTGACCCTCGGTTGACTAAAACAATCATATTGAGGCGGACACAGTTCAGATAGCTGGCTATAGTGATTCATTTGCAACCAGGATTCAGTTAAAAACATAAAATCTAGATTTGCAGACAAGATAAAATCATTTAAGATAAAAATCTTACTTGAAAGTGATCTCACATTGAAGAGAGCCTTTTTAAATGAGTTTATTCTAGGTGCTGGAGTTGGTGCAGGTGTCCTAATCCTTATAAGATTACTATTATTTCTGTGTGGGATGTGCACATTTCGGTTTACTGGTCTATGCGTGATGATGACAGGAATAGAAGTCTTTGGAACAGCGCTGGGAGCAGACGGCTTTACATGCCAGCAGGTGGAAACAGTTGTTTGTGGAAGTGAGGCAGAGATCTGTTCAGTGACCGGTGGTGTGTCCAGGTGTGCTGCATGAATGATTAATCATTCACGTAAGTCCTGAGGGGAGGACCGCACCACATGCTGTATGTGAGCAGCTAACATTTCTGAGAGAAGGACTACCAGACGGTGCAGGGTAGAGACGGCCTCCGGAGCGTCTGAGCACAGCCTCCTTCAGGATCCTACGTCGGGAAGCGGAGGTTTTTGACCGGGATGACGGTCTGCCGATCAGGCCCAGCGGCAGACCGGCGGCCCAGCTGATCACCGTTTGCCGCCAGTGCAGGAGATGTAGCTGGTGGAGGAGATGCAACAGTGTCGGCAGGCACTGTCTGTCGAAAGTGATCCGTATCAGGGAGACTCGAAGCCGCAGGTGCATCTGCTGGATGGACCGGAGTGTCGTCAGACAGGGCTGCATAGCAGTTGGAGAGGCCGACGTGCGGAGGAGAGGCAGCCCCGTCTGAGACTCTCTGCAGCCACGGACCACCACTTCAGCCCAGGTTGACTGATGCTTCGGAGTCGAGCAGGAGGAAAGCCTTGGAAGGTTAGAGGGGTCCCACAGCACGGTGTCCTGGATGTTAGCGGTTGCGCTAAGAGAAACAATCTGTTCCATAAAGCCAGTCAGCAGGGAATCTTTCTCTTTGAGTTCCTCTGAAAGTCGTCGGATGTCTTTCATAAGGTCAGCAATCTTTTTGTTCGCTTTCTTAGGGAGTGTGCAGTCCTCATGGGGCAGAGTTATCTCGGCTAGCATAACGTTAGTCGTCGGAGCTTTGTTTTGATCAGTAGCGTTTTTACGGTCATCTAGCTTGAAATCCATGTCGGATGACTAAAATCCTTAACCCATGTGGTGTATAACATATGTGCATTTGACCATTACAGTTTAACATAATGCTCTGCAGCTGGAGAGAGGGACAGTGAACCCTTATGGGGAAGTAATGATTGATGGGTGTACAAAGAGTGAACCCTCCTATAGAATTTGACCTCTGACCCAGTGTTAGGGGAAGAAGAGATTAGTATGAATGAAGGGACTGTACCCTTCTGTGGTGTCTAACAGATGGCTACACTTATTCTACAGCACTGTGCCCTTATATGGTATTTAGCAGATACCTAAACATGTCCTATATAAGCTGTGTTCGATGTACAGAGAGACAGAGTGGCCATCGGGCTGGGTCACTCTCCAAGCTGCTGCAGAGCTTGTAATTGATGCTGAATTCTTTGATGTAATAAACTTTTATAATCAAGAACAGTGTCGAGCGGATTTCTTCTCAACACATCATCGCAGCATTATCGTTCGGACACCACACCCACATAACACTTAAGTTAAAAACTTAAGTTAAATAAAAAGGATATAAAAAATTTAACATAAAAGTGTGGATTAAAACTGGATAAGAGTCAGGTGTCATGGCTGTCACTGTCACCTTTGTGTTTCCCCTTTTCTGTCTCACCTCTACCAAGTAGGCTGTGTCCCTGTGGAATGAAGACTGGCCTACCTCCTGGTTTCTGGGGTGCTGACTTCAGTCCCACCAATTGGTTCCCTCTGTTCCCGCTCAACCAATGGCTCGTCACCACACTGATTACCTCCTGCTCATAAGGAGAGTCCACCTGTTGCTCGAGGCAGCTTGTCACCGCCTATTGACTTGTGTGCTGCTGGTATTGACTGTGTACTTTGCTTGTTAGCTGTACATTGTGTTTAGTGGAACAATTTGCATACCTTGTTTGTCAACTCTACATTGTGTGTAGTGGAAAAATTCACTTAGTATTTTTGTTTGTAGTGTTTTGTTTTTTTTGTAGCAAGAATTAACCCTGTTTAAATATATAGATGGGTACAGGCCTCCTTTTGAGGACCTCTTTATTTTAACTTGGTTTGTTATTTTTCACAGCACCCTCATCCACCCTCTTTTTGTTTATTGTTACCTGTGTGATAGGGAAGGCAACAGAGGTTTAGCACTAGGACCCAGGTAAAGGGGCGGTCTATAAATAGGGGAGGGAAGATCACCTGGTCCTTTCTTTCTGCAGTCACACACCTGAGGGAGCAGCTGAGGCCAGCCTTTGTTTGGTTCTTGATTGGATAGGCTCTATTTTTAAATGGGTTTTACTTTAAAAAAATAATGTGTAAAAATCTAAGGCTAATAATACATGTCCAGAACTAGATCTTAGAATAATTTGTAGTTGATTTTATTAAAGACAAGTTGAAGAATTGTTAAAAACCTGTTATTTATTAGACTTCGTGGTGGTGAGGGTCCAAAGCTTGGAGTGATTGTTTAAACACATCAGCTAAAGCACAGGGATGTGTAAGATGGTTTTAAACAAGATTTTAGCCTTTTTTTTTATATATATATATAAATGTAACAGGAATATTTGAAAATATAGATCCCAGTCACCTGCATGCCTTCAACAGCGGGAGGGGAAAGTGTTTTTTTTGTATCTTACTGTGTTTCTGTTTGTCTTGTTTCAAATAGAAGTTATTAGGAGAGCCAACCACTGTTTTTTCCCACCGGTTAGTTTTATTGGGCTCACACTAGATCCTTGAATGGGCCATATTTTGTGTTTATGGCTGTGTTAAAGGGGGAAACTGAAAGACAGAGTAACCGTTTTGCATGGGTGTTTTGTGTAGTGTGCAGCATGCAGATAGTGTTTTTCCATAGTATTTGGTTTGAGCGTGTGGGTTATTTCCTTATTTGTCTATCAGTTTGGTTATAATTTGTCGGTGCTCAATTCTACATCAGTTTCCCTGGTAATGCAGTCTAGTCCTGAATTGTGTTTCTTCTTTTGTTTTGATGTAACAAATAAAACTTACATTCCTATACTGATATAGTAGCCTCTGGTCCAGTTTGTTCTGGCACTTGTGTATGAAGTAGCGTTTGGTTTACACCTGTCTGCATCTCCGGGTTACCAATAAAAGTTACCTTTTTAAGATCTATACCAGTTTCGCTTATGTTTATGGCCCCCACTCCCCTAGACCAACAGGGGGTCGTAACATCAGGTTTAAGATGGAGCTTCCGACAGATAGCTACAGACGCATGCGCAGAGTACAGATTACGTTAGCAAGATGTGTGTGTCTGGGTGCATTAATGATGATAGCTTTGTGTGTGTCTTTACAATGTTTGGGCCTGTCGTCGCCTCCTCCTCTCCCTCTCCAGGCCCATGTCGAGGCTGCGGAGCTGCTGCAGGAAGCCAGGGTTGGGACAGATGTCTCTGTGTGGCCTGACGGCAGCCACCGCCTCCTGCAGCCTCAGGCCCTCAACAATCATCAGGAAGGCCAGCACCAGTGTTGCAGAGCGACTCACACCCATCAGACAGTGGACAAACACCCGTCCTGGGACAGGGACATTTGCTGTTACCTTCAGCACCACATAATGCAGTCTGGAACAACACTAACTGTGCTAAAACATAATTGAATTAACACCTCTATGACAAAAACCAACATTACAGGCATTATAAAATGTAAGTTTATAGCAGAGTTGTATTAAATTGCATTAGATTGTACAGGTGTACCTAATAAAGTGGACACTAAGTGTAACTCTATATACACACACAAGATATCTGTAATAGTGACTGACTTGCCTCCCACGGCCAATGCAGCTCTGATGTACCGTGCTGTTGGGTAAAAGAAAGGACTAAGGATGAAGTCTACTGCATCATCAGCATCCACCCCATAATAATCCACCTTCATGTCTCTGTAGAAACGTGGACCAGTGTTGACATAGAAACAGGGTCCTGCATCAGGGCTGGGGGGTCTATGAGCAGCGTTTACAATGTGAGTTATGCCCAGACTGTGGAGAGTACCCTTGTCACGAGCTGCCACCCTGAAACCCAGTCACACATCAACGTCTGTATGAGAGGAGGATGTTTACATTGATGTAGGTGTGCATGTTAATGCGTGTGAACCTACTCATTGCCTATGAAAAGGTTAGGCCAGACTTGATTGACATGTCCGGTAGGTCGTCTGTCTGCCAGCAGGAACTCCTGCAGCTCCGACACAGAAGGAGGGTTGTATGACGGATCCCTAAGAGACATACTGACACACATAAACACAAAGCATATACCAGGCGTTATATTGTTATATATATCTGTTAAATTATGAACAAAGTTTCACAGCCACTGCTGCCTTTCTTTAAAATGTATACTGTCTCACAATTGACCTTCTCTTAGAAAACTAATGCAATCATCTGCCGTGGTAAAGCCAGTGATGATGGACTGAGCAAACAAACCTGTTTCCCCACACTTCAAGGCAATGCAAACTCTTCTCCCACCGTGCTCGCTCTTGTTTCTCTACAAACACACACACCCTCATATGACTGTAGCTTGTTTCCTTTTATAACTGTAATCATACACTCATTAGTGACAAAACATCCTGCAGAATGTAGTTGCCATCCAGGCATGTTAAAACACATTTAATCCATTTTGACTGCATTCCTGGACTCTCATTCTTAACGACAATGTGGCATTGTGCTATGAACTTTAACATTAGCACTGTATGTGTCTCTATGTTGCCACCCAGGAGCAGAGTAACGTCTGCTGCTCTGCTCCTTTAAGAAATATGATAGCGGCTGTGAATAACATTTACCAGTGACGTGTTAACTTTAGCTGCATTTGTTGTGTTATTAGATCATATTGAATTATTTGCCATAAATCAAAAATATGGGTTATACTCATTGCATTTTGTAAGAAGAAGAAAAAAGGCACATATGGCCTTGGGGGTACAATGTTTAAGGATAAGTGAGGTTATATATATGAAGGTAAGATGTACAGCATTCTCTTTACTCATTTAGATGACTGTACAACAGAGACAGCATGACATCAGCTACAGGTTAAAAGACATTTTCTAACTGTTTCTCTTGTAGAGTTTGAATTAATTTAATACCAAATTAATTTAATTCTTTCATATCCTGCAATCTTTTCTTTTTCACTCAGTCATAATACATTTATATTTTATCATCAATTAAAAATAATGTTAAAATGTTGGTTACTGTATGTCAATGCGCCTCAGTCGCAATGAGGCCAGGTTGAAATCCATTTAGAAAGCTGAGATTATTTGCATCATATGCTTCACCAAAGGTTTTCTTTTTTGTGAAAATGTATATTTTAATCTAATCTATTGCTTGTTTGTGTCAGAATGGTGATGCAATAGTTAATAAGATCTGAGTGCTTTCAACCAGAGAAAATATGTAAATGATTTGGCTGAAACAAAAACAAACTGTGGTTTGAGGGATTTAACGAGGTAACAAGGTTTTGTCTTGTTAAAAAGTGTATTTTTAACAGGTTAAAACACATTTAAACATGCAGTGCCTCATTTCCACAATATTACTCACTTTATATCCATCCAGCCAAAATATTTCAATAAAATATTATAAAACATCTTTAATGGACATTAACAGTCATAAAGCTGTATTTACAAATCTTATAGACATGTCTGACAACACTGACAGGTAACTTTTGAATATGAAAAACAAAATATGACAGTACAGTACAGATATTTACAATATTACACAAGAACATTGCTGCTGTAACCAGAACTTAGAACTAAAAACATGGAATTAAAATGTCACTCCAGTGTTCACCACCAACAAACCAACTCATACCTCTAACTACATCATACACATTTTGATAGCAAATCATTATTTTTCCATAATTAGAGGGTAACATATGGAAAGAGAGAGAGGTATTGCGGTTACTAATGGCTAATGTGATGAAGGAGCATAGAGGAGGTGAAATAAAGAGAGAGAGGGATGTCAGAGAAGAGGACACAACCTCCGTTTGAGTGTCAGCTGTTCGTCAAGCTTGAGGAGGAGGGACAGGAAATTCTGGTTGGGGTAAATGGCTCGTTTTTGGATGACACGCCTCAGGGCATCTCTCAGTGGGAGACGCTGCCGCAGCATCAAGTATGCCAGGACCAAAGTGGCCGATCGACTCATGCCCATGATGCAATGCACCAGCACTTTTGCTGTAGGGCAGTATGGAGAATGTGAAAAGACAACACAGGCAAAACTGTAATGAGACAATGGCTGTAACATTTATACTGTACCATCTTTGCTCTTCAGGGCATTATGTATGAAGTCAGCTGCGGGTTTAAAGTACAGACTGAGGTCAAAGCGCTCTGAATCCTCTGCTGGGATGCCAAAGTAAATGCAGGTGTTCCCATAAAAGCTCTGGTCACCGATGCTGCCCTGCTTTGAGTGTGCCACATTCAGGACATGAGTGATGCCAAGCTTTTGTAATGTCTTTCTATTCTGTGCTACAGCCCTGGAAAAAACACATAAAAGAGACGAATGAAAGAGAAAACATGTGAAACAGTATTAATAATTATTTCAAGATGCACTTACACAAGTTCTGTTCTTTAACAGGAGACACTCACACATTTCCTATGTACAGGTTGGGCCAGACTTCATCCACTGGTGTGAGCTCCAGCTTGCAGGAATCCAAGATGAGCTCTAGTTCTTTAATAAGCACTAGGTCCTGTGGCTGGTTACTCCCTGACATTCTCCCCGGACACAGAGCGCTCCTCCAACAGACCCCAACACAACTCCTGCTGTCTATGTCCACTGTCCCTTCACCCCCGGAGTCTGCAGCTCAGTGAGAGACACAAGCAGGTGGTTGTTTGAAGGCCGCTCCAAAATTAGCTCTCTGTGTTCAGTGGGTTCTCTCCGACTGGATGTGGAGTTATTTAATGTTGCTGTTGCATTGATTGGTCTGTTCAATGATGCCAAAGATCCGGGGGGGGAATAGACAGGGACTCTCTCTGTCACCACTGAGGTCACATCAGCAGAGGACAAGGGGAGGGGAGGGTTGGACACGGTTGAATTGTTAAGTGTCTGCATACAGTAAAGAGTAGAAATGGCGACAGTCTTACATGGTATAAACGAGGACATTGACTTCTGCCTACAACCAGAGGACAATTCTATGGATTTATTGTGTAGGGTTCTTCCTCGCTTTGTTTGTTTTTATTTCGCCTCATACAACCCTTCGTCCTGCAGTTTTTGGTCCAGGGCTATAAGCTGCCGCAGGAAGCCTCTGTTTGGGAAAATCCAGCGTTTTTGCTGCACACAGCGTGTAGAGGACAGCAGAGTGAGGCGGTGATGAATCATCAGGTAGGCTAGGACCAATGCAGCCGAGCGACTCACACCCACAGCACAGTGCACAAACACCTTTCCTGGAAATCATAAAAAGACACAAATAAAGATACTGAAAATACAGGTGACTAACTGTCACTAACTGTCAAGTTTCAGTACCTCCTGATGTCAAAGCCTGGTGAATGAACTCAGCAGCAGGGTAGAAAAAAGGTGAAAGGTCAAATGTTGGCAGGTCGTTTGCAGGGACTCCGTAGTATTTCACTGTGGTGCCATAAAAATCATCACTGCCCTTACAGCACAGTTTTCCATGGGCTGCATTCAGCACGTGAGTGATGCCCAGCTGCCAGAGCCCGAGCTTGTCATGAGACATAAACCTGACACAAATACCACATTTTTTTATGCATGAATAACAATTCAGACACACAGAAATTAAATAAGGCAAAGGATACCCACATGTCTCCCAGATACAAGTTAGGCCACACCTCATCTCCGTGGCGACAGGAGCGTGGAGCTGAATGTAAAACCTCCTCCAGCTCCTGAAGAGACGAGATCTCCCACTTCCTCTTTGAATCCTCTGTCCTTTTCTTCTCCTCTTCTGGGTCTGTGTCGCTGATATTTCTCCGCTCAGAGTCTCGTGTATCACATCTCACCTCAGAGACAGCACCGCTGATTGGCTTCCTGTCAGTCATTTCTAAGTTCAGAGGGGGTAAACTATTATGCTATTCCCCTAATACTAAATCACGCTGCTGTTTGTTGCCTTTGCTTTGGTTGCTGGCTGTCTTGACTGTCAGAAACAGGTGGTGCAGTTTGGCACAGACTCTCAGTCAAACTCTCTCTCATCGAAATGTGTTTATACTGGTTTGAAAGCCACTGAGTGTGCTTTTTAAATAACATCAAATTCAAACCAGGTCGTCCATGAAAGACACATTTTTTGGAGGGGATCTAGAGAAAAACAAACCCATAAACAGATCCCTATTTTTCATAAATGTGGCCAGCAGATGTCAGCATGCTTTAAGTAGCAGCCCTGCATGAGGCCAGCAGCTCTTCTTTACTGCTGTTGTTCATTATTGTCTCTTCCTGTTTGGTGTTGCCTGGTTGTCAGAAGCATGTTGGACAAGAAATACTTCTACGAGTTGAGCCACAAACAGACAGCTCATCTACACCCTCTGACACCACAGTGACAGTGGATTTCTGGTAAGAGAAGCAACTACTGTTTAATATAATCTTTTAAAGTACATTTGAAACAACTAAATTTACTTACACTTGTTTGTTCTCTTTTCATCATGTACTTTTCTACTTTTTGCTTACGTTAGGAAAGTGATGTTTAAACTTTTCCTCACCATCATGAAAATATGATTTCATATCTGAGTTTATGTCATGCTGAAATGTTGCTGTCCGGCGTTGCATTGATGCCCTGGGGTGAACAGACTATGAGCCCTTTGTCAAATTGTGTCTCTCTCTCTCACATACACACACTGAAGGGCTTTCTCTCTCACAGCTGTGTGTCACTGCTCACTGCGACTCACTGTAAGCCAGCCAAACAAGCTGACATCGCACTTATGAATCCCCAAGTAAAGCCTCAGGCCAGAGATGTTGCCAGTAAAATCTAGAGGCTAGTTAAAAATAACTTATTACTGTTTGAGGGAACGGAGCAGCAGCTACCCAAGTAAGTTACTTTAGGCTTCAGACATGTAGTTAAACAGTTAACTGATAAGTAGATTAACAGAAAATTGCTGAAGTCATTTTTCAAACATAATTGCCAAACATTTATGGTGAATTCCACCTTTTTAAATGTAAATTCCACCTTTTTAAATGTGAGAATTAGCACTGATTGTCATTACTAATTTACCTCCTTTTTTATTAATTCTTTGTTCTATGACATGTCAGAAAAATGTGAAAAGTGTCACAGTTTTAAGACACATCGGAAAAGCTGATGCCATCAAATATTTGACATTTTTGCTTTATAAGCAGGTTTAATTGATGATCAGATTAATGCAGATTAATGTTTTTGTGCATCTACTAACCAAATAATTGATATAATCAGCTCTAGTGATTTGCTGCTTGTCTTTTTTTTTTTTACATTACAGTAAACTACTTACTAATCAGTCACTGAATACTTTGTTGGTTGGAAAATAATGCAATTTTATGGCGTCACCTTGGGCTCTGGAAACTTTGTGATGGGAACTTTTCACACTCTGGAACAATCTACCACAGGAGATCAGGCTTGCAGAGTCTGTTCCTGGTTTTAGCTCACTTCTAAAGACAAACTTCTACAAAATAGTGTTCACTGTGTGATGCGTATTCTATTTTTCCTTTATTTTTATATTTACTTATTTATGTGTTATATTGATTGTTGTAAATCACCTTGTTGTCTGTATTGAAAAGTGCTATGCAAATTAAGCTATTATTTTATAGACCAAACAAATAATTGATTTGATTGAGAAAATAATCATTAGGTTCTGTCCCTAAATTGAAGTAGTTCTCAGATCCAGTAAGTAATCACAATGGAGACTTAGTCTTTAATTCTACTCACACAGTTACTGTAACTTCAGTACTAACCAGTTATGAAATTACTGACTCCTTTATGTATCAGCATTTATTGTTATCTTGTCATAGAGGTACTAACTTTAATAAGTTTAATACCTCCCAACAACTCCGGCATTACTGATATGATATGACTCTGTATCTGCAGTCCAATCAGCACGTAGGCTGCCACTTACATTCCGCAGTTAACAGCAGTACAGACATGTTGGTTGAGCCCTGCAGACCTTTGGAGCAGTGGGGAGGACAGGCTTATCAGAGGCTCAAAGGGTAAAAAGGGGACACACTCATAGCAAAGCAGAGTATTTCATCAGTGCTCGAGTCTGTCTGTGTGACGCCTGACACCTACAGAACTGGTCACACTCAGTTCGGTTGAATTCCTGTTAATTTGTTTTAGTTTGACACATAAAACATAGGCCTGCTGTACGTGGATCAGTGCGTGGTGTCAGTACATACTTATGCTGTAAGTCACTGTTTGCTTTACTGTACAGTCATAGACCTGAACACAGACGATGTATTAGCACTAAGTAGCCTGCAGTGTGCTGTTAGGTCACGAATAAGAGCACAAAACACTCTTAACATTTCTTCCCCATCCCTTCCTTTACATTATATTAGTGATTGTATTTTCGTGCTGAAACAATGAGTCAGTGAATTTTGATAATTATTTTAGTCATTTATTCGGCATAAGTGCTTTTTCATGTGGTTCCTAAAGTGTGAGGATTTGCTGCTTTTCTCAGTTTTATTTCATTCAGGACTGTAACGATTATTTTCATTATACATTATCATTTGAAAAATTTAAATTTGAAATGTCAGCCCAATTTCGCAGATTCTGGGTGAAGTCCTCAAGTAAAATATTTTGCCTGACCAATAGTCCAAAACCCAAAAATATTAAGTTTGCCATGAAGGAAAAGAGAAAAGAAGAACATTCTCAAATTTGAGAAGCAGGAACCGGAGATTGTTGGGAGTTTTTGCTTGAAAAATGACTGAAATTATGAATTTTTTATCAAAAATAGTTTTCGATACAACGAGCGACTAATCAAATAATTGACTGATCGTTTCAGCTCTAACATGGTAGATTTAATACGTTTAGGTTTTTGGACTGTTTGTTGAAGACATCAGTTTGTGTCACATTGTCAGATATAGAATAAATGATTAGAAAACATTTAGTTTAAAAAGTAACTGACAGTCCAGTCAATAATAAAAATTATATTAGTTGCAGCCTGTTGAAGAAATAACATAAATCCTTTGTAGATATTTGCTGTTGTGGTGTGTTTAGTCGTATACTAGTATTGAGTGAGCTTAATTAAGCAACACATGGAACAAATGATGCTCATTTTAGTAGAGGAGGTTGAGTGGTTGTGATCAATGGCATGCAAATTGAGCATGGTTGTGTTTCAGGCATTTTTGCATTTAAACAGTGAGATTGAGAGTGACAAAGAGTGTGATAAAATCAAGAAGTGAAAACACATTGGAGGAAGAAGTGGTGCTGAATTATAAAAAGGTCATTAACACTGTATGTCTGTATCTGCAGTGGCATGGCACTGTCAGAGCACAGTGTGAGCGCCTGGAGCTGTAAGCAGGTGGCCCAGTGGCTGCAGGAAGAAGGTTTTGGGGAGTATGTGGAGTTATTGTGCACCCAGCACCGCCTGGATGGCCTCAGCCTGCTGGCTCTGACTGAGGCTGACCTGCGCGGGCCTCCGCTGGGCCTCACTGTGTTAGGAGACATCAAGAGGCTGACCATAGCCCTCCGTCGGCTCCAGAGACAGAACCAGGCCCAGCTGGAGGAGCTGGGTCTCAGACCTGCGGACAGTCTCCCTGCTGGACTCTCGCTAGGCGCCGCAGGGGTCGAGTGGGGCTGTGATGGAGCCAACAGGAGGTATAACGGAGGTGATCGCTCTTGCAACGGGACTGAGCTGCGGCTGAGGAATGGTGATAGATCTGGATACGGTTCAGGAGAGGCCCTGTGTCATACACACACCAACGGGAGGTGTAGAGAGAACCTAGCTGGTCGATTGGACCCAGAGGTGTGGAAGACGGTCGTCAGTTCCTTATATGTCTTTTCTGTGTTTGGATTCACATCTTTTGTCATGGTCATCGTACACGAACGTGTCCCGGACACGAGGACATACCCACCGCTGCCTGACATATTTCTGGACAGGTATAAATGCATGCATCCAGTGCATGCTGAGCAACTACCCAGACTCCATAGTTTATGTACACATTGTCCTGCACTCATATGTTGACATAACATGTTTGTACTCTGACAGTGTTCCTAGAATCCCTTGGGCTTTTGCAATGGCTGAAGCCTGTGGCCTTATCCTGTGTTACATGTTTCTATTGATCCTGCTCCTTCACAAACACAGGTAATCCACAGTTCCTGCTCTTCCCCTCATTGATATGCTGTGTCAATGGTATAATACTTGGTGAAGTGCATGAAGTGCTGGGCAGGAAATGAACTGTGAATGTTTGTCTCTATTTCAGGTCCATTCTCTTCAGACGCCTGTGTTCTTTGATGGGAACTGTGTTTTTGCTTCGTTGTTGCACCATGTTTGTCACCTCGCTCTCTGTGCCTGGGCAGCACCTGAAGTGTGCCAGTAAGGTGGGAAGCACACACGAGATTATGAGCAGATTAAATATGGTTTGCCATTTCCAGGTCTCGAGTGGCCACTAATTGCTGCTATTGGCACTGTTACAGTATTATTCACTCAGCAATTCTTACTGTGATAAGTGATGAACCGCTGCCACTGTGATTCACTGCGTGACTGAGAACTGGTGTCTTTTGTTCCCCAGACGTACGGTGATACCTTGGGAAAGATACAGAGGGCGCTAGCAATCTGGAGTGGGTTTGGGATGACTCTGACAGGCGTCCAAACGTGTGGAGACTACATGTTCAGTGGACACACTGTTGTCATCACAATGCTCAACTTTTTTGTGACTGAATGTGAGTGTTCATGTTTGTTGGCCTTCAAACACAGAATGTGCAGCTCACTGAGGAATAAGCTGTATCAGACATTGGATACGTTGGGTACTGTCATCTTTAGTAGGAATAAATAATGCTTTTGGGGACTATTTTCAGCTGCGGATTAATACACATTGCTGTTTTTTACAGCAGCAGGACAGATGGGATTTATTCAACATAAATCACAATAGTGTTGTTCAGCTTCCATGTTTAAGCTACATAGGCAGCTTCGGGTAAGTAGGCTCAGGACGTAGAGCCGGTCATCCAGTAATTTCTGGGTTGTCGGTTTGATCCCAGCTCCTCCTGTCCACATGTCAATGTGACCTTTGTCAAGATACTAAACTCCCCAATTTGCTTCTGATGGACAGGCGAGAGCCTTGAATGGCAGCTCCGTTGCCATCAGTGTGTGTAAATGGGTGAATGAGAAGATAAATGATAAAGATTTTGTCTGTTAGGGAAAGTGCATTTACCATGATAAATGTATCCCTATATCAGGCTTTGGCTAAACAAGTAATACTTGTTAGTTTGATTAATTCACTGTTGATTTGTTGACACTATGAAAGTTATGGAATATCACTAGATTTATCTGTTGATTCCTTTCAATTGCAGACACTCCGCGAACCTGGAATCTGATTCACACCATCTCCTGGGTGTTAAACCTCTTTGGGATTTTCTTCATCCTGGCGGCACACGAGCACTACTCCATCGACGTGTTCATCGCCTTCTACATCACCACCCGCCTCTTCCTCTACTACCACACGTTAGCAAATACCCGTGCTTACCAGCATAGCCGGAGGGCACGCATTTGGTTCCCCATGTTCTCCTTCTTTGAGTGCAATGTGAATGGACCTGTCCCCAACCAGTATCACTGGCCTTTCAACAAACCTGCCTTCATGAAAACTCTGATTGGATAGAGGACACTTTCAAAGATCAGTGGCTGCAATGTGCATTGTTATATTTAAGTGAATGAGAAATGTTACTACTTGCTTCAAATCTTTATATAGTTATAAGTTTAGCAAGTGGGAGTTTTTCCCCTCCTTTTTTTAAATTGACTATCTTTATTCAATTAATCTCATATTTAAAAGGAATAGTTTGACATTTTGGGAAATGTGCTCATTTGCTTTCTTACTGAAAGTTGGATGAGAACATTGGTTCACTGTCATCTCAGTCCGTTAAATCTGAACCAAGCCAGCAGCTGGTAAACTTAGTTTGGCATTCAGACTGGAAACTGGGAAACCGTAAGGCTGGTAAAAAATCCACCTACAGTACCATCGCTTCTAAGGCTCACTAATTAACATTTGTTTAATCTGTCCAAAAAAGTGTAAAACTGTGATGTGAAGAGACTCTGCTGCAAGTCCCCTCCCAGCCAAGAAGTAGTCTTACACATAACCTCCTGTAATACTTTACACTACAGTTTTTTATACAAATGTGTACAAATTCTTGAGCTTTAGATGTGATGTTAGGTGTTTCCACTCTTTATGCTAAGCTAACGAGCTGCTGATGGTAGCTTCATATTTAGCGTACAGACAATAGTGGTTTTGATCTCCTCTAACTCTTACAAAGAAGACAAATTCGTGTATTTCCCAAAATGTTGATCAATTCCTTAAAATGTAAGCGTACACTGTCAAGTAAAACAAAGAAATATGGTTTATTAGGCGCCCTAAATGCTGCTGGTATGATTATTTTCCTCTTGGTGATTTATTTGCCCTCTTTAAATAAGTCTAGTCACTTTCTTCATTCATGTTCCACTTTGGGGATTTTTTAATAGTTCACTAGTGGTTTGGTTTGTTAGTCTCACTCAGCATTTACAGCAGAGTGATCAGGCTTCACTCAGCCGGTTGATACCGTGGTTGTCGTCATCTTATCGGGAGTCGACGTGGTGACAGTTCACATGTTTTGCTGCCAAGAGATCTGACACCTGTTTGGTGACTATTGCCAAAGGATAAAGTGTTTCTTTTGATGTGCAGTCGGAAAAACACATCATCTTCAGTCACTGTTTTTTTTGTTTCTTTCTTTCTTTCTTTTTCCATTTACACTTAAAGAAGTGAACCCTACAGCTTTGTTGTGTTTGATAATGTCACCATTGGGATAGCAAAGCGTCTTACATTCACAGTTAAACATTTATTTTAATGTTTTGCCAAGCAGCCCTTAGTATGATTATTTCTTTTCCTAATTTGATACTGTGTTATTGCTTTGTATTTTATTATTATTATAATCATTTTTTACAGATTGTTAATTATGTAATGAGTGTAGAAGTGTATGGCGCTGGATTTTGCTGAAGTATTGTACAGAATTTTCCTCTGTTGCACAGTACAGGACGTTTTGTTATTACAGCTGTTGACAAGCAGCTGGATGACAAAGTTGTAGAAGTACATTGTTTACTATGTCATGGTTGATCCAAACTCTCTTATTAATAATTGTTTACAATTTGTGGCTTTATTTGCAATGCAAGTAATCTATCTCTGCCTTTTGGCTCAGCATTAAATGTTTACAGAAAAGGAAAAACAGTTTATTAGTTTATTACTAGTGTGTTTTTATTTTGCAATTGTTGAATAAAGTGGATTATAAATGTTATTATAAATCCAGCTTCTGTGTGAGTTAGTAGAAAGAACATACATGTGTGAAAATTTCATGATTCAGTGAGGCGTGCCTTTAGTATCTAATATCAATATCACCTGCACACCTGCTGCTGTTCTCCACCTTAAACAAATATCTGATAATACTCTCATCACGCTCGTGATATTATCAATAAATATATGCAGGGGTGCACACCTTATTATAAAACCCTCATTAGAGAGCTCTCACTCACAGCTTCCCCATCACGTCTGATGATGGTATGTATTTTACACTTTACAATTGTATTATGCTATGAACATGCTGAACTTGGAAATGAAGAAACTATTTCTTTCTGTAGACTAAGGTCTATTATTCTGTAAAAAATGCAATATAAATTTAGATATGGATATATGTACTTTTAAGACTGCTTTGTGTACTATACTGCCAAAATTAAATTAAAGTAAAATTGAAGTGTATTGTTTAGATTTACAATTAACTTCAAACTCCTGTAGGATTCCTACAGGGCACACTGCAATATTGTTATGTTTTGTTGTAGTGGTGGTATTGATGGTAGTAAAATATAAATCGGCAAGTAAATCTAAAAACGTGGTCCAAAAGATTAATTAAACCTATCTGGCTTATTGTAAACTGTAAATTCTTACCAATCTATCTTTTGTAGATGAAACCAGTCTTATTTTACATACAATATGTTGCAGACAAAATTTATTTTGCATTAAAATATATACATAAAGGTGTCTTTATTGAAACATTTGGAATCAAAACTCCTAAAACTGCATGAAAATAGCTACAATGTGAAAACCTTCTGAGAGTGACAGTAAAACATTTTTTCTTCCTTTGGGGTGTTTTAGGCTCTTTCATATAATAGGATTGGCTTTGGTTTGTGTGACCATTTTCAGACAAAAAAGACAGAAATAGAACCTACCCACTTCCTTTCAATGTTTAAAAGATGTTAAAACATTGTTTTGGATTAAGTTATTTTAGCAGAAGTCCATAAGTACACTGCAGAGACTATAAAACATGCTCCATAGTTACAGGTGTCTTTTTTTTTACTCTTTCAGGCTTCTCTCCATGTGTTTGTTTGTCTGCTGGGACTGTTTGTCCTATGTCACTCTGCATGCTTCTTCCAGGAACTGGTGATCAAAGATCCGGAATCCCCTCCAAAAGGTGAGGTGAAAGGATTCCAATTAAAAGCAAGACAAGAAAACCGGAGATATGATGTGGAGTGAAAACTTTTCTCTGCTGTTGAAGTTGGAGAAATTAGCATTTAGTCCTTCTTTATGTGTCTGAGCGTTCCAGTTAAACACATCATCCAGCTGCTCTATGTTTACCAGCAACACCTGCCAGCCTACTCAAAACAAACAAACAAAAAACTAAAACACCCTATGCACAGATCAATGCACACTCACACACAGTCACCACCACATAAGAGGCTCCTCTGAACTGTGGTTTTATTTCCTTACATGTAGGGTGTGTGGATCAGGATGGAAAGCAGCATGATTTTGGCTCTGACTGGGTGAGCGACTGCATGGACTGCTCTTGTACGACGGAGGGCATAAGCTGCTGTAGCAAGTAAGATTTTAATGCTTTGATTTATGACATTCCATATTTTATTTTTAATCAATCCTCTCTAAGGGGCTGTACAAAGGTTAGTGGGGTAAAGAGGGGTGCTGAACCTTATATTTCACTCTTTAAAAAAGCTTTTCCCTTACCATCATTCATATTTTCTTTGGACCTTCAACTCAAAGAAAGGACACTGAAACACCCAACCGCCACTATCTTAAAATAATATTTATATGTATGAGATCAGATGTCCATCAGATGATGGACATGATCAGATCAGATCATAACACCTGATACACATGAGTAGGTGTGTTTTGAAACAGCAGCTAGACAGTCAGAGTGGGCTGTTTCCTGCAGATGGCTGAGCCAAAGATCATACAGTAAAATATCCAAACACAAGTTTATTACTCTGGGGAAATGGTTAAATGCTTATGCGTGATAAAAGGACACAGCTGTGTGTGGCACATTAGGAGTGGATTATATTACAGCATAACTTGTATAGACGTGTTGAGACATGTATATATAGTGATTCTGCTTGCTGTATCCAGGGAGCATCAAGCTAATGGAAAAATGACCAAACTGACATATTGGTCCTATTAGCTAGTTGATCATGTTGGGGCAAATAAAGCTCTGATAGGATTCTGCGTATATATATAGTCCCAAATACTTTTTGTACAGTCCCTACTTAGTGCAAAACCATTTTATGAAGACCATTTGATTTCTCTTTTCACCTTAGGTAACCTTCTTTCTTTTTGTCTCTCAGCATTCCCAGTGAAAGCACAGTAGACATTCCTGAGGAGTGTGAGTTGGTTGTAAACAAGGAGGCCTGCTCTGCCAAGGTGGTGCTGAAGTCTGACAAGACAAAAGGGTGTAGCCCCATCTGAACACACTACAAAGTCTAAACTCGGACAATTGAAGTTCAAACTGGGGATTTATGTTCCACATTTTATCAACTAGTTGATAGTGTGTACATGTAGTAATCTACCAATAAACAACAGTCAGCATTTGTCTTACTTGTCATGTTTTAAATGTCACGGGTAATGAAGTTAAAACCTAAAACCTGCTCAAATTATATTTCCTCTTGCCAGCACTTGAAGCAAGTGTGATTTTCAGGATGTAATTGAATGAAACCACCACTGTGTGACAGCAGAGCTCAGTGTTGAGAGGGTCCCCGGCACCATACCAGCCCAATAATAGGGGTGCTTCCCTCGCCACTGTCTCTGACAGAAACGCTCTGGTTTTTGTGATGTTCAGCTGCTACTCCTACTCTCATCTCTGTGGATTCACACCTGTTCAAAGCGTTGTTTTCTCTGTCATCTTGACATCACAGAGACACTCCACACAGCCACCACGTGAGTGCTTTATTTGTACACACAGTAATGATCCTTGCTAAGGAAAGTCAATGTCTTTCTTATTTAACCAGTTATAAAATGTATCCTGGTGTTATTTCTCCGCTGTCAGTTTAGTGTCCTCAGATATGCAGGTGAACTGTATGTCTCTGCCTTTGCAAATGTTTTTGAATGATGCGGTCAAACAATAGCAGCATGGAGGCAGTATTTCTGAGAATGTGCATCCAATTTCAGCAGGAAAACTGAAGAAAAAAACAGAAAAACCTTTGTACCTGATTTGCATGAATGTTTCATATAGTGTGTAGAAATGTGAAGCAAAACCAATCTCATGCCAGTATTTGTAGTGATGATGTCTTGGGAGGTATTACCCACCAACTTTGACACCCCCCAGAAAAGAAAATAGTTTATGAATAGTACTACTGACTGAAAATGTGCTTCATGGAAATCACTGTTTTGGTGCTTTCTTTTGTTTTATATGCAAAATGGATTCATAATGATGGATTTCAGTAAGTGGCAATACTCACTGGTGGCCTGGTGTAAAGCTGCAATAATAAATGTGGGGGTTTTTTTTGTTTTTTTTTATGAAATAAGCAAAAAGCAACATTATTAATATGGTAAGCATTCTTAAGACACACATTTTATATGCATATAAATGAAACAGTGACTGCACAGATGGGAATTTAGAGGTTGGGCTTCTCTCTTCTATTCTTTGTTTATGTGTCAATCACACATGTGCAAGTTATCTCCTTGTAATTTTCATTTCCACACATTTATTTACTGTATAACTGTCTAATTCATGACAATATATAAGCACTTGAAATCATGCTACGGACCTTTAGATTCTAGTTGAACTGATGACGTTTCCAAACATTAAAAAAAATTACAAGGAAACTGCATTCAAAAATACCATCTTAATATGGCAGGACAGAACAACGAATATGTGCAATTGAAGAATTAAAGAAAATGTGCAACAAATCTAAAGCTACCACAGAAAAATTTTGAAGAAACATTGATGACAGTGAAGAAAAGGTGAATAAATGTCCAACTGCTCCCAGAAAAATACAAAAGGCAGAATCAAGGTGAATTTGGTCCAAGAAGAAGGACATTATTCTTTTTTTTTCTGTCAGACAACAGTGTTTTGTCAGAGATGGAGGACACTTCACTGAGGCAGAAAACAAGAATATGACGGACGGAGCGGCGCCAAGTCACGGCGTTCCTTATCTTGCAGAGATTTTGCTCTGGAGGGGGATGATCACACTCACTACTGGCAGAATGTGATTCCTAGTGTCCCCTCATTGTAACATGACAGTCTCAAATTTGCCTATTAATGGGACATTTTCTTCCCCTGCTGGTGTTTATGGCTCCCTCGCTTTGTCACAGCTGTTTGTTACATCTGGTTTCTGGTGACATTACAGTTGTCTTTCCTCCCTGAAAAAAGGATGATCAATGCTGTGCCACCCTGCCTGCAGCTCACTCAACACACTGACAGAGTAGGTTAGTAATGATGCAGTGTGAAGTGACTGATAGCGAAGTGTGTGTGCCATTAATGGAAAATGACAGGCTCTTTTTCTTTGCAACGCTGGTTTTCACAGCACATGGCAGAGGTTTCAGGGGAGAGAGCTAGAATCCATTTTTAGGATTCTGACAATGTCATGCCCTTTCACTTTGACGTACTACATCATTTATTGTGTACTTGAAAAAACAGAAGTTTTTGTTCAATATGCATAGTAATTTTAATGTCATTAAGCTATTATGCTCAGTCTTGAAACCTGACTGGAGGATTCATTTGTGGGAGGAGTACTGACAAATCTGAGATCTTAAGATGGGCAAAGAAGAAGAGAAACAGTCTTGTGTTAACAGTGTTAAGACAAGAACAGAAATTACTGTGTAAAACTGCAGTACTGCTCTGTACAACATGATGAAAGCAAAACATTCCCTTGGGGGGATGGGCAGCAGGGAAGGGAAATATACATCAAAATGAAGTTTAAGATAAAACACCAAATACCCTCATTTTAAATTAAACCACAAAATACAGCAGCCATGCCATGTTTCAAAATAAACTACTGTATTTTTGTATTTCAAAAATACTTTTCCAAGGTACCATGAAATCACTTCGCAAATCCTCTAACTGTTGGCCTATTTGATCTATCACTTCACTAGTACACTAGTGACCAATGTTTGAGAGATTTTCTCTTCCTAATGAGTCATGCGATAAATCTGACCTACACCGATCAGCCATAACATTTTGACCGCTGACAGGTGAAGTGAATAACACTGATTATCTTGTTATCGTGGCACCTGTCAGTGGGTGGGATATATTAGGCAGCAAGTGAACATTTTGTCCTCATAGTTGTTGTGTTAGAAGCAGGAAAAATGAGCAAGCACATTTAAGAGTACAAACCAGACCATTCAGGGTGCCCATGCTGACCCCTGTCCACTGCCGAAAGCAGCTACATGGATGTAACTTTGACCCTTTAATGGAAACTATTGGCAGTGGCCTCTTTCAGCAGGATAATGCCACAAAGCAAAAATGGTTCAGGAGTGGTTTGAGGAACACAAGAACAATTTCAAGTGTTGACTTGGCCTTCGAAATTTCCCAGATCTCAATCCAGTCGTGCATCTACGAGATGTGCTGATCAAACAAGTCCAATCCATTAAGGTCCCACCTTGCAACTTCAAGGACTTAAAGGATCTGCTGTAAACGTCTTGGTGCCAGAAATCACAACACACTTTCAGAGGTCTAGTGGAGTCCATGCCTCAATGGGTCAGGGCCGTTTTTGCTGCAAAAGGGAGATTTACAAAATATTAAGCAGGTGGTTGTAATGTTATGACTGACCCTATCAAATACAAATGACAAAGTCCTATTTTGGTTTTGAAATGCGTATTTTAAATACATGTATCATAAATACTGCCCTACCTTATTGTGAAGTGTGATGTTCTTATGATAACATAAGTAAACATGACTTTAAATCCCTGTTAGTGGCTCTTTGAGGCTGTACCTAGTTCAGCTAATATCAGCATGGCAAGATGGCCACAATGGCAAAGCTAATCTGCTGATGCTCAGCATATTAGTTTAGCATGTTAACATGATGAGATTTGCTAATTAGCACAAAGTACAGCTGAGTAGAACTGAGGCTGTCATTAGTAGACATTTCACTAAAAGCTACAAATGCGCTGGAGGAAAAGTCAAGAGATTTCTAAAGTCAGAAGGATTCATCCTCTGGGCACCTTGATGTCTTGAATGCAAAATTTCTTAGCAATCCATTGAACTGTTGTTGAGATATTTCAGCCTGAACCAAAGTGGTGGACTGACCGACTCACAGACAAGCTGACATTGCCATCCACAGAGCCACTAGCATGGCTAAAAATAGAGCATAAGGGCATGTTTTAATTACAATGCTTTCTCGAACCTGATCTCACAGTGACTTAAATAGAAAAAGGTCCTCACACATAGCACCTCTCCAAGGCTTTATTCCTTCTCAGCCACAGGACCCACTGCCTGTCTTTCTCAGTGTCACTTCTACATGAACAGATCCTCTGACCTATAAGACCAACTGCTTTGCACATGATTAATGATAATAATTTCTGTCTCCCTCTGTGCTTCCTCTCTCTTTATCTCTCAGATGCCTTTTTTCAGAGGGCTGGGATGGACAGTTTGATCCTGGGGGCTGGTAACACTGAAGTCCTGGTGAGATGTCCTTGAGCGGCAACACGAGCCAGTTTTCTCCATCAACGACAGCTCTGCCCCTGCCCTTCAACAGCTCCACGGCTCCACGTTCCCTACCGTGGGAGAAGGGAAGAACCAGTCAAGAGTCTGTGCAGGAGTGGTTGGAGAATAAGACCCAGCTCCTCTCAGACCTCGCTGTCCTCGGGCATGAGTCGTGCCCTATGTCAGCCGTCCTCACAGCGTGTCTAGTAGTTTGGTACAGCATTACCATGGTGCTGGGGCTGGTGGGGAACACCAGCCTCATCTGCATCATCGCCCGTCGTAGAGAAAAAGTCAATGTCACCAGCATTTTCATCTGCAATCTGTCATTTTCTGACATTCTGGTGTGTTTCTTCTGCCTCCCCTTCACTGTCATATACACGCTAATGGACCACTGGGTGTTTGGGTCATTGTTATGCCGGCTAGTGCCGTTCATCCAATGTGTGTGTGTGACCGTGTCTGCACTGTCGCTGGTGTTCATCGCTTTAGAAAGACATCAGCTCATCATTAACCCCTCTGGGTGGAAACCAAGCATTCCTCAGGCTTACATTGTGCTTGTTCTCATTTGGATTCTGGCCTGCTTCACCTCCTCACCTTTCTTGGCCTTTCAGCTCCTCACAAATGAGCCCTATACCAATACCATCCTTCCCCAGTCTCCTCTCCATCACCAAGCCTCTTCTCAGGCTTATCTCAATGCATCTCCATCTCAACCAGTTTCCTACATGTATAAAAACTCATCTGGGCTTCCAAATTCATACCGCACCCTCTTTTCTTATTTCCCCACCTCCCCGCATATGGAGGCCTGTCTGGAGCGCTGGCCATCCCAGCAACACAGGCTCGCTTACACCACATGGCTCCTGCTGTTCCAGTACTGCGGTCCACTATTGTTGGTCCTGCTCTGTTATGTTAGAGTTTTTCTGCGCCTTCGTCACCGCAAAGACATGCTGGACCGCTCCAGGACACCAGAGAGCCAGCGAATGACCCACAGCCGCCGAATCAACATCATGCTGGTCGCCCTCATAACAGCCTTTGCTCTTTGCTGGCTGCCGCTCACCATCTTCAACGTGGTGTCAGACTGGAACCAGGAGGCTCTGCCTGTCTGCCACCACAACCTGCTGTTCTCACTCTGCCACCTGCTGGCCATGTCCTCCACCTGCATCAACCCCATCATCTACGGTTTCCTCAACTCCAACTTTCGGCAGGAAGTGAGAGAAGTGCTCCTGCACTGCCGCTGCAGCCCACTAGAAGAAGAGTGTGAGCATTTCCCCATGTCCACTGTGCACATGGAAGTGTCCCGCACCTCTGTGCCTCTCAACTGCAGGAGCAACTCTGTCTGACTTTGTTGTCACAATGTAAAGCATACCCCCGTAGTATGAAGTAGTCACATAAACTGTACAGTTGTAGTACTAACTTCTGCTTTTGTTTTTTCTACCTTTAATTGACAGTGGTTTAAAGTGCAACATTTTGTCAGTGGTTTGAAGTGAAGTGTGCAGTACAATATTGGTTTGTCTTATTCTGAAGTAGCTCCAAATTACACAGTGTGTTGATGTAAAAAAAAAAGTTTCAAAAGATTGTTTTAAACTAAACTATTGCTGTGTCCCAGAAGCATCACATTAATAGTATACAGTACGTACCATTCATTACAATATACTGCGTATTTGCAGTAAGTATACAAGAAATCAGCATATTTTACCATTTTATACCAACAGGAAATTATCCAATGTGTGCCCTGTTAGACATGAACTAGACTGCCAATTAAATTTGTTATAAATTAAACAGCCTGAATATTTTACACAAAGTATACTGTATGTTGGCACCATACTCATGATGCAAGCACAATACCTGGACCTTCCAGTTCAGTCATCACTAATATTATCATTTACACCTGTGCTTTTCCTACTGTAACTGTCAGAATGTCTTCACTGAAAAAGGCCTGTTGTTTGATAAATAAACATATGTGACTATACTGTGGCTCTGCCAGACTTCAGACCTCAACCCATCTGAGCACATTATCTATATATAGGCTCCACCATGATTATCAAAACACCAAATGAGGGAATATCTTTTGGAATTAAGGTGTTAATTTCCTCCAGTAGAGCTTCAGAGACTTGTAGAAAGGAGCACTGATGCTGTTCTCAAGGCTTGTGGTGGACCAACAAACTGCTAAGAGACTTTCCTGTAGGTTGGTTTTTCATTTAATCTGTCATCTGTATGTTGTACTGAAAAGTGACACAGATGCATTTTGTGATAAACTTGACACATGTCAAATAATTTATTTTCTGAATGTAGTGCTGCTGTTGTATTTCTTACATTTTTGCATTACTTCTTTTGTATTTATGGCATTTGTGCTGTGAAATTGCAATGTGTGAAGAAAAACAGAAAGTTGTATTTTCTTTTGTGATCAATGTGACTTAGATAACAGTTTATAACATTGTTAACTTATAAATTAAATATAGTAATAACATCAAATGTGTTTATGCGTGGCTTTTAATGGATGTTAAAATGTCTCTTAAAATGTGTTAGTCTACCAGTTTGGTACAGGGAATGGTGGTAATGGAGATGCACTAAGTTCTCAAATATGTACCATGACCTGTATATGATATGTGTATAATAATCTAAATGCTTGCTTATGACTGTGCATGTATGTGCAGACTGTAGGCCAGTGTAGTCATGGTTTAATAATCAAAGTTGTGGCTACCATATGCTGTATGTTTTATTAGAGAAACCAGATTTTTTAACTATACCTCAAATGCCTTATTCTCGTATAACACTATAAGATACAACCTTTTCTCATTTTACATTTACATTTTATCCAAAGCGACTTACAATTGCTATACATGTCAGAGGTCGCATGCCTCTGGAGCAACTAGGGGTCTTGCTCAGGGACACAATGGTCTCCACCGAACCCAGGTGACACCAAAGGCAAGCATCTTATCTATGCGCCATCACCACCCCATTGTCACCATATCTATGCGCCATTTTCTCTTTGCTGCATGGCAAAAAACACAACATAATAAGTTAGAATGACTGAATACTTTATTTTAAAGACTGGATAAAGTTTGTAGCTATCCAACCTGTAAAGACCAAATGCATATTTAATGTTGTCTGACTCGTCTGAGGCTGTGTTTGCAAAGACAATGAGAGGTATAAAAAAAACTTTAAAAGTTTAAGTACACTTCGTAGGGTCCTTCGCAGGGACACTACCACGTTCCCTTGACCATCGCTTCTGGGTTCCAAGTGACGTTTGTTCCCTATCAGCCAATGATGGCCCTTCGTCCCAGAATGCATTGCATCACAAACTGCACGCGCGAACGTATGTACACAGTAGTCAGGTATTGTTAAAGACTGTGCAGTTTAAACCTCACTGGCGCATAAAGTAAGTGCAATTACTAAAAAGTACTGGTTGATATCTGCATCCATGCCTTTGTATTGCTAATAGTAAAAAAATGTATAGTGCGTGTGTCAGCATATTACGGAAGTATTAACCCAAATTAGCCACACCATCGTCACAAAGTTAGTTAGCTCGCTAATGTAGCTGCAAGGCGTAACGTTAGCGTGAACTAACGGTAAAATAGCATCGACATAAGCAGTATTATCTAGGTAATAACGTTAGAAATGTATTGGTTTAAGTTGAAGTCACTGTATTTTGACCAAAATGTGTTCCTTAAGTGTGACACAGTAACTACCGTTAAATATCTATTATGAAGGTTACCCATAACTTATGTTTAATACTTTCCGGTATTCACAGTTAATGTAGCTAGCTTGGTTAGTTAGCTAACGTTTATACTACAGAAGTATTAATCAGGCTTTAACGTTACTCTTTGCGTTACTGTCACTGGATTTACAATAGACCACGGTACAGAAGTAACAAATGTGTTTTGAAATGCAGGTAGAAGTCATTAGGTATATCGTATGGACCCCCACAGAGAGAAAAACAAGCTTCCTTATTGCCAGGTTTTTATAGAGACTAGACTGTGACTGTGTAGACTGTGGTATTACTGGTTGAAACATGTAGCTTGATATGAGATGATAAATCAGTAAGTAATTGGTTGATTGACAGCAATGATCATCATCATTTATCCTTCTGAAGCAAAAGCTCAGCTTCTCAAAGGTCACGAGTTGCTTGTTTTTCTCCATCTCATATCTTCATTATAAACTCAACAAAAAGAAATGTCCCTTTTTCAGGACACTTTGTTTTCAATGATAATTCTGTAAACATCCAAATAACTTTACAGAATTTTATTGTAAAGGCTGGTTCGATGAACCAAAAACAATCAAAGAACATGCACCTGTGGAACAGTTGTTAAGACACTAACAGCATACAGACGTAGCCAATTAAGGTCACAACTATAAAAACTTAGAACACTAAAAAGACCTCTTAACTGACTCTGAAATACGCCAAAAGAAGGATGCCCAGGGTCCCTGCTCATCTGCATGAACGTGCCTTAGACATGCTGTAAGGAGACATGAAGACTGCAAATGTGGCCAGGGTAGGGCTGGACGATAAGACAATAACAATATTATCGCAATATAACTTTTTTCAATAATAATATAACAAATGTTCAATAAATATTCAATAAATGTTTGATTTTATTCTCATGAATTATATACACAAATTAGGACTTAATTTTTTATTAAGATATTAGATTTATTTGTTGAGGTAAAAGGACTGAAAAAGCTTTTACTTAATTTTACTCATGCATGTTTGTTGACAAAGCTTTTATCATAATTGTTTTGAATATTCTACCTCAGATTTGTGAAGTGATCCACTGTTTGGAATCAAGTGTTGACCATAAAGAAAAGTTTAAACCACAAATAACCATCTGGTTTCTTCAACTTTCACTCAGGAGCAAAAATCAGCCTTTAAACTCGAAAGAAATAACGATTTGGTACTTATGGTGATAATTAGCAATATCAAAAGATATGAAACTTTTTGTAGTGATAACATTTTTAGCTATATCGTCCAGCCCTAGGCAAGGGAAATAAATTGCAATGTCCGTACTGTGAGACGCCTAAGACAGCTCTACAGGCAGCTGATCATCCTCGCAGTGGCAGATGATGTGTAACAACACTTGCACATGATTGGTAAATCAGAAAATCACTGCGGGACAGGGACAGGATGGCAACAACAACTGCCAGAGTTACACCAGGAGCACACAATCCCTCCATCAGTGCTCTGACTGTCTGCAATAGGCTGAAAGAGGCTGGACTGAGGGCTTGTAGGCCTGTTGTAAGGCAGGTCCATAACAGACATCATTGGCAACTTATGGGCACAAACCCACCTTTGCTTGACCAGACAGGACTGGCAAAATGTGCTTTTGACTGACTCGGTTTTGACTCCCCAGGGGTTATGGTTGGACTAATGCTGTGATTTACAAGGAGGATTTACATGTGGTACCCTTGAGGGCTAGGGCCATTGGTGGAAGAGTGGGATAAGATCTCACAGCAAGAGCTGGTTGATGAGGAGTAGACTCACTGCAGTACTTCATACAGCTGGAGGCCACACCAGACACTGACTGTTACTTTTGTCACAGAAATATAGTACTATATTAAGACATGACTTTGGGCAGTGGTAAACTGTGGGTACTGTCATTACTTTCTACACTTGTAAGACAAACTAATTACTCATTTGATCAAAGAGAAAATAATCCTGAGTTGCAGCCCTGAGCCCATATTTCAGTTTTTTTGCGAATTGTTACCCCTGATTGGTGTAGTCGGGGGTTACAGTGAGTAAAATTCCTGTGGATTGTGAAAAGCTGATCTCAGATCTTTTTGTAGGTGAATCTTGGACCTAAAGAGGCCAGTAATGGCCACAAGCAACAGTTCAGTTCTCAAAGGTATTGTATCATCTTAGTTTTACTGCAGTTAATCTAGGCTGAACTTTATGGCTTATGTTTTAAGTTTACCACAGTGTTCAATCTCTTCTGCAGATGTTGTTGCCTATGTTGATGTGTGGTCATCAGACAAAACAGCAAACTATTCAAAACCATTTGTTCAGCAGCTGCAGGAAATGGGAGCTCAGGTGAGACCAAATGGCACTTAAACATCTATACATATATAATATATACCATTTAATGTATTTACAGACAGTAGATATGTGCTCTCTGAGGAAGCCTATGGCTGAAACACATCAGCAATAATGTTCTGTTATAATGTAAAGCTCTGCAGGTATTGTTTGCATGACCGTGTGCCACTGTTGTTCTCTCTTTGAACTGATTTGTATTTTTGGGGGCCTCCACTTGGAATGCACACTTGCCAGATTTTTTGGAGTAGAAATGTATACTTTGCATAACATAAATGCTTTTTCTTTTGCAGATATCAAAAACATTCAATAAACAAGTCACACATGTTGTCTTCAACAATGGTCATCCAGCTACATGGAGGAAAGCTAAGAAAAGTGATGTGAGGCTCGTGTCTGTTCTCTGGGTAGGCAGGTAAGAATAACGCTAAGAGTTGTGTATTTTTTTAATCTTCAACCATTCTATGATATTTTTGATTAAATTGTTATAAAGTTTTTACAAGATATTGCCAATTATTACTGGAATCTCTTCATGATGTCCAGATGTTACGATGACGGTGTGCGTGTGGATGAGGAGATGTATCCAGCCTTAAATGATGAGAGCAATCCTGTGTTGAAGAACAAGAAAGTGAGTAGAATAAGAGTTCAAGCAGTCACTGTAAATCAGTGTTGGACCACATTTTGTCAAGCCGTACATTGTGCTGATTTAGGGTCGTGACTATGGTCTATTCTACATCTGATCAGCATCTATAAACAAGGTGTCAAATGGTCCCATTTTAACACATCTCATATTCAAAAACAAGGCCTTGAAATTATGATTCCAGCATAAACATTATGTGGCACTAAAAGCAGAAGTTTTGATGCAAGAGCCAAATCTTACCTCTATTCTATTCAACTGCTGTGATTAATTCAGTGCACTTGTGCTGATTTTTCTTATATGTCCTACACTGCCTTTTAATCGAAGTGATTTAGACCTTGAAAGTATTAAAACCTGCTGTGGTTTATTGTGTCACGTAGCATCGTTGCATGCAGCCAAAAGATTCTCCAGAGAGGACGCCTGAAAATGACAGACGCATGAGGAAAAAATTAGACAAAATGATGAAAGGCCTAGCTCCAAAACAACCTCTGGGTAAGAGATTATTGCAACTTTGAAAACGTTTAAAACCAAAGCATGTAGTTTGTCATATCACAGTTATTTTTTTTAATCACAGTTACAGATGTGTCGCCCATCATCATTGATGAAGAGAATGGAATAGTTTATAGTCCTGCATTGAAAAGATCAGATTATATGGCACAGCGTTTGAAAGACATGAAAGAGAAACGGGAAAACCTCTCACCAACAGGTATGTGCAGGCTGATAAAATGACACAGTCTTATATGTATTTCAATAATTTTGAAACACCTTAAATTCACATATTTATTACTGCCTTTCAGCCTCACAAATGGTTGAATCCTGCTCACCTGTTGGGATAAGGCCTTCTCTTGGGAGCACACCGAGTGTCTTCAAATTATTGTGTAAGAAACTTTTGTCTACTTGTTACTTATCATCAGAAAATTGTAGTGTATTTTTTTCCCAACCCCCAAGATCAGTTTCTAAATTTCTATTGAAGGGGACTTAATGATACCATGATAAATTTGTATTGCAGTAGTTAATATTATATAAGGATGTCTAAAGCATGGTTGAAGTGGCTTCATGAATATTTAAAATATACATTACACTGTTTCCAGTAAACTCTGTCTTTTAGTTGCCTATATTCTGTTCAAATATATATTATTTTTCTTCTGTAGCTCATGTTTTAAAGCTACAGTAAGTAACCATCAGAAACAGAGCAACACTGGCACTCTTTTGGAGTCATGTACTGAATGTGCAGTAATCATTCTTGTTTCGCCCTCATTTGCTCTGACAGCTCCTAAGAAAAACAGTACAGTATATTACATTCATTTGGCAGGTGTTTTTGTCCAAAGCAACTGCTTCAAACAAACCACATAGGAGCAAGAGCTAGATATCAACCAAAATTAGTAGTGTATGCCTTTTAAACAAAAAACTAAAAGCATAGAGCTGCTACTGCTGTGATGTTTTCAGAGAATGACAGTTCGTCATCTGGGCTCACTCCCAGGTTCCTTGCCATCCAAGTCGGCACTTGTCCAGGTTCAGTTGTAGGTGGTGCCTTGACATCCACTCTAAAATGTCAGCAGCAATGCGTGGCTCCACCTCAGTGTCAGATGGGGGAATAGCAAGAATAGCTGCATGTCATTTTGAGTCCTGTCTCTTAAAATTGTTATATGATCATCTAGTGCTATTGCACATCAAGCTAAACACAACAGGGAAAAAAAAAACAAAGTGGCTAAAAGATGCATAAAACCCTTGATTATTATTGTTCTTTTCTTAATACAGACGACCAATCAGATGATGATTCCAGTGCTTCTGCTGCTGAACCTGGTTACTCACCTGATAAGGAAGAAGGGAGAACAGAAGTTGATGTTACTGACCATGACTGTCTTGAACAACGCCACAGAAAAGGCTCTAGCAAGCCCTGGCTGTCACCATGCCGTGATATGCCAAAACGGATGATTTCAAGTCCTTTGAAATGTCCTGACTTCAAGGATGAAGATGACAAAGATGGGAAATGCCAAAAAAAGCCAAGAAGATCCTCAGTAAGAAAAAAACCAGCAGAGAAACACAAATCTGTAGATTTATTAGAAAGGCCCTGCCAGGATAACAGTTATGACAACAGCAAGAGCTTTCACAAAGAAAAAAAGCCACCACATGTAGAAACATCCAGGCCATCACCTAACAAATCTGAAAAAGGAAAGCGAAAATTTAAGTCAGCTAAGTTGTTTACAGAGACTAAGACCCATTCTCTCCCTGACACTGTGAGCTCCTCTAGTTGCCTCTCGTCACCAGCCACTTTAGGTGATGTTGTAGTTGAATTGTCAAAAGAAACTGCTACTTCATTACAGAAAATACCCAAACGAGCCAGAAAGTCACTTTCTGCTTTGGTACAACCTTTCACTCCATCCTGTGACTCTAAGAGTGTTGCCTCTTGTTCCACTGATGGAGATGATGATGTGTTTGAGGACTATTTTTCCCCAGCTAACCACCACCAGAGATCAAAAAGACCAGTTTTTCCTAATCTACCTGTGGAGAGAGACATTCAGATTCCTTTTGAGTTGGGCTCTGTCCCACAGAAGAGAAAACAAAGAAGAAGTGAACGCATTGGATCTGAAACTATCAGTAAAAAAAAAGAGGAAACTGGATGAAAGTCAGACAAAAAAAAATAGCAATCAGGAGTCTGATGCAAGCAGTGAGCTCCAAAGTCACCCACAACAGGATGTTAAAGAATCTCTGTCTACAGTGGAGAATGCCAATGTAGTGGCTAAAATGCAAAGACAAAGCACATTGCCCTTTAGAAGCATCAGTAAAACTATAAGTGATGCAGTGAAACAAAGAAGAGCATCTACATCAGTACGACCAACAATGTTTACAGAGGCTAACACAGTGTCGGAGCTGCAGAAAAACTCTGATGTCAGCGTCAATTCTCATACCTTGGAAAGTGAGTAGTAAGGCTGCCACAGTTTAAAAGTGTATATTAATAGCAATGAACCCCAAAATCAGATTTCATCATTATGAACTGAACAAAAAATATTAATGGTGTTTGACCTTTCACATTTGTGGAGGTTTGTAACTATGTCTGTGTTACCTGGGTGATATATGTGGTTTCAAAAGGTGTGCAACATAATTATTCTGTCTGTGAATACTCTTGGATTAGTGTCATATTTTAAAGAAAGGAATAAAGAAATAACTAATTAATAAATAAACAAGACCTTTTTTATATGAATATTTGTGTAATTTTTGTATACATGTGTGTCTTAAAGGTCTAATTTGTCATTTACATCATAAATTTAAGGTATACAGACAAACAATTGCATGTATACAATCCAAAGACATGCATGTTAGGTGAATTGGAAGCTTGTAGGTGTGCATTTCTTTGCCAATGTGTGGAGACCTGGCCAGGGTGCACCTTGCATCTCGCCCTATGTATGCTGAAATGATAAAAACATTTACTATGTTTACTGATGGTATTCCCTGACATATAAAGCATACATAAGTATATTTATAAAATTTTATTGGAAAGGCTTGAACAATATATGACACCTGAGAATATTTGGGTCTGCATCTTATTAAACATTATTCCTTAAAATAATTACTAATTTATTTGATTTTTAATTAATTGAGGCGAGTAGTCTGTTGCTTATGTGGTAGTAGTGAGGTGGGGAGTGGTTTAAAAATATTGCACTTTACAGTTTGTCACAGTTGTCAACCAGGTGTAAATGGAACAGAGTAGAGATGAACATGATTGCACGCAAATCAAAAAAACAACAGAGCCTGCTTGAGTGGCATCCGCCCACACTGTTTTCATTTGTTTTCTTGTTTTCAAATGTAGGTAGAGGAAATGAATGTACAGATGCAGCTGGTTTAATAGAGATCCCCCCTGAAGGCGAAGAAAATCCAAATGAGCAAGTCAGTTTGAGTCTACAGAAAATGGTCAACAAAACAAAGGTAAGAATGCAGTGCGATTGTTTTTAATGTTGAACTGAAGTGTGACGTAATATAATGTGTCGATTATAATGATTGAAAATTGTACAGGGACTGAAAAAACAGGATGTTACGAGTATTAAGTCACCAGTGGGAAGCTTACTGATTCATTAACGATACTGCTGTGACATGGGATTGCACATTTTTAATTACAGATGCTTTGATACCAGCTGAATTGTATGCAGCTGATTATCTTTAGTTCCAACCAGTCAGAATTTTGAAAAATGCATTGTTTATCTTCTTTAATCACAGATATACAGAAAAGTGAACACAAAAATCGATAAATATTGAGTTGGATGCATATTTTTTCTGTTCATCACACTTAAATGTACTTAAGCTTATACTTTATTAATCTTCCAAAACTATTGCATCTGCACAATGTGACAAAATCCTGAGACATTCTGTAATAAACTAAACATCAGTACTGTGTTTTTAAGTATTCCCTCCTTAATGTCATACACTTCCATAGCTGTAGGCGTTTGACGCATCTAGCCAAGAGGTTCTCTCTGGTCCTGAGAGCTTCCTGTGTTTTTGCCTCTGTGATGGTAGCGTACAACTTCCTTGCTTGTGAAATGCACCTGGGCTCTGTTTTCGTTAGGCTGGTAACCTCAACAGGCTGTAGCTGAAACAAGCCAAACATGACGTCATCTCCCCCAGGGATCTGTTATGGGTTGACTTTATTGTTGCCATTGTAGCAAATGTTTTGGTTGTTCTCTTGGTTCAGTTGTTGCTTTGACCGTGTTCTCAAAACACGTAAACATGTTATGAACTACTGTATGGTATTTTTTAGTCAGTGTTTATGTAAGGTGCTCTTCAGTTATTTGTATTTCAGTTATAAATGTTATTAGCTGCTATTGGTAATTGGCTCTTGCAGCTTCAGAGACCCAGGATCCTCATCTCTCTTCGATTTTCTGAATAGCGTCAGTCAGCGTGCGCAGAGTAGCAGCCATCGAGGAGACCTATTCAAACAGTGAAGAATTTCCTTCATTTGTGCTCAGAGCACTTGTGCTCAGAGGCCGCACTGCAGTTCACACCAGCTCTTTGTCAGAGGCTCATTATGTGCTACTCATTCTTCAATGCCTGTTTTCTTGTGCTGCCGCCAGAACATAAGATAAGCCAAAGTCCCCCTTGAAGAATCTTAAGAATAGCTGCCCATGTTTTGAGTTGTTTGACTTGGTTTGAAAGACCTCAAAATGAGTGTCTTTCTTGTCACCTTTCGGCAGTCTTTCAGTGTTAGCAGAAGATAGCCCTGTTGTGGATCATTTACAAACTGGAAGATCAAAACATTTTCCTATTAAGATAACTTGTCAGGATGACCAAAGAGTAGCAGTCGTGTAGCGGTGGTAAGCAGCTCAATGACCTCCCAGCTGGATTATCGGGGATAATGTGATGTTTGACCGGTGTGGGCGGGGCTGGTGGACTGTTTTGGCACCACTGTGTTCAGCAGGCCTTAACCCCTGACTTCCAGCTGGAGGACCAGATATCAGTGTGTGGCAGGAAAGGGCCTGGTGGTCCTGTTTGTGACTGCTGCTCAGGTGTTTGTGTTGATGATAGCTTGCTCTACTGGGACCAGAGTATGAGGCTGGATGGGTCACAGTCGTCAGGTTACAAATTTACAGTTCCGTTTCAGTGGCTCTCAATATGTTTTTCACTACTCATGGCCTTGGTGTTTGATTTCCTTTTTGGTCTCTGTGCAACCGACAGGGTTATTAAAAGTGCACGACCTGTCTGGCTGTTGAATAATGATCCTTTTACCTGTTCAGTGCTGTATTATTCACCAGACCAGCTCACACTTCTTCCACCCAAAAGAAACATAACATGCATTTAATTTCCTAGTTTCTTGGAGACATTTTTTTTAAATTTATAGAGACTGTATTATCTTGGCTGCTTCAAAGTGTAGATGTGTTCACAGATTGCACTTCTATTTTCTGTGTTTTGTTCCTACAAACACAAGCCAAGAAACAAATTAAGCTAAATCTGTGCTCTATAGCTGCTCCACTTAATTGTTTGCCAAATGTGTGGATATTGTTATACAATACAATGTGAGGTTCCTTGACACTGTTTATATATACAACTACCCAAAAGTAAAATAGGCACACAGATTATTTAAGCAAACATAAACTTGGTTTAGAAAAATATTTTGACATTTTGTGTGTTTATCTTTGTTTCAGGCTATGAGAACATTGGTCATGACAAGCATGCCCACTGAGTAAGCACCTCAAACATTTAAACTGTCTTAAGATAAATTTCATTTGGCAAGTTGAGAGAAAGAAAAAGATGTCTTGTTTAATCGTTTGTGTTGGATGCTTTCTACTCTATCCACCTCCTGTAGGAAACAACAAACGGTGGTTCAGGTGGTGAAAGCACTGGGTGGTTTTTCAATCGTTGACCGAGTTTGTGAGAGCACCACTCATGTGGTGTCTGGAGGTCAACGGCGGACTCTGAATATTCTGTTGGGCATCGCTCGTGGCTGCTGGATCCTCTCTTTTGAATGGGTATGTAGTTTCTATATTACATGCTATTATTTTAAGTGATAATGATCTGTTATATTTATCTTATATTTCTATTTTCCTGAGTAGATTCTCTGGTGTTTGGAGCAAAGGCAGTGGATTCCAGAGGAGCCGTATGAGCTTTCAGACCAATTTCCTGCAGCACAGGTGAGTACCAGTACTAGTCTAGTAGTACTAGTAAATGTGTCCACGACACAAATACTACTTGCATTGAACATCACTTTAAACCTCACTATGTTTTCCATTCATGCAAACAGTCAGATATGTTGATATTAATGGTCCTATCATTTGTAAGAGTTGCGTTATCATAACGTGGCCCTCATTAATATTGGACAACATTGAATTAACAAATATTAAGTTAGGTAATCTATGCCTTGCCTATACATTACATTCTGAATGTGACAAAACAAATGTAGAAGCCTGAAAATTAAAAATCACTTGCACTTAAGTAAGAGATGCACATTATGTACTTCTTTTATAGACAATAGAAATGTTTGTCATATTTTGCACTCAAGTACATTTTTATCAAAAATAATCGTTTTACTTTGCATTCAGACAAAAGAAATTCCCTCAGTTTTATAAAAAAAAAATTCCCCCTGTATTTAAATAATTTTCTCTATATAAGTCAGCTTTGCAACGCCCCTTTTGACACACAACAAATAAAGCTCGTAAAACTAAAGTCGAGGGAGTTGGACGGAAACCTGCTGATTTGTATTGCCAGTCATCAATTTTCAGTCCGCTGCTTTTTCCTGAAGCATCCTGTGTGAAATGTGAATTTTGCTTCTTCCTGAACTCGTCATTCGTGAATTACTGTCCTCGCTCCTGCCACTGCGAGGGAAGACATGGGGTCTTGATGCAGACAATTGTCAACACATTTCCTCTTGAAATTACATGATGACTTTTGTTGTGACAGACAAAGTATTTTTTAGTTCCCCACGGCCGTTTATCATTCCTATACTCTGACGGACGCATGTGGTGTTTGGCAAACCACATGCTTCCCTCTTTCATTCAGTTCCTGTGCCCTGCGGTAGGATGGCCAAGGATTGCCTTTAGCAGTTGTCAGTCTTAATGATAGAAAACTAATTCTGACATTCGTAACAATTGTTTAAACAGACAGTTTTCACAGTCTGCTCATATAATGATGCATGACCTCAGTGAATTGGTAGTAAACTTAGAAGACTACATGTTACATGAGGCCAATGTATGAAGCAGTTTTGCGATTTTAACCTTCTCTCAACTCTTTGTGACCTTGAAGGCTCTACAGTAACTATCCCTTTATGTCTCATATTGGATTGACAGGATCCTTATATTAATCTGAAAAAGCCTACATTGATTTGTCAGGTATTTCATTCACTGAATTAGCCAGTCTCAAAACAAATTTTCCCAAAAATGTACTATGTCATGACACATGTAAATATTGCAATATAAAATATATATACATATTTATCCACCAAGCAACAATAAAAAATGCAACTTTGGAGCATGTAGAATTTTTATTTTGTACTAGAAATGATAAACATTGCTGAAAAGGTTGTGGTGAACTGGCAGGGCATTCACCATGCTGTTCATTGTTAGTGCAGAACAGGACAATTGTGGAAAAGGACCTAAGAGATAAAGCCTTAAGCTCTCTGCCTTGCGGTCGTGTTTAAAATTCAACTTTAGGTATATAAGAGCTGGTAGAACATCACATTCAAACACTAAAAATCTTAAGCCAGTGTTTACTGGTGAGAAATTCAGCTTCCTCACTTTCCCATAAATTCTGCTTGTTGTAGCTTTAAAAGCGACATTACATAAATAAAGACATACATTCCCAACAGACTGCAGAAAGATAATCGGCCTGTATGTGCATCTGGGAAGCTACTGCAGAATTATATTAAAAGAATTCCTCTTACGTGTTTATGTGCAATGAAATTGTTAACTACGTAGGAACTAGCACTCAAGATCTATAGCAAATCTCCCATCATATATAATATTTGTTAAATATCAACCTTAAAATCTACTTATAAATTAAACAACAAATGTACATACATTCTCTGGAGAAAGCAATGTTATCTTAGGAGAAACATTTTCTGTGGCAATTTTACATTTGCATTTACATTTAGGCTTTCCAGAACACATAACAATGGGTTTGAGCCAGTTGTTTATCTGCATGTTGTACCATAGTCTCTTTTTTTATTTTACAATAGCGTAGGCGGTTATTATTCAAAAAATAGTTAAATGGGTGCTTTATACTACATTAAAATCGTTTAAGAAATTAAATTAATGTCTCATTTTACTCTGGTTAGCTAGCTGTTATTATTACTCAATGTAATGACTATACCTATAGTTGTCTATAAACACCACAGTCATAGTATTTTCAGTAGATATATGTCAGAGACATTTTGACAGTTCTTCTTATTTCACCATTTTTTGCAACCACCCATTTGACTCAAATTATAAAACACATAAACATGCACAAAATATGTCTTTCCAAAGGTATGTAAAAATATTTTCATTAAGTGCTTTGGCTTCCTGGAGAAGTTTTATTTTTGGTTTTGTTGTTTGTTGCTGTTTGTCAGGCAGTATTTCCTTCCCACTTTGTTTAATCTGAGAGAAACAGTTCAAAGGGAACCTGAAAAGTCTGCTGGTCTGATCATCATTGTTGTGGACTTCAGTGAGTAGCCCGAGCCTTTCCAGTAGTACCATTTGATTCCATTGAAGCGATTTGAGTTTTGGCCTTGTTGGTAATACATCCCATTTAAATTGGACGGACCACAGGCATCAAACCACCAACCTAGATCACAAAAACAAACATCAAAATCATTTAAATATAATGTCAATCTTAACAGCTGCTTCCATGTGTGGACATTTTTCATGACCACATTACAATGATAAGGGATATGACATTGTTATTGAATTTAGAAAGCTGTGAATGAGAGTTAAACCATCTGAGCACTTATTGTATGAATGCATGCTTTGTAAAATGTTATCTGGAGACTGCCTACACTTGTGTAAAACAATTGTGGTTATCAAGCAGTAACATCTGCTTCATATAAATAAATAGAGAAAGTTGAGAGTACTATAATAACGATTATATGGCTTCTATGTAATGAGTAGCATTAAAGCACTTTTCTGTGTTGCACTTGTAGCTATAGTTTAATCAGTGTCATGTCATGGCATCACATGAGCAGCTAGTTAACTTGTTAAAAAAGTGGCAGTAACCTCTTCTGTACATGCCACTGTGTCATGGCAGGAATTTCACATTTGGCAGCGTTGAATTGGATGTGACAATAAAATTAGTTATTGTGGACACACTCCTTTATGTTATGTTTTATGTTTTAGGTCCCCATGACACTTTTTAAGTTCAGTTCATCAGAACCAGCGATATCATCTTTCTTATTCTGGTATTCTTCCTCCTTGTTGAAACCTGGCGCCTACATTACCCACAATGCAAATCGACCCCTCACAGATCACATAGAGATTCAGGTGTGTTGAATTAGGAGCGGCTAATGTAGCCACAAGCTTTAGGCAGAGATGAGAAGCTGGCTACAGAGGTCTAAACTCCACACATCCAGATTTTTTTCCTTCCATTTTTAAACTCAAATCAACGCTGACTCAAGTGACATCACTTGAGGCAATTTATCAGCCTTAGCGTATCTTTCTTTGGGGCCATATGACATATGGAGAAGTGGAGTTCCCCTTTAAAGCCATAGTTGGTAGTTGAGTGAGATTGAAAAGCATTAGACTGAGAGGTGTATGTAATAATTTTTCAGCCCCAAATTATATACAGATGTATTACCTTCATTAAAATTTTGTTAATCCAAAATGACTGCTTCATATTTATAATGGCGGATCCGGCTTTTACTCTTTTTCCTGGGTCAGTCCCCTGTGAGAAGCCCCTCATGGGAAAAAAAGCAATAGGGTTGGGGTTTTCATGCTTTCATGCTTACTTGGCAGACCCCGCTACAGAGGGAGACAAACTTCTGGCAGCGGACTCACTTTCAAGGGAATGAAGGAGGACCTTTAAGCTCTAAGAGGAGAGAGGGAAAAGCTATGTTCCCAGGCTATTAATGTCAGCCATTGTAGGGGCTGAATTCCCAAATGAGTTGATCAGTGATTAACTCTGAGCTAATTGTGCTCCTTGACCTGACCACAAAAGTGTCCTTTATAAATTATTGGGGGAAGTGCCAACATTTGGGTGGGTGGGAATTTGTTCCACATGTGCCATCACAAATCGACCTGATTATTATATTTTCCCAACGAGCACAATTGTTAGTTATTTACAAAAATGTGTTTCTTACCCCCTGTTGTCAGTTGTGAACATTTGCAAACACATTTGTCGTTGTCTGCATCCTTTGTACTGAAATGACTTCCTGGCTGCCCAATGCTGCTTATTTTGCCTGCTGTCCCACTGTAGCCTTTAAGGTGTATCCTGTAGAGTGGAAAAGGAAAAATGAAGGAAGAGGAGGAGGAAGTCAGTGATTGCTCAGTTCCTCAAAAGGCAACGTCCAACTCACTTATACAGTTCTTCACAAATGCAGGATCTAAAATGGGGGTTGGCATAACGATTAAATTGTGAGCTATTTGCATCACATTGATTTTTGTGATGTTGACAAGCACCTTGGAGTTTTCATATTTTCTCATGCTTCTTGAAATTTAAACGATTTGTGTGATGCTATTTGTGCAGTTTATTTTCCTTAAGGAGTTAATTGGAATAACAGAGCCAACTAACTGAAGACCAAATTGGTCATAGTCAAGTAGACTTAAGACCTGAATAGACCAGTGTTGAATTGGAGCATTTCAAGGTCTGTTTGTCAAATTCAAAGGAAGTATCCATTCCATTCCTTAAATCAGCTTTGATTCAGAATGGTTGTGTTATTGCCAAGAGATGCAGACTAAATGTTAGAAATCCAAGACATTTCATTTCCTATTTTTCAAACGCTGACCAGTTTTATTACATATTCTTTGGACTGATGCCAGTACAGCCGTATCAGGAAGTAAATAGTCTTATACAGCAAGAAGAACCTCTATCCATAACAAATCATCTATAATGTGTTTTTGCTTTTACATAGTAGTAGGAGGTCAGCATTTGTGATCATGAGCTAGTTTGTTCAAAAGTAGTTTTCGGGGGACATATATGTAGATACGGTCCAGGGTCAGAATTAATC